ACAAAACATTCTCACAGTTTTTTCCCTTGGAAATAAGTTGCCTACCATATCAGGCAACTGGACATGACAGGACATGACAGGACATGCCAAAACCCGGATAAAATTACCATATTTGGCGACCAACTCATTTCCAGTGGAAAAACTGCGGAAATGCTTTGTTCTTTTACACATTTTTTCCTCATGTTTTTCCTGCAGTATAACTTTGTTGATTTCCACGCATTTTTCTAAGTTATTTCCTTGGGAAAAAAGGAGTTATGCGTCCTGTGTAGATGGTATGGAAGGTACTGTAGGTTTTCGACCAATCCGGACAGGTTTTGCCTTTTTTGGTTAGAAAAATCTCATAAAATCTCATAAATCGAGAAAAAATTATTGGCGGGGTCGTTGAAAATCCGTGTGACCTGTGACCGTCCGGATTGGTCGTAAACCTACAGTATATCTGAGCGTAGAAGAGCTCTGCCATGCGAGGAAGAGCGCAGGAAATTGTCTCTGGTCAAACTGCTGAGGGTCAAACCCTTCAGTATGTAAGTATCCTGTGACCTCTGTTCTGTACTTTGCTGATACTGTGTCAGCATTGTGCTCAATTTAAAAGGCACTGGGAGGACTACGTTGCTTATTGAAAGTTTGTGTCGTGAAATTTATACGTGACACCCTCCCGCAACAAAAACCATCTTCTGGGACCCAAGGATACTGATACTGCATGACCATACATTCAAGATGATCCTGGATTCACTCCTAACGCACCCCACCACACCGAGGAAGACCAGTGACCTGGAAAATAATATCCAGATCGCTGGACGAACATCCCGCTTGGTCTTGCTCGTACGCTTGACCATCTTCCATTTCTTCCTCGTTGTTCTCCACCAAACGTCAATGTGGTGGACTTACGACGCCGATGGATGTACCTTCAATTTCGACCCTCGGGCCTACTCAAAAACATAGACATCTTCAATGAATTATTCCAGAGGATACACTCAGTTCAAAATGATCAGGTAGTGCAACGTGAAATCGTTGAGGCATCGCTAGACGTTCACAATGATGTCCATGTCAACGTCGGTTCTCTATTCTGTGCCCTGGATGAAGCCCAAAGCACATCACAGAGGGGAGCAGATACTTTTAATCCGGCAAGCCCCCGCAAACAACGGACTGCCTCGCACGAGATGTACGATGCTTGGTCCATGTTCTCGATGGCTATAACCTTGTGGTCTTCCACTTACGGTGAACTCGGCCACATCTCAGCCTGGATAGGAAATGACATTCCCCAAGCTCTTGTCGGACACCGGATACTTTGACAACGAGGAGCATCTGCGAAGTTGCATTACCGACCCGATTTGGCCCAACCACGAGTTGAACATTGATGAAGACCAGATTTTAATGCACACTTAGCACTGCCTCCGGGGAAGGTGGGTCAAACTTACATACAGTCCTTTGTGGGTAATTCCATGTAAAAGATTTTAGACACCCTTGGACCGCTGGGTACACAATGCTCCTGCAAAGGATGGGCATCACATCTGGGAACAAGACTTTAGATGCCCACGCCAAATACCTCACGGACAGTTTTGAGGCGATGGATGGGAAGGCCGTTGTGGAAAACGAGCCTGGCATTGACATAAGCAAGGCCCTCTTTTCGGAGATCGACTTCTCCCTGCTGAAGGAACAGAGGAACCGCAAAATCGAGGGGCTAATCTTATGAGCCGTTATGAACACAATCGTGCAGAACTGGCCGTACATTTTTTTTGCCCAGTTCATCGATGCTGTCACCCTTGGCTTTGCTCATATAAAGCCAGGAAAGGATCTAGTCAATTTCTGCAGCCCGTCACTGAGTTCATCCAGATGTTACCCCGGCGCAATGACAAAGATCTATCTTATCATGGCAGCTGCACTGCACTACTTCCAGTCTCATCCCATCCCTTCGATCTTGGTCACAGGCCCATACAAGGTTGTGAAGAAGCATCTACCCGCGGGTTTGCTATGAAGAACGTTGTGATGATTGCGCTGGCTCATGTTTTCAAGTATGGTGTTACATCGTCGAATGACACCTTCACTCTGTATAACAGCGAAGGACAGGCTTGGCTGTCAGAACCAGTGTATCTTGTTTCTATTGCTGGACAATCCACCTTTCCTTGTTGCAGACGGCTGGGACGGCAACTAGGAAATCATGTCAGTGATGGTCCACCCTGGAGCTTAGGCTGCCATAATTCATAATCACTGGTATGCATTGCAGCTGCACGCTCCAGTGAATTTCAGGATTTTAGCGAAGCACACTGTAAAAAACAACAGTAAGTATACCAATGAAGAACGTTGTATGATTTGGCGGTGACCTTTTGACTTGCTAACACCTTAAACAAGCATCATATAGCATTCAGCGACTGTAAGCTCCCTGTGGATAATATTATACGATAGCGGGAAGGAGTCGTACTTCCAGTCGCTCCCATTGGGATGAAGAATACTTGCGCTGCCTCCAAGATGCGCATCCTTACAATACATAACAGATGTGCCACGGGTGTGAACAAACATGACATGAAAACTAGGTGCCATGGCCGCCTTCTGAGCGCGATCAGTAAAACCGGGTCTGGGTGTTTGACGTACTCCGTGCCTCTAACACCGGATGGCATGCCAAGGAGGTTTTGACATCATGCTGCATGACGCAGCTGCAACTGCAAAAAGAAGCCATGAAGAAGTTCACTGATGGGTTGGAGGATGCCGAGGACAAACGAGCTGCTCTGGAATCTGCGCTCATGGCTGGGAGTTGGACAACGATAATTTGCGGAGGCGGAATGAATTATTGGACGTGGTTCGTTCAGCTCGAAATGAGTGGGGCGCACAGAAGCTCCGGGCAGAGTCCCTTGTAGAGACTTGCGCTCTCCAACTTTAGAGGCGAATTCAGAATTGCGCGGATTTACTGGGAAATTGGGAGTGTATCAACCATCTCTCTAGCACTTAGACATGCCGTATTAGGTACGTACATATCAGACGTGTCTCTTACCTCTACTTAGCCCTGGGTTCGTCACCTTCCTCCGTAGAGTAGGTAATTGTGCCGCCATCTTCTATTTCACTCCTGAGAAGGTCGGTGAGCGAGCCATCGTCCCACAACCTTTCCGTCATCTATTCGTGCGTAGGAGAATTCGCGCACTCGATTTGTACGGTTCAGTAGCGAAGTCGCTCCAGATTCGCAATTTGACTGTATTCTCGGCTCAAGCGCTTGTATCTTGTGCCGTCACTTCGATGATCCTCTGAAGGCCCGCATGCTCCGTTTGAGAGTGACTAGATATTTGTCTAAATCTTGACTTCCTCGCTGCATTGCGGTGGTCTTTAAATTGTAAGCTTGAAGCTTATGGCGTGGTCGCGGAAGAATCACAGAGAAGGACAGATTTGTTGGTGTGGGCCGCTGAACGAGGCTGCCAGCCCAATCGATGTTGTGGTTTGTTTCCCGAGTCACGCCCCGGCAGCGCGCCTGCGGCGCACGCTTTCAGGACGACACCAGTTGCTGTCGACCACCACTTGCCTACCTTTCCATTTCAACCCCTAGCTGATCAGGCCCTCTATCATTCAATCTTTCACCGCCAGTTTCTAACATGCGATCTAAGTTCAAGGACGAACACCCCTTCGGTTAGTAGTAGCTCGCCTCCTCTCGCTACGCGGGATCTAAGCCCATCTGGTGCTGAACGCACTGCGTCTTACAGAGAAGCGCAAGGCCGAGGCGGAGCGCATCCGACAGAAGTACCCAGACCGCATTCCTGCAAGTTCATGACTGCCTCGTTGTATTGCAATTCCTCTGACATGGCGTTCGATTTGAACAGGTCATCTGCGAGAAGGCAGACAAGACCGACATCCCAACGATTGATAAGAAGAAGTATTTGGTACCATCAGTACGTCTCGCACTTCTCAATTCACACAAGGTGGCTGAGTCATTGCTTCCTTTGAACTAGGATCTGACAGTTGGCCAATTCGTCTATGTGATCCGGAAGCGTATCAAGCTCGCGCCGGAGAAGGCCATCTTCATCTTCGTCGACGAAGTACTACCGCCGACTGCGGCACTCATGAGCTCTATCTACGAGGAGCACAAGTAAGTATTTCGGTATCCCCCGACCGAACGCTGAATATATCTTTCCATTGCGTGTTTCTTCCAGGGATGAAGATGGCTTCCTCTACGTCAGCTATTCGGGAGAGAACACCTTCGGCAGCCGGTGAATGCACTGTCGTCGTCGACTTCCCGTCTCGCAGACGGCGACCTGACTCTTGTTCTCTCTTGTGGCAGAAGTGGCGTGACACGGCGTAGAGATCCACGAAGGAGTGAAGGGAATATAACCTTCTACTGGATTTGTTCTATTATAATACTACATTCCTCACCCCCTTCTCTTGATCGTCACTCCGGCCCGTCTCCAGATACATACGTACGTCGACGTCTGTCGTGTGCTCTTCATGCACAGGCGCCTTGTATTTTATTCAGTTTTGTTCCCTTGGTGTCCTATACGAATGCAACTGGCTATTGATGTAAAACGACGCTGGATAATTGGCATTGAGCGTTGTCCTTCGTCGCCCTCCTGCCTGGCTCCCTGGCCAAAGCGTACAACTTCTGCTTCAACCTGCGCTACATGGACTGCGTGCGGTGATCGCACAATGTGACGTCAAGGCATGTCCTCAATGACTCCGCCTAGCGGAATTGAATACTCGCTCGCTTCAAGAGTGCAGTCTCTCCAACGTGACTGTCGTGCCGGTACTTCAAAGCTTCGACGTCCACCAGCTGGCGTATTAAATTGCATCGTATCGACTGATGATTGTTTGGGTGGTAGTCGCTCAGATCACATCAAAAACGGCAAGTCATTGTTCGAGGGAACATACAAGGATATAGGATGCAAGAGTCAAATACAGCGTAGGATAGGTAAGCAAGACAACAATAACGAAGGCGAGATGAGCAAAGCCAGAGATTCCTCGTATAACAATAGCATATCAAGAAGATCGTCGCCAAAATCGCCTCTCTTCTTTCAGCGGCTTCGGTACCTCTATCCGACGCTGGCAATATGGACAACGTCCAGACACACGGACGAGCCACGGGTCGACGCAAGTTTTCTGGTGCGGAATTCCTGTTAGCGGAATATATGTACACGAAACGGAGGTGGAACTTACGTGGAACGCGTGTCCACAACCTAACAGCCGCAATGGCTGAGGGCCCTCTCCAGAATCTGCCAGGGCCACTCGGTGTGTATCATCCTGCCGCGCAGGTTCGACCTGGACTTCCTGAACCGCCCCGGCATCAGTATCCCCATTCTGGTCCGCTTCTGCATCTGCACGAGCGTCAGCTAACTCCTCAGCGCTCTCAGCGCCCTCTTCGGGAATAGGGAGTATCCTCTTCGGCGCCTCAAAATCCATGAGACATATCCCGCAGGTCGATCGCTGTCCCTCGAGTCTGACCAGCGGGTGCTCCCCGCGCTCCCATAGATCCTCCCATGCAGCCTGCGCGTAAGCCCTATTTCCTTGGACATCCTCCTTAGAACCTTTTAGGGCATTGATATCCTTGCGCTTCCTCAACGAACGGAGGAAGATGAAGCGACGCTTGAGCCCCGAAGGTGAAGGCCGTATAGGAACTAGGCATCCTGGAGGATAAGCGTGTGTGGGGGAGGGAACTGTGATAAGACTGGTGCTCTCAAAAGCGTCTTCCGGAGGAGGAGGTATGTAGAGGACAAGGGGAATGCGGTCCACCCTGGATTGTGTCAGTTTGCCGGGGACGGCTTTGTCCGTGCGAGCTGACCTGACGCATATGCGATATGCCTACGAAGCGGTGAGTATTCTAATAGGAGAAGCCATGACACAACTGATGTTACATACAGGGAGGAGTAAGAGTTTGATGAACCTTAGGTAGAGAATGCAGGCAATCGCGAAAGTGACCCAGGAAAGATGGGGTGCGGCGAGACGACACCTGTAACTATGCGAGTATATCCCGATTACTGCAACGGCGAACCATACAGTGGCGAAGATTGATGAAAGATTGAACAACCTGAAAGTAAATAACATGGTGAGTGACCCGCTTGGTTTCTCTGCATTCAGCAGTGAAGGGACGATTGAATGACGAACAGAATATGTAAACGGTCAGAATGCACGCTGATACGGGGCTGTTGCCTGGGTGTCCGATGTGTTGCACGACTCGCAGAAGATATGGTAGCAGCCGTTGGGCCTGATCTTGTTTGTACCCCACCTGGACGGCCCGACTCTGCATCCTGCTGAGCTTGACTGAGAACGAGATTAAATTGTGATCGGTTTATCGATCGTTTTATGCACTTACGCGCGCCGTTTCAAATGCCTCTGGAAAGTCCAGTAGGATAGATAGCAGAGAAGAGCAATCCTCGGAATATATAGTATGTTCCATACACCCAGAAATTTACAGGTAGCCCATTCGGTAACGCCGGGAGTGTCAGGGCTTTCGTGGCCTCCAAGCCCGGCCATGGTAAGGATGATCACTACCTGCCGATACGAAGATCGAGATCAGCGTCATTGTGCTAGGCAAGCCAATGCAGCCCGTTATATAAAAACAGAGTCCTCGCACGGCGAACGCTCTACTGCGCTCCGAGACAAGCAGATCAGGGATTGCTGTCACGTACCTCCGTGAGACCAAATGAGAGTTCCCAGACGAGAGAGACAAGCTTTCTTCGCGTTGCTCTGGCTCTCGCATCGGTGTGGCCTCTATATCCCAAAAATACCAGGACCTTCCCGATCACCGAGTTCAACCTAGATGTCTGTCCATCAGTGGTACGCTCCTCCTGCCTCGGTGCCTGAGGTATGCCACTCGATTCTGCGTGTGAGCCTTGCGTTCTAGGCTGCGCAGATTCTGGAGTGGTGATATTGGATACACCGCTGCTGCTGGTAGCATCCATGAATCAGGTAAGCCGAAGAGAAAGTATACTGGTAAGGCGAGGTATTGCTGAGGGACGACCGCATAATGTCGGCTCTGGTCCGTAGTGTCGGTACATACATGGCAGAACCCAGAACAGCCACAGCTGTCACTATTGCCGCCTAAAAGTGGTCACCAAAGGCACCTGTACCTGGCGCCTACAACTTAGCGCTGACACGATACCGCAGTACACGGAATGGTCAGGATGGACCCGAAGGTTGAAGCAGAGTGTCAGTTTGCCCACAGGAGACTATGCAGTAGCACAATTAGTATACGTTCTTATGTACCTTCCTCAACCAGCTCCTGCAAATATTGCTCCTGGTCATCATGCATCACGATCATGCCTGGTAAAATCCTATGAAAATCCTGCCTCTCAATTATACGCTGGCCTTGAGGAGGCTGCGTACAACACTTGTCTCTATCTGGGAAGTCCCCTTGTATAAATATTGGCGCGCTTACACTACGTATGAAAGGACGAAATTGTGCGTCGACGTCTATGTCTTGGTCAACAGTGAGACTGAACAGTCGAATCACCAGGGCACGAATCGCCTTTGCGCGAAACACGATGGCTTTTTGACCGTCGGACTCGGCTTATACACGTGAAATAGTCCTCATGCCAGGCAATGGCGGCTTACCACCAGACGCAACAGGCAGATGGCAGAGAGGGAATTGTCTTAAAGGCGTCTTTCCGAGCTTCTTGATGCGCACTCGAAAGATAGTTTTTCTGACAACAGGATATGTTCGGCCTGAGACACCAGCGTGACAGGGTAGTTGCCACACATGGAAGGTGATCGGAGGATAGTAAAACTGTCCTCCGGGTGGCTAGTCATTGCAGTTAAACCTTCGTTCACCAGGCCATTGCCCGTCGTGCCTGTAAACGGGACCGCGATGCAATCGGTCTTCTCTTGCTCGGTCTTCTTCGCCTCCATGCGGCATGCGAAGGTAGCTCATCTTCTGGAGCCGGAGAGTGGATAGACGCAATCCTCAGAGACTCATTGAAAAGTTGAAGGTGTGTTCACACATTGTCGCGATCAGCAAGTCCCGGACAAGGGCGAACACACCGCTATATGACCTTAGATACACTCAACCAAAGAAAGACGTCGCACATGCATTGCCAGGCCCGTAGCTCCACAGGAACGATCATCGAGAGGTGTCGATGCAGCAGATGACCAGAGGAGCTCATATATAGCTGATACAGCGGGAGTCAAGAGGCAGCTGACCGGGCCATTATGAGGTGTCGCGCGTGCACAATGGGATGACGCAGTGGCAGCAAGAATCATCACTGCCTTGAAATATTACTGTTAATACTGACGCTGCTCAGTATTGATGCGCGGTGCAAGTAATGTAGCACAGCATGAAAATAAGTGACATTACAGAAGGATATAAGGACTACTTGTTGATGATGCCGCCCAGTCTGCGCAAGTGGTAGTTGATGGTAGACTTCTGCTGCTTTCCAGGCATGGGCTGTAGAGAGCAGGTTAGGTTGTAGCCTGTAATGAAACCGCTGATGCGTACTGACCGCCGTCCGCATGCAATCGTACAGTGCCCTGGCTGCATCCTGACACGGTCCAGCGGAATGAAGATCGGAAGTGGCTGCCCAGCAACCCAACATAGCTGATAGCTGTACATAGCACGGAGTAGCCTTGACCTCTGTCTGCATGTTAAGTGCCCTCACACGGTAACAAGAATGTGACGAAACATACGCTTTCGTGGTCTAACTTTGAGCCTCTGAATATACATGGCAATGAGATAAGCTGCCAATACTCCCCTTCAACGGATACCCAGGTCGTTATGGATGCAAGACACCAGCCGACCAGTGCAGGAATATTTTGAGTGGAAGGAGCGGAAATGCTTCACTTTCCAAAAGCGGTATGTCGCGTGTGTCATGTGCTTCCACGTACATTACACCGCGCCAAGCGCCCAGAGCTACATCTGAGACTTTATCCTAGACACTCACTTGCAATTGACATTTCAGTTGCACCTTCTTTCATTTTCATTTTTCGCAATGGCTCGCGCAGGTTTCAACAAGAATAATTCAGGTTTGTGCCATGTCGTTCAGGCCACTTCCAAGGTCGCTCATTCGATATTCACATGCTTCCAGCCGTCAAGCGTATCATGCAGGAGGCACGAGAACTGGCCAACGATCCGTGCACGGATTATTCTGCTGCACCTCTGGAGGTACTGTAGCATTGCTACGATGCGTTTCGAGTCATTGACATTTATGCTCTGTGCGAAAATAGGATGATATCTTCGTAAGTACCGGCAGCCAGTCTATGAGAGTGCAGGCAAACTGACTCTGCATATAGGAGTGGCACTGTACCCTGCGTGGTCCGCCAGGGACCGAGTTTGAAGGTGGCTTGTATCACTTTCGCATACTCCTTCCAACAGAATACCCCTTCCGCCCGCCGTCCATCATGATGCTGACCCCGAACGGTCGCTTTGAGCTGAATACTAAGGTTAGTTTTATTTTTATTTCATCAACCGTTACAAAAATAGGAACGTAACAACCCTGTTCGAAGATATGCATCAGTTTCACAAGTTGTACGTGTCACTTCACCGCTGTAATACTCATTGGTGATCATGGCGTATATAGATCACGAAGAGCTGTGGCAGCCAGCCTGGGGTGTTCGCACAGGTGAGGCCCTTACGTCGCGACGAGCATTGTGCTGCTAAACAGATAACCTCTTCACAGCAATTATTGGGCTTCAAGGCTTTTTTCCGCTCAAGGGTACAGCTGCCGTTGGTGTCGGTGCCCTTGAATACCCAGCTTCCGAGCGCAGGCGGTTGGCGGCCCTGTACGTCCTGCACTACGACCTTCTGTCTCATTTCCCCCTTCTGACCACATATACATACAGCTCAAGGGACTGGGTTTGCCCGACATGCAAGCAGCCAAATCATCAGTCCCTCCCCGATCCCGCTACCACGGGATCATCATGTTCTTCCGATATTCATCCCTCCGAGACACCGGCTACTGTCTCGGACGTCACGCTTACTACAGAAGACGTCCCTCTCACGCCTACATCTCCAGATAGTTCTGCTTCTGTCGCAGTCTCTCCAGTTCCTATCCTAGCACCCACCCCCACACGCCCCATAATCCCAGTCAACGTCATTGTATCTCCCAAGCCCTCTACCTCGCAGCAGGTGAAAGGGTCTCTCCAGACCGAGGTTCAACGGCTCGGACAGGGTCAAACGCCGCAGGACCCTGCGCTTGCCGTTGCGATGAGCTACCCACGTCGTCCGCCTGTCCTGCTGGATTTGGCCATCTGCGTGTTGCTCGTCTTGGTGTTTGCTCTGATTATCAGGAGGATCTTCTGAGACTGGCTGCGACGGACTCGCACTTTTGCTTTGTTATTTATAACCGTGCTTTGCGTGTGGAGTTGTGTGTATGAGTGGTGTAATTTAGATGTCTTCCTGTCAATGGATTTTGCATGCGCAGATAATGTGCCTCTTCCTTCGCGCTGGTACGCATATATGCCTTGCAACGGCTACCGGATGACAAGAGGAAAAGCTAGTCTACACATTGATACGAAGTAATAAGGATTACGGCCACGAACTAATTGAGATAGCAACCTAGGCGCGCTACTTTTTCTTCTGATCCCTGAGGCTGAGAACCACGAGATCTTCATCCTCCAAATTGTACATTGCAATGGAGTGTGCGTTCGTCAACATCTTGCCCGCATGCGCCAGCCGGATTCTGGAGATCGGCAAGTTGCCGGCGTGCTGCACTATGCGTTCGCGAAGAGTCGACACCAACAGGTTGAGCGGCAGGTCGGGGATGGTGACCACGCGGCCATCGAGCTGCCAATCGGGCTTCGAGGGGTCTTTCGGAAGTTGCACCAGTAGAGAGATTGGATGCTACACATATCCCAGTTAGTAGACATATCGAGCCACAGATGGAAGGACCACTCACCGGGTGCATACTGATCCAATCCGCTTCGGGGTACAGCTGCCCGCCAGGCAACTTCGCGACCCTCTGTCTCTTGGCGGGCGGGACTTCGTCGTTTGAACCTTCCATCTCATCCGCGCTGCGCACCGTTCCCACCTGAGGCGAATTTCCGCCAGGCATCGGCGATCCAGCGAGCGCAGCGACACGTGAGGGATGCATCATGGGCGCAGTAGGAGGTGGCTGGTAACCGAATGGCTGCGGCGCATCCAGACCTTGGTAATGGAGAGGAGGGAGCATGACGGGAGCGGGCTGGGGATACAGGGATGCTGGTTGCGGGCCTGAGGAGATTGTTGCCGCTGAATACGCAGAATCTGCAACGGGAACACCAGCTTGCATAGGGGGCTGGGGGAGGGATGCTGGTGGGGGAGGTAGAGAGGTCATCGGTGCCGGGACGGCAGCAGGTCCTATACCTGGACCGATAGCGGCTGCATCTTGCCTGCGATTGAACCGTGAGCCCATGCTGAACCCAACAAGTAAACAACCACTTACGGTCCAAGACCCTTCGCCCGATGAATAGCGGCAATTTGTTCGTCGAAATTAACGTTCGTGGAGAACTTGTCGAGCGTGTTCGCCTTTGATGCAGTGTGACCATCCCAGACGACCTTCTCCCTTTCTCTCCGCCGCAGCCTCTCCTCCTCCTCTTCCTTCTTACGCTTCTCCTCGTCGGCTTCCATACCGAAGATATCCACACGCGTACGTGCAAGATTCTTAAGCGACGACACGACATTCGCTCCACGTTGCAGCTCCGATGCCTGAGCTTTGCGAGCTTCAAGAGCATCGCGCTGCGACTTCCACCGAGGATCAAGTAGCTCGATACGCATGTGCTCTTGCAACTCGTCCACTGGGATCTGCTGACCACAGATACTACACGTCGTCATCTTCTCACCACCCTTCTTGCTGACTGAAATGTCCATTTAGTCCAGGACGTCAATAGCGAAAGAGCAGTATTAAGGCTTACGTTTAGGGACATAATCCGTCCTGATCTTCATGGGTGCACCTGCATCCAATGAGCTTGCTTGGATGGCCCGCGCTCTCTCAAGCTCTCTGACGCGCTCCTCTTCCTCACGCCTCTTCCGCTCTTGCACCTCCCTGTCTTCATCATCGCTCTCTTCCATCACCGCACCATCTTCGCCTCCTGCGCCGGCACCACCGACAGCAGCAGCGGCCTCAGCTTCTGCAGCAGCTTGACGCGCCCGGTGTGCTTCGACGTCCTCAGCCGTAGTCTCCATAATCATCGCAGCCATCCTCTTCTGAGCGAGTGTCATGCTCTCCACTTCTTGCACGCTCATTGGGGGTGGAAGCTCAGATGCAGCGTCGGCAGCAGTGAATTCGATAGTCTGCACGATGGCATAATCATGCCAGTCAATCTCAGCAAAAGCGACTGTTAGAAAATGTGTGAGTGTGAAAGGACTTTGCATGAGATAACGAGATACGTACTTCTTTCAGCCTCTTTGTCGTCTTCCCGCTTCTTGTCCTTTTCTCTCTTGACCTGCTCCCACCTTGCACGCTTTCTCGCAAGCTCCAGATCCTTCCACCGCGCACCTTCTCGAGAACGCTCCTTGAGCTGCGTCAATGTCTCAGGGCTGGGAAGAAGAACCTTCGAATATTGTTCAACAAGCCGATTGAAATAGCCATAGAGAGAATGTGAGGGTCGCAAGAAATCAAACTGATAGTTCCGCCCTTCCCTTGCGGACAGCGAGGCGAAGAACGAATGACCTCGTCGAGCGGTAAATAGCGCGGTCAGCTTCATGATGTCCCTGCAGCATACGACGTTCAGGACCGCCACGGAAATCAGGAAAATAGTAACTCACAAGTCAATCGCACTGATATTGGGAATGTTCAAGATAAACTTAGGAATGGGCGGCTCAATGCCATTATCCACTTCCCGCACCTCTGTAACACTCTCCATCGGCACCTTTTCCTCCTTGGGTGCATTGTCATCGTCGATCTCACCCCGCACTACCTTCTCCATGCGATTTCTATAATAAGCATGGTAAGGGTCGGCGGGGTTGAGGAACGAGAACTTTGGGTCCTGACGCTGGTTCTCGCGAATTTTGTCCTCGAACTGGGGAGGATTTGCCGACCTTGCGACGAAGAGTGCTGTTCGGTCAATCACAGCTGTTTCAGAGACAAACATTAGTACTCGTACAGAGCCTACAGTGGAATATTTCGGGGGATTACTCACACTTGATCTCCGGGGGCGGTAAGATAAGTCCACTAGCGAATTTTGGCTCCCTGGGGACGCCGTTGAACTCGTTATGACCGTTAATTGCATGTCCATTACCATTCATCCCGTGTCCGGGAGCCATTTGAATCTCCACAGCGGCCATTGTGGAAGCAGCAGGAGTGAAAACAACGACGCAGAGGTGAGAAGTAAGAAGCGCCCGATACTACGTCGCGCGTGCACTTAGCGCCACCGGCTTAGTCAGCACCTTGTCTGCACCGCTTGGAGTGGATACTAACGGTGAGCAGACGACCAACATGTTCGGAGCTTTCAGAGCGACCCAGCCGACACTCGGAGGTCTTCTCTGGTAATTCTATTGCGAACTGCATATGTTTTCGAGCCGCTTAATTTTATTTTACAGGAAGGTCCCATGGAGATTGTCACCAACCCGTAAGGCCAATGTCCGGACACGACTGAAGAGAGTGGACTCGGTCATCGAGGCCGTTAGAGTCAGTGGGGTCCAGTGTGCTGCATTGGTGAGTAGATCGATTGCCGCTTGACCGCGGCAGCGCTGAGTGTCTTCGCTGGTTAGACGAAAGCTCTCGAGCTCCCGAAGGAGAGCGAAATGCCTGCGAGGGATAAGTACACCGTGTTCACCCGTCATGCTCACTACAGGAACTACCGCAAAGGTATCCATAAAGTGCCCAAGTTTACGCGGGTGCGTCGTGGCTGGCCATTGCACAATGCGCGAACACTGACACACGCCTCAGTTGACGTTGAGGACAAATCCAAAGGGTTTCTAGTCTTGGTTCCCTGCAGCTTCTTGTAGCGTATATATTTCCACTATAATCTATTGGCATGGCACCGTCTGGCGATTTCCAAGTGCTTCCCCGTCGATCCTCCAGAATACCAAGGATGTAGCTCAGATACGCATCCCTCGTTCGAGTGAAGTCATGCATGCTCACAGCTAGCAACGTGCCTCGAGACTCTTCGTGACGTCTCTGATGCCTGGTCCATCCTGGTGAGCGCCCGTTTACTTCGTCGCTATCTTTACCTGGGCCCGGCGCCGTACTCTATCGCATGGTTTCCGCAGCAAAGAATGTTCAACTCCATAGCTGCTTCCTGGATACTTGTTAAGATCATGATCCTCGGCGTGCTAGAGTTCCGGATGATGTCACTGTTTCCCGGTTTCCGTTCTTCGCGCTCGAAGTGTCAGCCTCAGAGGACGCCTCGTATCTCCGGGGTAGGGCAACACGCTCAACATCCACCCCAAACCATCTTTGTTCCACCCAGACTTCGCATGAACGCATACCCGACCCCCTCCCCCATAGGTTCGCAATCACTATATTCAATGGGGCTCGACGATGTGTGTGGAACCCATCACCCGCAGGCCACGTCTCGACGGTCAGTTGAACTGAAGTCTAATGGATGACTCACTGTGGGGTAGAGACGTCTCTCATCTGGCGGATGTTCCAGAGTTGGCTGCCAACTCACGGACCTCTGTTTTTTCCTGGGCTCGATCCATGCTAGTGGATCGGAATTCATTGCATCTTCACCGCCGCCGAGAGTCCTTGCACGATAAGTTACCACATCCGGTAACGCGATTTCTGATCGATCGCCTAGTGCTCGACCTGGGTTGCGCTCTGTCGGCAGTGAACAACGAATTGCGAGCGGCATCTCACGAACATGGTGTCGGTGCTTGTATAGACAGCGAACCAAGTGGTCAAGCTAGTGATGGCGCACGCTCTCTCAGGGACCGAGAGCTCGCCTGTATGCAATGTGGGATCCTGCAAATGAGGTTTCCCCGAAAACTTCTCATGGATAATTGTCTGAACAATATACAATGCTCGACTATGGTCACTTTAAGCGGGAATCATACGTAGTGAGTCTAATGGGAAGTATCGGTTGCAGATCGTCAGCGATTATGTTGCATATACGTTAGCTACAACCCACTGAGGATCGACGGGAGTGAGAAGGATACCGACGTAGAGAATCCGACTTGTCCTCACCATGCTGATGACGACATACGTTCTCACAGCAAGACCAGCCGTATCTTCCCCTGCTTCAAACCCTGTAAGACTTTTGGCGCGCCCAGAACGGTCTTGAATACCTCATCTCTTGTCTCGGGAATGTCTAGGACGCAGCGCTTCTTCGCGTCTCGGTAGGACATGTCGAGGATAATGTGTGTCAAAGCTGACGTCGACAGCGCATCTGATTGGCACGACGAGGGAAAACAACGATGAGAATAGAGATTAAGTGGCGCACGATGACACCGACTTACCGGTGTCGCACAACAACTTCCCGAGTCGTCCTGGTGTGCCCACTGCGGCCGCCACCTTGGTGCGTCTCAAATAAGCGACCTGATCCTCTACTTTGATGTGTCTCGCGAACAGCTTGGCGATCTCACCGCCCTTATCTCCTCGCAGTCTTTTGTCCTTAAGGACCCTGACTATGTCTGCCACCCGCAGGGCTGCCCCAGCTACAAAGATCAGCGTCGGTGATCCGCTGAACTTGGGCCTCTGCGATAAACGAGTACGCAGTGTGGGAACCACTATAGTCAGGCGGTGTTATTCACGGGGGACAGAAGAGAAAGCGCGCGGTAGCTTACTCTTGGCTATAAAGTCCACCAGCTGGTCGAGATTGCGCGACCCCGTCCATGGAGTCGTGTCTGCGATGGAGATCTCTTCCTGATCGTCAACATTAAAGGGGATCTTCGGTAAGGAGAGAAGGAACTTACCAGGTATCTGGATGTCGGCGAGCTCGACGCCGGACATCTTCGAGAATGTCTTCGCCTGCATGGACGACATGTAGTCTGCCAATAACACGGGGGGCTGAGCCGCCATTGAGGGGGGCTCAATGGGCTCTACCGTCTCAGCCAATTTGCGTTTCTACATGTTTGCGGAGTGATACGAGCACCAGCCTGAGAAACACACATGGCAGGCGGCGGAATGAATTTGCAGACCTTGCGCTCCTTCTCCTTCTCCCTACGTTTCCGCTTCTTCGCAGTTGTGGCCTGATCCGCACCCTCTTGCGCCGCGGCGCCCTCGCCTTCCTCTTCTGCGCTCAGCAAGCCACTGATGTCGTCGCCGTCCGGGGTCAAATCTTCGTCCTCGGACATGGCGACGAGATCGTCCGGGACGAAGTCATCATCGAGATCGTCACCTCGCTGCCTGCTCATCGTCGCGGTGGTCAAGAGGAAGTAGAGGTGTAGCAAGAAGGGGTCAATATAGCGCAAAGAAGTATACCCGGGCCCAGTGGGACTTGGAGAGAAAGAAAGAGCACGTGGCGATGCAAGAACTCCGGCCAACTGCTGGGAGATCTTCGCCAGGTTCCCTGTCTCCATGATCTCCCTCTCTTCCCTCTCCGACCCCTTCTCCAAAATCCTCGTCTTCCTATAGGTCGCTTGCGTCAAGGACTTGGAAGAAGTCTTTCCTCTGACACGCGCAGCCAATGCTACCGTGAGCACCGGCGCGTCTCTCGTTCATCTCTACGAAATGGATGCAATTTGGCCTTCATCTTGGGCTCTGTTTGCCCAGTGCTGTCTCCCGCTGCTCTTAACTGTCGCTCTTCTCATGTCGTGTGCCTCTCTCTGGCCTCGGCGTCTTCCATCGTGTGAACACCCGAAGCACGGTGACAGCCCAATCAAGCTAGTCCAACCTTGTTCTCGGGCATCTTCAGCAGAAAGCACTATCGACTTGGACTCTACGGGGATAAGTGAATCCCAGAGTGCTCCACGAGGTCCAAAGCAGCCATACGATGCGTTCCTGGTTCTCGATGTCGAGGCTACCTGCGTGGCCGGTGCCAAGTTTGACTATCCAAGCGAGATCATTGCAAGTGCCATGCGTCGCGTTCTCTGCCTGTTATCAGAAGAGACTAACACTGATGCAAAGTAGGAGTGGCCCGTTTGTCTCCTGCGTTGGAAGGATAAGGATCGCAATGAAAGAGCACGCGTGCTCGAGATAGTGGACGAGTTCCGAAGTTTCGTCAGACCCACTTGGCGGCCCCAACTGTCGCAGTTCTGTACTGATCTGACTGGTATTACCCAAGTTCGTACATCGATTCTTTCGAGTGAGAAGTGATTAAGGAATGCTTGCATGTGTAGGAACAAGTAGACAGTGCGCCGACTTTCACGCAATTGATGGACATCTTTAGAGAGTTTATGGAGAGACATGGTCTCATTGAATTCGAAACGGGCCGACGGCTCATACGCTTCTGTTGGTGCAGTGACGGACCCTTTGACATACGCGATTTTGTGGTGAAGCAATGTTTCATGTCTAAGGTACGGGTAGTAATTCGATGCATGATATATGGAATTGACTACTGCGGACCTGTAGATTTCCATGCCTGCATGGCTTAGCGGTGACGTGCTAGATGTGCGAAGCGCAGTCGGGGAATGGTATCTCACTACGTCTCGACGTTGTCAAGAAAAAAGATATATTGAGGTGAGCAAACTCTGGCTAAAGTGCGTGCGACGCTCTTGAGACATAGCAAATCGCAGTGTGCCTTTCCGATGCCGAAACGTCTTTCGATTTCTATTCCTCGCCAATTGCAAGTGCTCGGTCTTTCACCGTTTCAAGGCCGTCAGCACAGCGGAATGGATGTCTGTCTTGTCCTCAAAATTTTTACTGTTCGCGAAATTGACGGAATAAAATTTTCTAGGTCAGGACACCCGCAATATCACCCGCATCGTTATTGAACTCGCTCGGAAGGGTGTCAAGATGCAGCCGAACACAGCCATAAATCCCAACAAAAGATGGCGTTGGATGGGCAAACGGGGAAGGGTAGTGGAGGGTTATTATTAATGGCCAATATCCGACCTCGCGTTTGGTGCTGAAGCGGCACCAAATGGTGCACCCAAACCGTGTGCTTATTTCCCATGCGCACTGCGCTTTCTGCCTGTCCACTAACTGGCGAGTCCTCGAAAAGTTTCCCGCGATGATCTGGGAGGATCAGTGGCTCTCGACCTCCCACCACCAGAGTATAGCACCCGATTGCGTCATTGGATACTCCCACACTGTACGGACACGAGATGGTTAACCTTCTCACACAATGAATTCTCCGTGGATGTGAATAGAGATTATATTTACACAAAATTTTTCCGGTACAATCGCCGCCTCCTCGATTACAGTACTAGGTAACAATGTTGCATTTCGACTGCTAGGAAGGCCATATGCGAATGATTGATACAGTGAGTTAGACATAGTGACAAGCAATGAGGGTGAGGAGAGGCATCTGATAGTCTATTGGGGCGGCGTATGAGCCTGCCATGACGCCATCGCCGGTCGTACGCGCCGTTCGTTCACTGCAAGGGGAGCGCAATCAGTACATGCTAGACAGATTGTTGTCAAGGACTTACGAAGTCCCAGAGAGTACCAAAGCACGGAATTCCAGCCTCCTTGCACCCCTAGATTGCGCGGGGCGTGTAATCAGCGTAATCTTACTGGCTGTGGTGAGGAATATCTACCCACCTGCATCATCTCAGAGTTACCGACGTAGTTGGAAGTGATGAACACGACTAGAAGCGCCAGCGCTCAGTGTTGAACGAGATTGATGCAACAGTGTCTCTCACCTTCCGCCTTCCAAGAGTGGTACACCTCCTTAAGGATCTTCATGGTGTCTGGGCGGCCGCCTCGCTCCCTGCTGTCCCACAAAAGAAGGCGTTCTGGCCCAATGTTGCGGTGAATGAGACCACTGATAGTAGGACCGAAGGTCTTCTCCTGGTCAGAGCCTGAAAAATCGCAAGGTCAATGCCTATGACCACGGACGGGTTGGGAAGCCAGTGTACCTATCCAGATCAAGAACCTAGAGAGCGTTGAGTATCAGTCTAATGCCTGTGGCCGCACGGCGTGATTGGTACGCACCAGTAGGGTGACTGAATGCATGTGGCTAGGGCGGCGCCAATACCGGTACCCGTGCAAATACGAATACCGCGGTGGTAGAGAGTCGAAGTATTGGAGACACCAGCGAGCTGTGTGACGTCGGTAAGAAAGCTCGAACCCACGACATTCGAACTAACCTTCAGTTCCCGGGTCCAGATCTTCCTTGGTGGGTCATTGACGAGACTGCGAGTGAAGTCACCTGAATATCGGGACATCAGTATGCACCCCTTTCAATAAGCTGAACAAATGTGTGCGAACCTTGCACACCGCAGATCAAATAGTGGTACTTGGCGTGTGTACCCTCTCTGAAACGGACAAGGATGAATAGGTACCTTGGCCAAAGTGGGAAAGTACTCACGAAATGACACCAAAAGCATGGTACTCTTTGACAGCGCTACGGCTGATCCGAGCAAGAAGTCCTTGCTGCATGCCACGCTCAAAGCGCAGAACTGCGACCTTGGGGGACGGCTAGACCAGGAGAGGTAAGCTTACGGTCTGAACGTGGCCGACAAGTTGCACATACAAGCTCGACGTCGACCTTGACATGCCTCGTGCAGATCCAGGGAAGGACAATCCAAGCTGTCATCCCGATGACAAACCAGAAATCCTGCTGCTTCGCGACGTGTCTGCCGTTCATAGCCCACTTCTTGGTCTCGGGGTCCCAGAGATCACCCATGATTGTGAAGATCCCTGACAAGGAGAGAGTGTTATGCGAGGACCTCACGTGGGGGAGGTTGCTACTCACAAGTAAGTCCCAGTCCGGTCCAGCCGAAGAAACGGTGGTTGCGCTCAAATACGCTAGGGACAGAACTCAGCGGTGCGAACATCTACACAGAAATACTGGCGTACTTGTGGTGGGTGTTGCGGACGATGGGGAATCCGGCAATGGCAGCGATTATGAGAACAACGTTAGCGGCCAGACCAAACACCAAGATTGCGTCGTGTTCATTGTAATGGTTGCGATAAGTGTCGACGATCCTGAATGTCAACCAGATAATCCCAGAAATCGCGCAACCGGAGTGAATGCCACCAAGATGCTGTTATTACATGTCAAACTACCAAGGTAGAACGACAAGTGGTCGACTTGCCTGCAGCACTGAAGTGCAACCCAACCGCCACCACAAAGGCGTCCACTGCAGACAGATATCGATATAAGATGGACATACATCGAATAAATGTACAAACCTTAGCAAATAGCGTGTTGACGAAGATATACAAACAACGTCCGAAAATCTCATTGCGAACCAAGAAGGACACGTTGAAATTCGCCACGGCCATAGCGGAACCGTACTTGACCGCGTAAGCCCAGTGACCGGAGACAGCGAAGCCGAACATTATTATGTTAACAGAAAACGCGATGGTGAATAATTTACTGGAAAACATCAGTAAGTGTGTCTGGACAGATCACCAGGGAATGTCCGTTACTAACCGGTAAGTGTTGTACCAGAGTTGCAAGATGATCCATTTGGACGCCTTCTTCTTCGGCGGCTTGCTGGGGGTCTTCGGCGGCGTCTGCTCTTTCTTAGCCTCGGAAACTGGGAATACGCTCGCGACGGCGAGCTCCTTCTCGTCCTTAGGAAAAGTCAGAGCCTGCTTCTCGTTGTATATGAGGTCCACCGGGGACGAGTGCACGTCGAATGTACCCTTCTCGGCGTCATCGTACGCTGGGGCGAGGACCTTTGGAATCTCAGACGACATCAGGGCAGAGATGCTGTGGGAGCAAGGGCTGCGTAGGGAGCTAACACGGGCTGTGCAGTGAAAGAATGGGACGGGGTTTCCGACTTGAACAGGATGACTTGCTTCACCTTTTATGCATCCCAGAAATTCGGAATGGACCTATTCGGGACAGTGCGTGTGGATACGCTTTCGGGGCGTTCCACAAGGTAACTTAGTACCGGAAAATGGAGATCGGAGAAAAGGAACTGCCATCCGGAGAAGAGCCAATCTCTAGAGTTCTACGCAGTTGAATCAAGTTTGTGAGGAGTACGATAGTCGGCGTCCGAGAGATGGTAACTGACACCGAATTGCCTGCGAACCAAGATCCAGGCTGTTAAGTTCCGATTTGTCCAGTACGTTCGAAAGCGTTTCCACACGTCCTCTGCTCAATCCTGAGGCCTTCTTCGGTAACCGGTGAAACAATACAGATATTTGCTGCCACAAGCTGAAAGCAGGAACCCTGTAGGTAATCCCACCATGGGCTGCGAACAGCGCACTGTCTAAAATTTTGGGCTGACAGTTTATTTGATTAGAGCTGATGATGGCGATGAACGAATGAATGCACATGGAACTACAACATACCTTCCCACTGTGAGCGCCTACCCCCACGAATACGACAGGTAGACACTCTATGACACGCTTCAATGATAATGGGTACTCGAGACGACTCGAGAGCGTGTCGAAACAGGGTCCCCACCCAAATTTCTTCGCACGCAAACACTGCAGGTGGTACTACTGCACGGTGCGCCTATGCCGCTTTGTTAACAGTGAGAACTGGCTCGAAAAGTGCATCAAGCACGTTCCACGGAACTGCGTGTCCATCTACGTATGGGATGCATACCGACATTGAGAGAACCAACAAAATTCTCACGTTGGCATCTGGGTGGAGAATTTCGACGTATTAATAAAAGTAACAGTGCAATCACTGGTATACGCGTACTCACGCATTAAAGCGATCGAAAGGTCGTCGGCACCGGATAGAGAGGCTTGGCCCCGTTACCTAGATCATCCAGATTCCTGGTATAATTAGAACTGGTGTTGGCTAGTTCGCACACTCACCAATGCCATGATTGACAAGCTTGCAGAGTGGGTACGGTTTGGAAAAGCCGTTTTCGCGGGTCTATCTGCAGGCACGCAGAGCATCGCAAGCAAGCGGTTTCCCATGGCCCTGTCAAACTGAACACTGCTTAGTAGCAGGGGTAAGTCATGATCATACCACCGGCTCTGGAGGACTCGTGTCAGAAGGGGACGACGAAGAGCTCGTCAGAAAGTTGGAATGGATCTTTCAGCGTCAGTTTGGATCCGGGAGGACTTAATTCTCGGAAGCTTCGCTTTGAGGAAGCACCACCATATTTGTATTGAGCGGGAAGTCCTCGGCTTCGCCCGCAGACCTCATGCAGTATCCTCGGGATGCCAGCGCTCGGCGCATCGTTAGAACAATCAAGAACTACCTGTTAAACAACATTCAGGTTTCCCAACGACTGCCGCTATCGGCTGCATCTCATCATGGCGTCAACGCACGCACTTTGACGGCTTCTCGCCAAAACACGCTTATCATGACGATGCACGAGGAACGGACACGCGCGACAAGTAACATAACAATACAAATTCCACACCACCGTGGCTATGTAGTATGAGACAGCAGGATATATCAGGTACACAGAGGAGCAGAAATTTCCAGGCCATAAATAATGTGTGAAAGAATCGAGTCAATTCGCCTCGGCGACATCCCGCAGGTGTTTCAGCTGCTTGGACACCTCTTCCTTGAACATGAAGATATCGCTGCTGTTCTTGATGATGGCCCGCATGGTCTCATCTTTCAGTCGGTTCACCTTGTCTACTTGCTCTCGATATCTGTCGACCGATCAGACGAGTATGCACCTTAAGGTAGACACGATACGCACGCAATCTGTAATGCCTGCATTCGAGACTTCACTCCTACTCCATTGGCCATGGCAGATGTTCTTGCCTGCGCCAAGTCCCTTTCTAGGCGAGAAGCCTCCGCATTACTCACCAGCGCTTCTTGCTGGGCCACCTACGGACGAGAAAATAGAGTTAGAAACCAATCCCAGGATAGCTATTGGATGAAGCAGGAACGAGGAAGGAAACGACATACCTCGCGTAATTCATCCGCCTGATCGCTGAGCCCGTTGACTTTGTTGCTGATCTCCATGACTTCCTCGTCCATGTTTTCGCATTCCAGTGTCAGCTGGTCCAACTCGTCATCTACCTTGATCCGCTCACTCTCCACCAGAGCTCGCTCTGTTCTTTTTATCTCCGCTACCTTGCTCAACGTTGGCTTCACGACCACTCTGATGTCAGGTCCCGAGAGGAGATTCTGGGGATTCGCTGCCGCCGAGTTGAGATCGAGCGTGAGATCGATCTCTTCCAGCGGTGGAGGGAGAGGGGGAAACAGTCCGAGGTTGGAAAGTAGATTGTTGTACAGGTCCAGAGCCTCCTCTGCGTCGGATACTTTTCGCGTCAATGACACCTCGAGCTTCACGACGGCCTGGTTTGTCTCCGCGATCTTGTGCTTGAGAGTCTCCACATCACGAGAAAGTGTCTCATGTTCAGTGTTCATCCGAATAACCTCCTCAGGCGTCAGGTTCTGAACCTTGACAACGTCGGCGAGCCTCTGTTTTTCCGCCTGCAACTTCTCCAAACTTGAGACTTGAGAAAGAACAGCCAGTCATTGAGAGGACTTCTATCTTGATAAAAAAGAAGTTCATACCGGCATTGGCGAGCTCGGCCGTCTCTCTTTCCAAGAACTTTATCCGTTTCTCCTTCTGATGTTCACATCGCCGCAGAATCTCCTCGAACTTTGCCTTGTCGCGCTTGATGCGAGCGAAGTCCTCTTTTAATTTCTCGATAGGTGCCTGATCCACGGGAGGGAATTAGTACAGTACGATACGTTACGTTGTGACTGCACATACAGGTGACTCAGTGAGCATCTCCAACTCATTCTGGACTTGCATGGACTGCTCTTTACTCTCATCTAACTCTGCGACAACTTGTCCGTCTTTCTTGGCTGTCGACTGGGGTGAGCAGGGATTACAAAAATCGTAATACGACTAACTTGCCATAGCGTTCTTCGAGGATCCTCTCCTGCTCCGGAAAGGCATCTTTACCCTCAAGGAACACCGCATAAGAGGCTATGTAGTGGTCCATCGCAAGCGCTTCATGGTGGTTGATATCGTCGAACTGTTCCGGTACTACTGATGAATTCTGTAATGTCACATCGTCGCTGTCCACGTAGTGCATGCGCATCTAATTTCGCAATGTCAATCGCCAGCTTGCGACTTTTCTGAATGAAACCGAGTACATGAGATGACTGACCCTGCCCGTCTCCGCTAACCAATGCAACACACCCAACAAATGTGGCCATGAGTGTGGCGTTGCTGGTGTAACGATCCATTTAAGGTCAATTTGACCAACATATGGGTATCGGAGAGCCCTTAGCGGCTGCAGAAATTGCTCTTCGAGTCGACGATCCAACTCAAACGGCCACGATGAGTCCAGCAGAGTTACAAGACGCTCAAACACGCTGCGAAAGTCCTTGTTGCTGACGTTCTGCAGGATCTGTGGTGGCACATCGTATCCATTGCTGAGCAACCATGTGACGATGTCTTGGCGCATTCTAGCTTGGAACTGTTTATCGCGCAGAGGGCGGGTGTCCTTTGCGGATCCTTGGCCGCCTGGGAGGGGACCAATTTGAGCTCCTCCTGCCCACATGGAGCCCCTGCGTGTATTGCTATAGAAAGGGGATGTTTCAACACCGTTAATTAGAGTGAGAGAGTCAAGACCAAATATAAGCTGGCGCATATGGCGTTCGTGATAGCACTCGTGCATTTTACAATGACAACCGAGGTGCAACAAACACCCTGCTCTCGATTGGCTATTCGCACTCTCAGGCCTACCGCAAGACATCAAAAGCAACCGTGCACTTCAAGACAGCCATGAAGCGTCATTGCGCATAACATATGAGTTGAAGTTGACTCACTTGTGCATTGGTGTCCTACCAAAACCGGGCTTACTCGCGCTTTGCAAGAGCGGGTTGAGGTTCTGCGAGCGCATCATGGAAAGTCGCGGATTCGTTCCCGGAACCTGTGGCATTGGGCCTCTTAGTGCTGGGCCCGCCATAGACATACGCCCGTGGGGTGTTGGTTTCTTGATGGTAGACGGTAGTGGGATGTTGGAGCGACCATTGTTGGGCTCGACCACGGACTGCATGGCGGAGCGACGACCAAAATCGGTCATGGAAGGAGTACAGTTAACTGACTGTCAAGTCTCTCGGACAAATTTCAGGTATAGGCCCAGCAATGCGCAGACAGTCGCGCAGCAGGCATAGTTCGGAGTCAAGACCCAAAGTGCGAACGCGTTCTGTCACGACCACGTGAGTATATCACGTGACTAGCCATACAGAGGCCGCTCTGTCTGACGGGGCCGGGACTTACCACTTTACAGCGCCTCATCACTTCTATTACTTTCCCAATGGCTGCTTCCACATCGCGAGGTCTATTTGGCGGCGCAATAACTGTCACTCTTCCCCCCGATCTGATAGATGCCTCGTACGTCGCTATCCCATCGCTTAGGGCATTGTCTGAGAATTTGCAGCGATCTCCGTCAGGTTCCTGACACTCAGGAAGTATTTCTCTACCCGAATTCCGGCATCAGTATAATTGTCGAAATATTGCAAAGCGTCAAAGCAGAAGATTTGCTCGATGCCGCCAGGCGAGTTGTATGATGAGTATGAGAACCACCTACCCGCTGACAACTCCTTGTTCTCGACAGGGTCCACTTTGATGCTCTCGCATACGACAACAGCTCTGAGAAAGACGAAATACTTCAAGTGGAGCAATTGTCTCAGGACACTAGTCATCAGATGCCGGCACCCGTTGTGCTGAGCGGCACGCAGGCCGTCCCGAAATTCAACAGCACAGCTCCAGACAGGATTCGTGTCCTCCTGGCCGTCTATCGCGTACAGAGCCACAATCTTGACCTTGTAATGACTATGAACGTCCCGACGGAGACCCATGACGGTGGAGCCGTCAACAGTGCCGATTGGGCAAACGCACAGGATGTGTTCCTCGTCGCTGCACGCTCGTTGAAGATCATCGACTATGGTCTTTTCGCTTAGGATGTATGTGATCTCGGATTTCTCTGTTTCTTCGACTGACTCCGACCACCGATATGCTGGCTTTTGCCGTTGTGGTGGATTGGTCAGTTCAGGCCTTCTTCCGTTCTCTCTGAATGGTCATGAACTTGAGGTTTTATCATAGTGCGTGACTGAATTCCATATTCTACTGTACCGTACGTCGTGTCTCATTATGCGCACACACGGCATTGGTGATGATGATTCAATCATGAGGGAAAAGAATACTGCGAGATGTCAGCATACCACTATTAGAGGATGTTTTTCACTAGTTATCATACTCGTTGCAGCGTAGAGGATGTGCAATGGAAAAGCCTCTTTGCCGTGGACACACACTATGGGGAAGCACTGCGGGGTAGCCGCCACCGGCAGTCGCCGGCGGAGTTCAACCACAGCCCGATCGCTACGCGAGCTTCAACAGACGCGCTTCCATTACTGTGCCGAGCACTGCATCAAAGTCTTTTCCTCATCTCTTGTCCATCTGCAGTGATGTCTTCGCTCGAATCGCCGTTGAATTCGGTAAATATAGACGTCTGTCTAAGCATAAGCGTTTAATAAATCTGCACAGGCTCACCAACACGCGGCCAATGCGGACGATTTTGCCGCTCAAGGACTACTCATTCCAGCCTTAGAAGAACACACAAAGGCTGGGGAGGCTTTTCTTGCATGTGTTGAGGCTTCACACGACGAGAACGTACGTACTCCAACTCGTGCCGACATACGTTGATGTTCAACGAACTTTCTTTCTGAATGCGATATCTTAGACCAAACGAACCCTGAGAATGTTGTACAATGATCATGTCAAGGCGACAAAGGAGTTGCACCGCAGGATTTCTAAATTGCGGGAAGAAAACAAAGACCCCTTTTTGCCCCAGAAGCCAAGCGCGAATGTGCCCAGTCCTGCTGTTGCTGCTTCTATCGCACCTGCCCCGACGCCTTCACCACCCCCACATGTTCGCAATCGTATGAGCGACTCACAACAGACGGTGGACGAGTCCTTCATGTTGCTTGGACAGAGGGTGAGCTTACTGTACCGCTATTCATGTATCTGTTCTGATGCGAGTATTGCTAGAGTGACTCGGGAGATCCTTTCAACCAATTCTGGAAGATAACTGAAGGGATGTTAGACTATCTCTCTCAACCAGTAGCATTCGCAACGGCGCCACTTGCCCCGCCTAGTGCATCTGCACACAGGCGGCATGGCGGTAGAGACCCGAGTTCAAGCAGCGACACCGACGTTGAAGACCCGATTTCAAAGAGGTTGTCTCGGGGTATAGGATTGGTGAAGGCTGCGCGGTCCAAAATACTTTCCCGACACGATTCTTCGGCCACTGCGTCTGATTCTGAAGGAGGACGCGCCGCTGGTCCTAGCACTTTCGCGCCGAAGCCACAGCCTGACTATCGAGATGATTGGGATGATGACGTTGATGCAGATGAGGGTGGGATATCTTTTGCTTCAATGCATGAACTGTCCTACCGATGTCTCACTCCATACTCAGATGATATGGCGGACTCGTTTTGCCTGATACCCTCTAAATCCAATACTGCAGCTACAATTGTTCTCAAGAATGAGAACGCTGCCCTGAAAGTCGAGTTGGAGGAGACGAGGACACAAGTGGCCTCTATGGAGGGTATACTGAAGATGCGCCAAGAGCAGGACCAGCAACTACGAGATAGCATCATACTTGCCCGAAAAGAAGTAGGTAATTGCAGAGAGCGTTGCTGCTCATGTTGACTTTCTCTCAGGCCCACCGGGCTATGATATCCTCGACGATGGTACCTCGGCCAGTACCGGCGGGACAACCCACTGTCGACCTCACGTCTCTCAACCTCAACGTTCCACCCGTTCCACCACCAGTGGCTGCGCTCAATCCAGGACGCGACCGGGAGGCGCAGCTCGTGCGCCGTGTGCGAGAGCTCGAGGAAGAAGTACGCGCGGTCCGTGCAGAGAACGAGAAGCAGGTTCGCACTGACTGCCCACGCCCGTCTGGCTGCACGACTGACGCTATACGAGCAGAAAGCGATGATCGTGCGCTTCCGCGAGCGGTGGGAGAAACTCAAGGAGTCTGCGAAACGGAAGAAGGAAGCGAAGGCTGCTGCCGAGAATACTTCTATTGTCGGCGACCGCATCGATGAAGAACCGGAAGCTGAGGCGGAGGCCGAGAAGGACGACCTGCACCCGCGAAAGCAATCCGAGGGTGGTGGGGCTGTATCGACGTGAGGAGTCGTTGAATTCTAGATAGGTCCGAACAGCGGCTACATTCCCTTGATTTTTTCCTTCACAACACATGTCTTACTAACTTCTCTGTGCTGTGTCCATATGGGTTGTTTGCAAATGGACCCAGATTTTCAGTTCTCACAGTGGCATGTCGGACAATTACAAAATGGTCATTGGCCGGTTAGGCACCCAAGACGAAGTTCCTCGACCAATTCATGCATGGACAGCAGCACAATCAGCTCAGCGTCTAATAGCAACGGGCGCTGAGCTAGGGTTCATGCACTAAATCTTCAAGTTACTTCCGAGACCTCCAAACCTCGTTCCGAAAGTCAGTTCAAAAGATGGCTAACATCATTCTGCTCAGGACTAGAGGCTGCAATCCAAGTCAAGCGCATCCGACGCGGAAGAGCGGGTCTGATCGGATTGGTGTTTAGACTGCTGCCATATGGCTGCGGAGGCGGTCGCAGCGTACATTCTTGCACAACCACTTCATGGTCCATCTTTCCTGTCCAATCTAATCTTCCGCGATGTTTGATTTCGTGCGCAAGAAAAAAGACAAAGTCGAGAAGGCCGACCGTTTTCGGACGGAGGTAAGTCTTTGGACTTCTTTAGAGTGTGGTACCTTGGGATACAAAGTAACGCCGATGGAAAACAGACTGACGTCAAGAACGTCCATCGTAATGGTTGTTTACGTCCTTCCGAATACTCGAAGAAAGTCGGAAAGGTATGGTGCGTTCACTGTTCCCAGATTTGATGCTGAAATTGGTGGCTCCAGAAAAGGTCTCGGTATTTTAGCGTACCATTCGTCAAACACGAGGTAACGTACCGTTCAGAGGTATGGATCGATCGGTACTGAAGGCGCACTGCACAGGATGCGTTGACAGGAAGGCAACCTAAACGATCGCGAAAGAAACCACAGGTAGACCACCAGCGTATTTTGTTGTGTTTACTGTGCCTTATTCGTTCTCGTCAGGAACATCGAGGGCCTACATTTGACGTTGACCGTGATGACGAACGCCGTGAACCTGATAAGCCGAGATACGCACGAGCTCGGGATTCATCTTGCTCAGCAGCATCCTCCTACGCGATCCGCAATCCATTCCGGCAGGATTCGGCATATTCGTCCACGCTCGCTAGCCATGATTCACTCCCGGACTGCCTATTGTCGCCGGAAAATCTGCGATATGTTCCCAGTCATGTTCCTTTCGTCGTCAGTCCACACGGAGAGCAAGCGGATGTTTTCTTCCCTTTCGAGCACTCCGACTTGGAGAATGCCTTTCCAGCTCTGACGAACCCTTCTGCCGAATGGGCTATGCCATCGCCTACGCGGGGGATTGTGGAGAGACGATCAGAACCATCGAATGCTGTAAGTCTGTTGAGTCTTCCTTCACCAGAGGGAACTCCTAAACTTCACAATGAACAGGAATGGCCACAGGGCGTAGTCCACCCCCTCGATAGAGCCACGGGTGTTTCGCTGACGCCTGGCCGTGCATCGGCAGATTATCTGCAGGTAAATATACCCGGAAGCACGATGAGTCCAATTCCAGTACCGTGCCACAGTTTGTGGAGCAGGTTGTAACGCATACATGAGTGATTATACCGAGGAGACACGGACGGGCGCTTCTTCTTCAACGCGACTCGTATGGCGGATCTGTGATTGTATCGGTAGCTCACACACTGTATCTGTACTATCGTTCCACATTCAGAAGGATTCATTCTGCGGTAGACATTAAATTCAGTACATAGCGGGGAGGCGCTCTCGCAAGAGCTCTGCACATCGACTAAAACGTGAACCAGCCGTAAGCGCTAAGCACAACGTCTGGCTTACCGAGAGCACCCCGCCGGATTCCGTCTGAACAGATTCTGCTGAAGCCTGAAGGGTGTGAAGCATTCGGTGATGCTGGAAGGGATTCAGTGGACTTCGTGTATGAGGTTCAGTGCAAGAGGCCCAGGTAGCCTGAACATGCACTGAGACTGAGAGGGTTTCGTAGTACAGTCTGAAGACTTATAGCCTGAAGCTGAAGGCTCACCTCAGGCTGTAGGCTGGAAGCATCTGGGATGGCAGTCTACTTATAGTGGTGGCTTCGCCGGAAATTAAATAGATTAAATGAAAATAATTCGAGTGACATCTACAGTAGATGTCGCCCAGTACTTGTAAGATTAGCCTCCCAAAGGCAGACTGCAAAATCAGTCATATGAGAGGTGGGAGGGACGGACTGATATGGCTGTTTAGTACCTTTGCCAAGAATAAGAGACGAGACGTACTCCTGCAATTGTTCGAGGAGTGTGCCCAGTTAATTCAAACGCGAAACTAGCTGTTGGTGCTGACGATCCCACTGTACTCCAAGTTGATGCTGGCGTTCTTACTGTGCTAGATCCTCCTGGTGTTGTTTGATCTGTAGTTGTAGATCGTCGACGGGTTGCATATTCAAGTCCATTTGCAGAGCTGCACGAACGAGATTGTCGCTCGGATTATTGATGCTGGGGAGTTCCAAGTCAGGCATATAGCCGCCATAGCAAGACATTGGGAAGGGGGTACGAAAGGTCAAAGCTGGAGACCAGAGCAACGCTTGCCACCTCAAATACGAGCGCCTGAGCACAGTGAGGAGCGACATGAGGATTTGACATTGATAAATAAAAGACAAGCTTTTCTGTCGCATACAATCATCGCAAGTCCATGTACAGAGCTGAGGCTTGGCAAGAATGCCCGGTGAATGAGTGAACACGACCCTCTTGACCGACGCAGAAAACCGATGAACTTCAAATGATGGCTGCCAAATTTGGTCGAGAAATAGAAGTCGTTCTTCGCGCTCTCTGCTCTACGTCCAACCCACAATATCGTCTTACTCGCAATCATGTTTCAACGCGATCCTCGCGCCGGTGCATTCTTAGGAGGTGACAGAGTATCTGGACAGGACATCCGTGATCAAAATGGTGAGTAAGATCTTGCTAGCTGCTGGTCTTTTCTGAGGCCTCTCTGGATCGCAGTACTTGCCGCGCAAACAATTGCGAATGTCGTCAAAAGTTCACTGGGACCGATGGGATTGGACAAAATGCTGGTGGACAACATTGGGGTAGGCTCCCGAATCATAGATGAAACTCAACCTCATCCGTTCTTCCATGTCAGGAAGTTACGATCTCTAATGACGGCGCGACCATTCTATCACTCCTGGCGGTAGATCATCCTGCTGGTCGCGTATTCGTGGATCTTGCGCAAAAACAGGACAGGGAAGTTGGAGACGGTACAACATCTGTGGTACTCGTTGCTGCAGAGCTTCTCCGGAGAGCAAATGAACTTGTGAAGCAGAAAATCCATCCCACCACGATCATCACGGGATACAGGCTGGCATGCAGGGAGGCGTGCAAGTTCATGCAAGATCAGCTGAGCATCAAGGTGGAAGCGTTGGGCAGGGAGGCACTGATCAATTGCGCAAAGACAAGTATGTCTAGCAAGATCATTGGCGGGTGAGTCTAGTCCTCATCATAGGCGAGAGTATATATGCTTATTAATCACATGGAGCGATGATGACTTCTTCGCACCTATGGCAGTAGATGCCATGCTGGCTGTGAAGACCATCAATAGCCGCGGAGAAGTCAAGTATCCAGTGAAGGCGGTCAATGTCTTGAAGGCACACGGCCGGAGTGCTCGGGAATCGCTGTTTGTCAACGGATATGCTCTGAACTGTACTGTCGCTAGCCAGGGTAGGTATTTACAATGCGAGTCTCTTATATGGTGCTGATTTGTCGATGTTGTAGCCATGAAAACGCGTATAACAAACGCGAAGATTGCGTGCCTGGACATTAACCTGCAAAAAGCGCGTATGCAATTAGGTGTACAAATCCTGGTTGACGACCCCGAACAATTAGAAGACATCCGTTCACGGTATGCACATTTTTCAGATAATTACTCATATTTGTTCGTGCCACTAACTTTGGATCATTAGGGAGTCTGAAATAACACTCGAGCGCATCCGGAAAATCTTGGCTGCTGGAGCCAACGTTGTTTTGACTACGAAGGGCATTGACGATCTTTGTCTTAAGGAATTCGTCGAAGCCGGTGCCATGGCCGTTCGCAGATGTAGAAAGGAAGATCTGCGACGAATTGCAAAAGCGACCGGCGGTACTCTCGTATCAAGCCTTGCCAACCTGGAGGGCGAAGAGTCGTTTGAGCCAAGCTATCTGGGTACTGCTGAAGAAGTCGTGCAGGAGCGCATCTCAGATGACGAATTGATCCTCATCAAGGGTATGAAAGTTGTTAACTCATCATCCATCGTGCTCCGAGGCGCAAACGACTACATGTTGGACGAGATGGAGAGGGCGATTCATGATACATTGTCAATCATCAAGCGAACACTAGAGAGTGGCGCGGTTGTTCCTGGAGGAGGCGCTGTCGAGACTGCATTGAGCATTTATCTCGAGAATTTCGCGACAACCTTGGTAACGCTCCATGTTCTAGCCTTGTTCGCCTGCGTTCTGACATATATGTGATAGGGCTCAAGAGAACAGCTAGCCATCGCGGAGTTTGCAAGCGCCCTTCTCGTCATCCCTAAGACGCTGGCCGTCAATGCGGCGAAGGATTCAACGGAACTTGTCGCGAAGCTCCGTGCATATCATAATGCTGCTCTGAACGCGCCCGCAGGAGACCCGAAGAAGGCACTCTTGAGGTACGGTCTCGATCTCTTAAATGGCGAAGTACGGGACAACGTCACTGCTGGCATTCTCGAGCCTACCGTCAGCAAGGTCCGCAGTCTGAAGTCTGCATTCGAGGCAGCGGTTTCTCTCCTGCGCATCGACGATGCCATCCAATGTGTACCCGGTAAGTAATGTGCATACTAACGTTGAGACATGGTGGCTCTGACACTCTGACTCGGCAGAATCTAAGGGCGAACCTGATCCTCACGCTGGACATTGAGAATACTTAAGACGGATTTGGATCATCATGCGCAGCGGAGTAGTGATTATCATTAGTACCATAATGTGTACTCATCATTTGCGAGATAGTCTAATCCACGCATAACATCGGCCATTTGAGAGACAAACCTGAACGTTTGAACAACAAAGGCGCGATCGAGTCGCGTTGTGACGCGTGAGGGTGACGCGGTTGTCACATGACCTGGCGCGACTTCAACGTCAACAACCACGCCGCCCCGTCCTGCTCATCCTCCTCTTCGCTGCTCAGCCCAGTGAGCCGCGCTGACCCTTCCTCCACAATTACGACCTTAATCTTATGCACTAGGTGAATCTATGCAGCAAGAAGGCACATCATCTCCGTCACCTCGCCTATGCCACCGCTTCAATACGCTCATCTGGTCGTGTCTTGACGTTGATCTATACAAGTCTGCTCTATTTTATGCGGAGCGTTACTTTGTGCTTGACACAAATAATCACGACGCTCGCCATCTCTATGCAACCGCACTCTTACGTTCTGGCCAGCCACACTCTGCGCACTTCCTTGTGAACCTTCCTACGGACATCCGGTGTAGTGGCTGTTTCGAGATTAAGGCGAAGTGCTGTACTGCGCTGGGGAGACACAGACAAGCGAGAGAGGCGTTGGAGGAGAGTATGCGGGGTCGTGCATACACACCTGCACGTTCGTGTTCCGATTCTGTTCTCGTTTCTTTCATCTCTTCACGCGTCAATTTGCGTGCTCTACACAGCGTCCATGAGCTCCCGTACGGTGGTGTCGTTCCCCGAGGAGGCCGTTCTTCATTGTCGATCTGGGAATATGGCTCTCAAAGGCAATCTACCCGAGAATGCAGCTGTCAGTTTTCACAAGGCGTTGGCACTCAATCCCATGCTATGGGAAGCGTTCGAGGGGTTGTGTATGCTAGGTAGGTGTATAGTAAAGACAGATCTTTTCTTCGTGCCGATTGATGCGTGCTTCTTTCAGGCAGAATCCCAGAGATTGACGAACTTTTCCCCCCACGACCTCCGCCAATAAAGCAAATACCACCGGACGGGGCTCAGACTAAAGTACCCATCCCAGTGGCAACAGGTGCTGGCTTTTTCACGCCTGATGTCGGCGGCGGTGGTAACCTGTTTCGGGCGTGGAAGCCTGAGATCAGCCAGCCACAACCGTTTCGTTTAGACCAAGCATTGGGATCTCGCGACTCTATGTAAGTCAGTTCGGTGGGGCGTTCTATATCACATTCTCAATGCTATATTTTGATGCGTGAAAGAGCCTCCGCGGACTCTTCGTTATTTCCTGAAGCGTCGTTTGTGCAAGGGTCTCTTCGTCCGAGTCGGTCACAACCGATGGTCTCATTAGCGGTGCAACCCCCAGCTGTGCGTCCCCTTTCTTCAGCAGATGAGGCGGGCCCGGTGACCAAGAAGCTGCGCTCTGGTGTGCGGCAGCGTACGGCTCCCCCCTCAACAAACGCCGCGGACTCGAACACGAATCTGAAGCCGTCCAAGTCTGCTGGCGCGCTGCTCCTGGGGGCGGCCGACCGCATGAAAAGCTCAAAGGCACGCGCACGCCCGGCCCTGACAATTGCTAACATCTTCTCATCTTCCGGTCGTCCTGCCCAGACTACGGCGACGTCCTCTAGGTTACATGCGACCGGAGCGAAGGGTGGGCGTGAACAGCAACCTCCGGTCGGCGCTGCAACCAGGCGGAGTACGCGTCTGCTCGGCGGAGGCAATAGCAAGACGCTCGCCACAAAGGTGCGCACAACGTGCTAACGAGGCTGAGTAGTTGTTCAGCTTCTAATTCTGCATTCATTAGCATTCGACATTGCGGGACCGACGGCGGGTGCATACACGGGTGCGTTCTCGGTCGATAGAATCTGACATGGACGAAGAGCCTGGTGGCCCCCTTGCTTTCACTCCACCGCCTCCAATACCACAGTCCCCTCCAGAAGCCCCAGCCGGACCCAGTGTCCCGTCAGCGGCGCAAGAGCAGGCTGCGCAGGACTTGTACGATGCGGAGCTAGCAGACTACCACATATACGAGTTAATGCGGTCATTTGCTCGTGCGGGCAGGGCGATGGCCTTGTATGACTGTCACGAATGCCTGGAGCATCTGGAGAAATTGCCGTCCAATCATCAGCGATCTGCGTGGGTGATGGCCATGGTTGGGAAGGCTCATTACGAACTTGGTGAATATGTTGCAGTATGTGTCTCCCATTCAGACCCTTATCTTAGACCGTCGTCGCTATGATTGTATACTCACCTCATGTTTAATTTAGGCCGAGCGAGCCTTCGAAGCCGTGCGCAATCTGGAGCCGTACAGGCTCACCGACATGGAAGTGTACTCAACATTACTCTGGCATCTCCAACGGAATGTCAAGCTCTCGTTTCTCGCGCAGGAGCTGTTATCGACAGACCCACGATCACCACAAGCTTGGATCGCAGTCGGCAATTGCTTCTCCCTCCTGAAGGAGCGTGCGCAAGCTTTGACGTGTTTCCAGCGGGCAGCCCAGTTGGACCCTGCTTGCGCATATGCCTACACGTTGAGCGGACACGAGACGATCGACCAGGACCTTGACAAGGCGATCAATTTTTTCGAGTCTGCTTTACGTGCCGATGCACGGCACTACAACGCTTGGTGGGTTTATCCGTGTGAGTGGCGCGTCGTGGATGCTTATCTCTGCTTTGTTACGGAATGGTTAGGTATGGGCTAGGATCATGCTATATGCGAATGAGCAAGCTGCGACTCGCCGACTACCATTACCGCAGGGCCGCACAGATCCACCCTCAGAACGCGGTTCTTCTAGGATGCGTGGGGATGGTGAGTGTGGTCATGCGGCCTGTGGTGTGCGAGACGATGATGTATGGGTTTCTTCTTGTGAACAGGTTCACCAGCGCTGTGGGGAGCACGACAAGGCGCTGAAGTTGTTCGATGAGGCCGTGAGTCTGTCGCCGGAGAACGCGCTTGTGCGTTATCGACGGGCGAAGGTGCTTATCTCGCTCAGGAGATACAAAGTGAGTGGTCGTTGTATCCAGAGTGTGGGATCGAATATACTGATTGGCGAGGGGCGGCGTGTGAAAATGATATTGTGTGGACCGGCAGCTGGCTGTGGAAGATCTAGAGTACCTGCGCGATACATCACCGGAGGAGTCAAACGTTATCTTCCAACTGGCGAAGGTGTACCGGCTGCTTGGGGACGAGCTGAAGAGCGCGCAGACGCTGGCTGTGGCTCGCGACGTGTCTCCGAAGAGCGTGAACAAGATCAGGAAGCTGCTGGAGACGGTGAAGGACACGAGGTCGGAGGAGGAGGTGATGGATGTAGGATGAGGAGTATGTAGATAGGAATTGGAAGCACGGCACGGATATGTTGCAATATGGCTGCCATGGCATGGCCATTGCTTGATTGCACGCGATTGCACCGAGCGCAGGCAGTAGTGCACGTGATGTGAGTGAGAAAGGCCGAGTGCTGCCGAGTGGTCCCGATCAACCCTATTGGCTGGCGCGTCGCTCGACTGTTTTGGGCGATTGAGTCACCGCGACCGCGTATAAGACCACTGCCGCCCTGACTCCTTTTGCCAACCGCCCTCTCCCGCCACCAGCCACCATGTCTGCCTGAGCTCATCTCCCGCTCTCTAACCTCTTCTTTCTGGCTTCGCCCTGACATTCCACTCTCTGTCTGGCGAGTCGTTGAAACAAGCATGGTTAACAAATTCGTTCGCAAATCCAAGAACGGCACCATTCTGTTCGAGCCCTTCATCGTATACCGTATACACCAGTGACAACTGCCTCTGCCTCGTACGTCCTTTTCTCTCGATCGCGTCACGATTTGGTCCACATGTTCCACACGTTCGTATCCAGACCGCGCTCATAACCCCTGCACGTCGCTCAACCGGCCAGTAGCAACACTTGCCACACCACATCAGTCATTCTTTTTCGCGCGTTGATGTTCCCACTCGCAAAGCCTCGATCCCCATCTTTGTTCAGCATGGCCCGCTCCAAGCTGCAGTCTGCCGTTGGCGGTGGCGCCAAAGACAGCACCAGCTTGCATCGCTGGGTGCTCCTGAAAAACTCGATAGTTCGCTCTTCCCCTTCGGACGCCACCACTGCTACTCCAGAGGGGGCTGATGTAACAGACGTGTATCCACATGACGACGAGGAGGTGCACGAAGACGAAGATTCGGACGCTTTTATGTTCCCGGATCCCGATGCTGTACGCGGCTCCCGAGATTCTGGTCTGTGCGACCCCGAAAATCAGTGGTTGGACTCTCTGTTGCAGACGCTTGGTGATGATGACCAGGCGGAGAGCGAAGTCCCAGTGAACGCCGCAGACGACGACGACGAACCGCTAAGTCCTCTGTGCTCCCCCATGTCTTCGTCAGACGACCTCGTGAACCATTCCAGCTACTACGAGATCCAGCCGCCTCTTTCGATTCCGTATCCTGTCCCGTATCCACCACTTCACCCGCCACTTGTCCCGGCGTGGTTCGAAGATGAATCCCCCAGTGACTCTCTGTTGGACTCCAGCCCGCCGCTCTACCACGATCCCCTTCCATACTATGACGTTGATGATACAGAAGACTTGGCGGTTCCAGACGCGATCGAGGACACTTCCGACGACGAGTCAGACGCGCCTTCCACCCCGTGTTATCGCTCGACGACGTCGCTCTCGCCAACTGACCCTGCTTCTATTCCACTTCCCCCCGAGCAAACGCGGCTGCGCTCTCATCCTCTCCAACCTCGTGTATATATTGATACGGACGACTCTTACTTCTATCCTTTTGATCTCACCTCCATGCCTTCCCACGACGACGACCATCCCATTAGTGCGCGCGTGTTCCAACCCCCTATTTACCAGGAGTGCTAGGCGCATTCTATCAATCGCTAATTCGCTCTCGCCCTCGCCCTCGTCCCACTCCCCCTTTCCCATCATCGTCATCATTGTCGTCAGCTGGTTGTATTCTACGTGCTCATACTTATGCTCCCCCATATCCCACCGAATCGTGTCCATAATGGTGGTTTCTCATCGTTGTAGATTTGTTGCTTTGCTTTTGCGAATTTCAGGGTATTGATGCAATCATACGTAACGCGTAACGTGTGTAAAGTCCGACAGTAAATCCTATCTCCTGTTGGGATCTCGGTGAGTAACTGGGCCGGCGCTCGTGGAACGGCTAACTAGCCCAGAACTGAACGGCCCGCAACTCTCAGCCTCAGCTCCTGTCGCATGTGTGTACAGCGAGGCGGTGTACCTCAGAACGAGAAGGCAGAGAAGGGACGCAGAGAAGGGTCCCGCAGGAACTTCATACGAAAACCAGTGCCCTGGAGGCAGTTCTAAGTGACAGATCGCAGAGAAGATAAGTATTCAGTAGTGTATCCGGATCCGAGTTCTCCACTTCTGTGTGCGGGGAACGCCGCAGGCTCCCAGCGCCTGCGGGGAACGGCGCACCTCGCGCGTCAAGTCGCCGTCACCGTGCAGTCGGGGCGCTGGGACAGTTCCCACCAGTCGTCCGTAAGCGAGCCAACGGGGAGCTCTGCGGAGCGCGTGTGCTGGATCGCAGTGTTGTTGAACGCCGTCGGATGCGAGGGGCACGCCGGGAGAGCTCGGGTCGTTAGATAAGGCGCTGTGGCGAGCGGCAGAATGTGAGTGCGGGAACACGACGCAGAGCAGAGGGGGGGGAGGTCCCGTCTCACCCAGGCGCGATACGCAGGGGTACTCGACCGCGAATTTGCGTGATGGGGTGCTGCGCAGGCGTTGCGCCGCCGCTCAGTCTCGTCTTGGCTGAAAGGGGGAGGGTGCAGGGTGTGCTCACCTGTCGGCGTACTCGGTTAGGCGGTTGGCGATAAGGACGACGTTGGGCAGGCGGTCGCGCGTCCAGTTTTCACGTAAGAGGTTCTCATACAGCTGCAGGTCGCAATGCGGCATGAAGATGACGGTGGGTGCCGCGATCGCGTAGCGCGCACGCTGTGCGGGTTCGGAGTCAGCTAACGCCATGCACATAAGGGGGAGAGACGTGCTCTGTTCTCCGCGAGGCAGGCGACACCCAGCGTGTCGAGCAGCTGGGTGTCCTCCGCGGTGAAGACGGGGTCGTACGCGGTCACCTTCGCGCGGTCCTGGGACAGACGAACACGCGTTGATCTATTGATGGGGGTACATACACGAAAGGACACACTATGCTCAGGCCGTCGCACGCTGCGAGGAGAAACGCGAGCTGGGCACGTGCATCACGCGACGCCGCGGGGCTTCCCAGCCCGAGGCACAGTACATGAGGGGATCCGGGGAAGGACACGAGGGCGAGAGCCTCGCGCAGGAGTTCTGGATCGGGCGTCGTCTGTCAAGAGTCAAGAGACATCATCGAGCAGCGGGACCACCAACGGACGTGTCGACTCGTCCACCCAACCGCTGCCCGCCAGCTCTTCGGACGTCCGTTCGAGCAGCAGTGCGGGAGAGGCAGACGCGCTCTGTTCCCGTCCCTTGCGCTTCTTCCGACTCCGAGCGGGTGTGAAGAGATCAGCGTAGCCAAAAGGTGCAAGCTCTTCGCCCATGCTGACCGATCTCCTGCGCACAAAGGTCGCAAGTCTCAGGAGGTATATCTGCCTGAATTCCGTCGGAATCGCGTCCTTCGGCGTCGTGCCAGTCGATAGCAGTATTTGCGCGACTTGCTGTAGATGAGAGAAAACTTTCCATCCATCAAACATCGTCAAATAATCCGCACTTCCAGATCGGGCAACTGTGGCGGCTCTTGTCACTGCGCTCGTTCTGGGCGAGTCAAGCTCACAGCATGTGGCGCCATATGTGAGTTTGCAGGCAAGGACCGTCGCCATTTGTGGAGGAAGGGATTTTGCGATTCATTTCGGATCCCGAGAAAGGCGGCCCGTGGCGAGCGATATCTCGACAGCTGACAGCGCCAGGCATTCATTCATACCTCTTCCATCCAATAGTCAGCCCTAATAATTAGCCGTAATGAACGATCACAGTCAGAGGGTGGTGAAGCATAATGACTCGGCCAATGATGATTCAAACACCGTCGCCGCTGCTCTCATTGATATCCCATCTGGGTCATCCCCGGTGGACTTTGGCCTCGGAGCCGCATCTCACACTTACCGCAAGTCTTCCACGTCAACATATGCAGCATCTTGATGTGCTCTGCCAGATCGCATTAAAGATGTCCAACCGTGTTCCGTTCGACTGCTAACTGATTGGCGCCAGACCCACGAATCCTCCTGCAGCCATATCAGGCGCGAGACGTTGCTGCTGCGCTCGGATACTGTTCTGCGCGCGTCTGATAGAGCAAAGGCTATCGGAAGCAGAGGGCCCCTAATGGAGAATCCAGCTGTGGTCTGCACTGGTGATGCGCGGTCTCGGTCTCGATCTGGAGAGGCTGATAAGAAACCGCGAAAGCACCCATGTCCGGGAAGGGCTAGCCATGAAGCAGAATAGGATGCCATTGGTTCCGAGGAAGTTATTGTTACGCAATTCGGTGAGGGTCATTGGTCCCTTGACCACCGGGCGCAATGAGGGCAGAGAAAGGGTGGTCCGCACAATCGGAAGAGTCCTCGGCGATCATCAAAACACGCAAGTACCCTAGCTAGGGGACCTTTAGGTAAGACAGCTGGCCAGTTGCTTATCTGATATTCGATGTGTTAGTACAACGCGATTCTTACAGCTTCACAGCTTCTTCAGCGACCACAAATCGTCCCCGAGGTACGTCACGGTCTCGACCCCGACATCCTTGTTCACCCTCTTCATCTCCTCCGTGTTGAGCTTCGTGATACCGATGCCCACGGCGTGCTCCTTCCCCTCCGCGTGGATGGCGACCGCTGTGCCTGCAGGCAGCGCGGCGTCTGCAGGGGGAAGGTAACCTCCTGCAGACGTCATGCCTGGGCACATCATGTGGGCACCAGCGAGAAGAAAACGGATGGCCCCGCGATCGACTCTCACCATAGGGAGCAGGAATGGGTCTGCAGGAATACGAGGGCGAGTCAGTGATAGCCCGAGTAGTGCAACGACGCGCACATTGATGCAGAAGACGCAGCGTGGGATAGAACGGTCCATCGAAGTGCTGGAAGAAGAGAGGTTCGCCCTGCAGCGTGTAGATCGATATGTGATCTCTGCTGTCGTGGATATATGAGTGGTGGAAATCGTTAAAATCATCAGTCGGACTTCGTCTAAGGGTAGAATGGGTGTACAGACCATTTCACGAGGATTAAGGGCTCCTTCTTCGGCCATATCTGCTCAAATGTCTCTGCATCCACCTTCCACTGCGAGAGGATGCTCGCTCGGATCGACCGCTGCACGGAAGATTTTACGCTCGTTTGCCCCGAGACATCAGAGGACGGCTGGAATCTACATCGGTCAAACCGACTTCGTGAGCATCACGAGCGTAGACGCAGGGGGTAGCTCACCTACTTCTTGAACATGTCGAGCTACAGGTTACAGAGGAGGTGAAGGAGATCGAATCAAGAATCTCCGATTCCTAGTCACAAGTTTGCTTCGGCTGAAGTTCAGATCCTATTTTTGGAACACGGGAATCCTACGATGTAAACAACGAAACCTGAGGCCAGTTCGTCCAGGTTTGAAGCGCCTGGCCGGACAAAAAGTAATATGGATCTCCAGCAACTTATTTGGTTTTTGCAGTAGGGTTTGGACATCCTGACACTGTTTTCGCTGTGCTGACTTCAATTGTGGTTGGTGGGTTGCGTTTTTGCGGCACATATCTCGTTTTCGGTTAGCTCCGAACGTGACAGACTCATCCTCGTCTGTTTCCCCCTCCTCGCTGGCCTGCAGAACATACGCGACATGTTGTCTTCTTGGCTTCTCATACTTCATAAGGTGTCCCTTAGGTCATGGATATTTGATTATCAGACGTCTACATTTTTGCTCAGATATCTGGTGGCAAGTTGGATGCAGTGACTTCATATGTGAGCCACTGCATCGCGCTATTGTACCAGTAGAGGTGCGTTTCTCAATCAGTACCATGTCGTGCTCCAGCTGGTAGTATGGTACCTGACAGGCATCCAATGTTGCGATGCATGGTGCAAATGCGCCTCCGCGATGTTCACCTTGTACGCATGATCAGTGTGCCGCGTGCCGCATACGTCGGTACACCCGCCAGTGCATGCGAAGCCGCAGCGCAGTACGTGGGTGGTAGAGCGACACGTACCATGCGTGGGTCGAGTACTGTGCAGGCAGCGAGAAGTGCATTGATCCACTTATTTATTATACTCAGTTCAAGCTGTAGGTAGATTCCTTAGAATACATAAATTCCTCGACCCTAGCCATCAATACACTTTTTAAACCGCACTGCAAAGAAAAACAGTTCAGTGGTCCGCAGGCCAGTGAGGTGGACAGCCGAAACAGAAACAAACATCGAGGATGAAATCCTAAGAAAGGCAGGCGTGGTGACATCTGTCACGTTCGGATCTAACCGAAAACGAGATATGTTGCAGCGAAAACGTAACAGACGACCAAACGCCACTGCGAGAACTGGATAATTTTGTCCGCTGAGGCCCTTCATATCCAGGAGAGAACAAGCCGAACTCTGTGTGAGCTTCAAGCTCTGACCATGTAAGGTCGGGTCGGACTCTGCCGAGGAGGTGCTTGGGGCCGCGGCACTCAGACTGCTTGCTCTGAGTCGTCGTATCCACGCCTCTTTCTACCATTTGACCTTATAGTATGTCTCCGAAGAAGGCCAAGGCGAGAAAAGCTGCACCCGCCAATAGTGTGAGTGAAGGCGTCCCTGCACCGCAACCAGCGGAACTAGCGGCGCGTCGCTCGCTGCGCGGTAAAAGGGGTGGGCTGAAAGACATGCCCAATATGCCTCTCGACATTATTCTCGAGGTCAGAAGACGAATCTACGGTTTATCCCTGTCACAGATTTATAACAGAACAGTCGGTGTGCAGATTATCAGCCATTTGAACCCTCGGGATTTGCTGAACTTGGCGAGGACGAGCAAGGCTTTCAGGGCATTGCTCATGGCCCGCTCGTCTGCTTATCTCTGGAAGGCAACTAGGAAGAATGTAGAGGGTTTGCCGGACTGTCCTCCGTATTTGAGCGAGCCGGAATATGCGAACCTCGCGTTTTTCCCGTATTGCCATGTGAGTGCCCAAGATATGACAAACGCTACTCTCTGACGCTCTGTTGTTTCAGAGTTGTTTGAAGACCAACATCCAAAATGTCATTTGGGAATTCAATGTACGATATTGCAATGATTGTAAGAAAGAGAAGTGAGTTGATGCGTTTGGTGGTGCAGAGCACTGAACAAAAATTCTCATGATGATTTGACAGCACTACTGAAAGCATGTTTGGTCTTCCACTGGGCTTAATGCGCAAAATTCCCTGCAATTTGGACGCGTTGAATCGCATTTCCGGTGAGCCGTAATGCCCATGATACGATAGAACGCGCATATACGAACCACTCTTCAGGGCGCCGCTACTTATACCTGTTCCACCTCCCTCAAATTGATGCATTTGTGAAGTCTTGGCTGGCTGTTGTCGATGACGAAGAAGCAGAGAAGAAAGTGATTCAACAACAGATTGAGCGCGTAGATCAAATCAAAGAGGTATTTCTGTACGACCCGCATACTCAGCTGCACCTGACGCAGTTTCGTTAGCACTCTAGATTGTGCAATGAATGGACCAAATCGAGGGTCAGGTCCCGGGCATCAGAGCTGGATGATGTGCGGCGTGCCCGTCTGGAATCGTACGTGTCCTCGTACCCACCATATGGCATCAGCTTCACATGCGCTTGGTAGGATCGTCTCCAGACTACGGGACTTGGGCTGGGGGGAAGAGCTGGACTTTCTTGCGCCGAAACAATATTTCCCGTTGTCCAATCATGCTCATGCTCGGCCGGCCAAACCACTTACAGATCGCGGTACGTCGCTTCTTGCCACGGCGAGAGAGTTACTTCATTCGAGTCTACTCCAGGGTGGCAGAAGATTCGTGATGACGTGATTTCCTACATGGAGGAATTGAAGACTCTACGACTTGCTAAGGAGCGCAGAGAAAGACTGCAATCTCGTCTCCCGCTCCTTTCAGACCTGATTAACAATTACTATTCAGGAATCCCGAGGACGCCTGCATCTGAGTATTTGCCTCATCTCGTTGACTTTGCCATGATGTCAGAGTTCCGTACACTTGTCGATGCTGATGGCTCGGTCAACATTACCGCGGAAGATTTCCTCGCGCTGCGACCTCAGATTCCAAAATTTGTCCAGGATTGGCAGAACAGAGCCACGGCACAGTTGGCGCTATTGTTGGTTAAAGAGCTGGATATTGCGGCCATTCCCGATAACACGACCATATTTGATCTTGCCGTAGCGTGGTTCCAATGCACCAAGTGTCATGCAGTTTTCCGCTATCCCAATGTCATCGCTCATGGCTGCATGCGTCAGTACTATCACGGCTTCTGTTACTCGGATGCAGCACACGAATACCAGGCGCTGGTCTACTGGGAGGAACACACTACTGCATGGTCGACTAGGTCTATCTCTTGCATCCTACCGGTTCGGCGAGCACGTATGCTCGTCGAAGCATGTGGCAAAGACCCTGACTCGACCACAGAGCAGACAATGGATGAGTTGGACGCCAGGTTTTGGTGGAAGAATCCGATCGCGTCGTCATCCAGGAAGGTCGTCAGTTGGCGCCTGGCGGTGAGTACACTTTTGGTAAGCTGATGTGACTACTTCTTTGACCTGGTACATCAGATGAAGCCCAAGTGGACGAGAATGTACCCCGGAGGAACCCCAGAGCGCGAGTGGGAGGTCGTTCCCGGGAATGTAGCGGAAAAGGTCAAGGACGTCGAAGCCCAAAGCCATATCACCCGCCTCTTCCAACACGAGCTACGCAGCCACTGGTGCTGTTCGCTCTGCAACGAGAGTGGTGGGCGTAACTGTTCGCTCTCGCAAGCAAAGGAACATGTTCGGAATCTGCGCGTACACCCACTGTTACCTCTAACCTCATACTTACGAGGCTTCGCAGCCACTCGATCGATGATGCAACTGTGGAGAATGGAAGAATCTATCTACATCCAGATAGCAAGCCCTTGATACCGAAATCGGTCATCGCCCTCAAGAGGGATTATTGCGGTAGGGACGAAACAGACCTCCTCCATGAAGGGTTGGCATGTGTGTGTGATTATAACTGATTGAAGCACCGAGCACCAGGCATTCCGAACATTACCCGAGGTTAATAGGTTCTTGATCCTGCGGTTTACACGGATATATTCTCTTACTCTATATTATACTAGTATATTGTCCTATTCTACCCAGAGATATGGCGGCCGTTACTGGACAAAAATGAAATTTCAGGTGTCAGGACCTTGTTTTGTACTTATGCATCGGTGTTCATTCCTGTGCATTGAGCACGTGACCTTGCATGCGCATTCACCTCATGCATCGTGCATGCACAATGGTGCATGCACTGTTGGTCTCTGCAATATATGTGTTGTGCATTGTCATCTGTTTGTGCATGCATTGCTGTGCATTGCTGCACAGCTTTGATCTCGTCGCTTGTAGTTGACGATGCATGCATTGTCCTGCACTCCTCTGCATAATGTACACCCACAGTCCTGAGCCTGTTGCAGTGTGGTAGCTTCGTTCCAGTCATTCCTCAGCCCTGAACTCCTGTCTTTATTCCCCATCTGGTGTGTGGATACTCTAAGGCTTCAATAACATATGACAGATCGGCTGCACAATATCCGCCGGGCTTATTACACCCTCCATGACCGGGTGAATGTTGCTCTTAGAACGCAGGTGGGCGATGTACAGCGCTTGAGCCATGTACGTTCTGAGGCTCTTGTACTGGCATCTGCAGCTGAAGTGGTCAGTTTACGTGCCTTCTACAGTCTTAGTGTTAAATTTTGATCTGTCTAGCACCGCACTGTACTCCCTCCTGCTGAATATACTCAGCTTCAATTCAACATCACTGCCATCATCGCTGACTTAGACACTGCTTCACACCTCTCATCTGATCCTCCTGACCGTCCTTCTCTCATTGTTGTCCAAAAAGTTCACACGGGCAGGCGTGGCCGACCAAAGATCCTCATTGACCCCACATTCCTCAAGTTTGCGATGGATCTCAGAAAGAACACAGAACTGGGCAACTTCTTCCATTGCTGTTCACGGACTGTTCGCCGTCGTGCTCTCGAGAATGAGCTGACTGTTCCAGGCTTTCCTGTGTATACAGAGGTTCAGGCTGCAGACGGTTCACTGTCACGTGAATACCACTCAAGCTCTGCCCCTACATCGACAATGTCCGATGTACAGTTAGATCGAGCTGTCGGTGACATCCTGCAGGTGTTTCCAGAGTTTGGAAGGAGGATGATTGATGGCCATCTCAAGTCTCAAGGCCATAATGTACCACGTAACCGCGTTGAGGATTCGTATGCCCGTGTACATGGCGCACCAGCAATTTTTGGATCACGTCGTCCCCTGGTTCGACGTAAGTACTCTGTACCTGGGCCACTGTCACTGGTGCATCATGATGGCCAACATGGTATGTATCACCGTCTTCTGGTTGTTGCCATACAAACTAAAGTCTGCCCAGGTCTCATACACTTCAAGCTCATCACACACTGCTTCATTGATGGCTACTCACGCTTTGTCATTGGCATACGAGTGCACAACAATAATCGTGCTTCAACTGTACTCAATTTATTTCTGGATGCGATGGATCGCTATGGGGTGCCCAGTCGTGTCCGTGGTGACCATGGTACGGAGAATCTTGGAGTAGCGCAGTGGATGGAGGACTGCAAGGGATTGGACAGAGGCTCATATATCTGGGGCCGGTGCGTCATTTCTGTGTTTTCAGAATGTACCAACACTGATGCATTTATCGTCTCAACTCCAGAAGTGTCCATAACACCCGCATTGAATGCCTATGGGTTGATGTGACATCAGGATATGGCGAGAAGTGGCTGGTCTTCTTCTACCAGCTGGAGCTACACTGTGGCTGGGACGCTCACAATCCCGATCATGTGTGGTTACTACACCATCTCTTTCTTCGTGCAATCAATGATGACGCACTTGAATGGGCACAGGCTTGGAACGCACACCGGATTTCATTGCAGGGCTCTCGTGCACGCAGTCCTCGTGATTTATTCATGTTCGGGATGATAGAAGAAGGCCCGCGCGGTCTGGAGCAGTTTCTGACTCCCACAGAGGATCTCGCCGGTGAATCATTGGATGAGTTTGGTATTGACTGGAGCAGTTACAGAGATGATCGGCTCATGTCTCACTTTTATGAGCACAATGCACGCGACAGCACCACCTTCACTCCAAGCTCAGCACCTTCCCACCTTGCACAAGTGGTATGCGATGAGCCAAACTGTCCATTCACTGCTGAGGAGGTTCACGTCCTGGATGCAATCCTGGCCGACGAGTTTGACCTTAGCTCACGCAGTATGATCGTTCGGCGCTCAATTTGGGAGAGAGCGGCTGGTTTGTGTGAGGCTATAGGTCGTGGGGATCCTGTGGGCCATAGTGTTGATTAGACACTACTGCTATATATCATTATCACTTGGTGATTCATGCACCACACCGACTAAAACATGGGATGGCCCAGATTGACACATCGACATGAGGTTATCTGTCAATCATCCGGTCTGAGTATAGTAAGTTCATTGGTGCTTCCTTCAGAGAATACAAGTGTTCTCGATTCACCACATATGTTTGGACGATGGTTTATATTCTATATTCCTGTCTGCTATACTCACCATGAATAGAAGAGTATCCTTTTATTGGAATCAGCGGTTGAACTGATGTCGCATATTTTACTCAGGCCTCGGCACCGCCACTCAGTTGGTCCCGTAACATCTTCACTCTTTTATCTGCCCATACTACTCTTCCCTCTTTTTCTGGCACTTTGTTCAATGGGTAATGGCACGCAGTGCCAGTGCGCGAGGTCGAACACAAGCTAAGGCCCCTCAGCATTGTTTAGATAGAGGTGAGCGAGCTGCTCACCGTGAGCAAGTGCACCAGGCTGGCGCTGCTACAGTGCGACAAGGTGGAGGTGAGGTCGATTTCTCCTCATTATAGGAATCCTCATTAAGTGCTGCACTTATCCCTTTTTTTTTCCTGCTCGCTAGCTGTGACAAGGCAAAGGCAAACAAGAGCCTCCTGCGTCAATGTTGGACTTGCTGGACAATCTAGTGGGGAGGCCTTGGAACCTGGAGTAGATGAAAATTCATCAGGTATGTTATCATAATTTTTTGATGATTATCCACCTGCCTCTTTATGTACGGTGTACTAATATCCTGAGCCTCATGCAGAAAAGAATGTGAACCTTGTGATCACGGCAAGCTCTCCCTTAACAGAAGGTTAATATTGCCTTGACCTTAGTCTTATTCTGTCTCATTGTCTTTGTAGATATGGAGTCAGATGTGGAACTTGTTAATATGTCACGGGTGGAGGGGTCTCTTAGCACAGTGACCAAAATCCCAACTCCCGCTTGCCCATCGCAAAGGTCATCCACACTGGATGATGAGAGAAGTTATGAAGGCTCACCGCCGGCAAGTCAAAGTGGGTTGGATGATAGTCGGCCGCCCTCTGAGCCTATAGTTTTTGGTCAATCTGGTTGGTCTTACATGACATGTTGCGACGTTTTACTTATCACTGCCCATAGAAACCACAGATGAATCAGAACAGATGCAGAGCATTGACACAGGACTGAATAGCCAATTGGCAGGTGCGTATGGTGATTGGTCCCTTCCCAATGACAGTTTGAGATTCAAGTGAACCTTATACTAGGCATTATAGATGTCTCGCATATGCGGACAGCGATGTGGTTAGATGATGCGCAGCAGTTGAATCCCAACTCAGCCACCAGGATGACTACCTGGACATTTCCTCCCAATCTGTACACAGACATGACATCCGATGGGTCGCATGCAAGTAACATACTACCCGATGATATGCATGATCAGTTCTCTGTCAGTACGTTGATTCATGCCAATATGATGCTAACATATGCTGACCAAGAGTATTGTTCTCTAGCCTCTGAAAGTGAACAGAATCCTTTTCTAATGGCCTTTGAGCAGGGTGATTCACTCGCCTTCATGGATTTGGAGTTATTTACGGGCGCGATAGAGTCATCTTTGTTGCCTGTGGGCCATCGCCCAGATGTCGATCCTTCACTAGATCCCAAGGTTTTCAATAATCCTGCGGCAATTGAGAACATCGCATCGACACTCACCAGTGACTTGCATTGGACAGCTACCTCTGTAAACTACCATGGGCCACCCTTCCTGCCTGCTTCTGTCCCTGCTTCTGTCGAGCAGACTGGGAGTGCACTGGCCAAGGCCACTGATCAACGTTCATCCTCTGGCCTCATCGCTGCCAGTTTCAGTGAGACTGCATGCTTCTCTGATATGTCTGCCAATATTGACATCATTGATGCAACAGACGAAGCAGGACCTGTTTCAGTGCAACCTACATTCAAAATTCCACAAGTGGTTGCAAGGAACCTGTTGGCAGTTCGACCAAAATTCCATGTACCACGAGTTGGAAAAGTTCCACGCATGGGGTTTCAAGGGGACTCCGCACCCACTATGGCAAGTTTGGATTTTTTGGACCTACTTTCACAGACGAATACAAACGAGGGTGCGAGCGGGTCTGTGCCATTACAGCATGGTGGTCAGTCAGTGGACGATAGTGGCTCCGCTAGAGCGAGAAGTCAAAGTGTCATGCCGATAGAAACACCTGGTAAGTTGGACTACGTCATTGTCAATGCTACATTGAAATTAAAACAGACACTCTAGATGTCGAAGTTGCACTCTACATTAGCATGCGATACGTGGATCCTAGCGATAAGAAGATGCCTCAGAAGACTTGGTCCACATTCATCAAGTCTTGCCGGGTATTGCAAACACCACCAACTCTGCACGATATCTTTCAGACCTTGCTGCCGGTGAGGCCTCAGCTGAATGGTTATCGAATCACCAATATGCTGCGCTCGATCCTGGATTCAACTAATGTTACGTATTGGGTGGCCTCGTCCGGCACTCCAATACCTATGTCTCATGAGGACTACGACAGTCCTCTGACAGGATACCAGGAGTACGCACCTCTCAAGGAAGCGGTTCATGACAATGAAAGCACACTCAACCCTGTGGACCCAGGCTCAACAGATTACAGAGAGCTGTGTGAAAAGCAGCGCATCTCTCGGGGTACTCCTATCTTTGTGCTCTATATTTTTAATGACCAAGTGGGTGCTCGCGTTCAGACGGATCTATTGCTGAGCCCTCATTTGCATATTTTCATTTTGTCCAGACTGCAGCATCCCCTGGCCAAAGTGGACTTGCGGCGACACCTCCTGTGCACATTGACAATTTCTTGTCTAAGTTGTACCCTGATGCCTCAGTCCGGTTACAGGCATTGGATCGATCTGAAATATTTGGAACTGCATACAAGCAGACCCAGCAAACCCTTATTCTCGCAAGGATTGCAAAAGGCCTGGGCGTGGTGCCAGGTCACAAGGAGGGAGCACAGACAAGTGAGGGTGGTTCAATTACATGGTCTGATGTAGTTGATTGGGCACCTGGGGTGGCACCATCATCAGAGAGGAATATTCGAGGTCAAGCGGTGAAGGTGCGCTCGAGAAACTGGCGCTAATATGACAGGACTGATGCAGTGTTTTGGATTAGGTTTTACAGTTCCGCGCGTGGATCCAAGCACATACACGGTTATGGCAGCAGTCTCAGTCGGGGCCAGACAACTCTCCGCAAAATGATGAAGAGCTATTTGCATGGGTTCAATTCATAGGTCAGCCAGGTGGCCATGGGGCAGACGAGGTGCTGAATGGTTGGGGATTCCATGAACAGACTGCTGCGGGGATGAAGGCAGCAGTCCTGCACAAACGCATTAATGCGTATTTAAAAAAGAATGCCATTAGGCTGCCTAGTATCAAGCTTACACAACTTGAATTGTAATGCACTCGCACAGTGCATGATGCAATAGACATTACTTTTTCGGGCACGCAGAAGTGATTGTCTGCACCGAGGTCGTCTACCGTCTACGGGTCGAGCCGCTGTCCCTCGGGAAGAGCGACGTGCGGCAGATGTTGTTGAGCCTGAGGAAGAGCATGAGCATGCACTCGAGGCCGATGCTGCTGCCGACGTTTGGCGAGCAGCCCATCTTGAACGCGTAGAGGTAGTAGCTTATCGATGCGGGGTCGAGGCCCCTCGAGCGCATCTTCTCCGCGAGCAGTGTCGCGTCGTGGATCCGCTGTGCCCCGGAGAGGATCTCCTCCCCGCGTATGAAGAAGTCGTACGAGTTCGAGAGCGTCTGGGCACGTCAGTTTAGCTGGGCGGTGAAAAGGTGAGAAGGAGAAAAGCATACCGGGTCATCGGGGTCAGGCATGATATAGAAGGGCCGGAGTGCCATGGAGAATTTAACTATGATGTAGTAGTCGGTGTCGTACTTCGCGCGGACGATCCTTCCCAGGCGCTTCTCAATTTGGTGCTGGAAAGTGTAGACAGGTTAGCTAAGTTCAGCCGCGACCCGAAACACAACACACTTGATATCGTCCAACGCGTCTCTTGGTACACCGTCCTCCACCAAGAGGTCGACCGCCTCCTTGAACGAGAGCCTGAGCATGCCCTCAGGGCCCTCGCGCCACTTGAACTCCCTCCGCGAGGATCTGCCGGTGGACCGCCGCGACCTCGGGCGCATACCGATGGCGCAGTGCGGAGAACATGTAGATTAACAGCCTGTCGAGCATCTCCATGACCTTGTGATAGTGCTCCTGGATGGCCATCTCGAGATCGAGTCCAGTGAATTCGGTCATGTGCCGGTGCGTGTTCGAGTCCTCCGCGCGGCAGATGGGCCCGATTTCGTACACACGCTCGAAGTCTGCCGCGATCGCCATCTGCTTCACGAGCTGCGGCCGTTGCGCGAGGAAGGCCATACCTGTGGACGGGCAAGAGAGAAGCGGAGATTGGTGTAGGCCGGCTGTCGGAGGGTGAGAGTAGGGCGGCGGGGCGCGTACCTTTGAAGTCTCCCACCTCGAAGACCGTCGCACCGGATACCGTCGCCGTGCCCTGCAGTTTGGGACTGTGGATCTCGGTGAAGCCCCGCTCGTCGAGGTATTCGCGGAACAGGTGGCTGATGGCATGCTGCAGCTTGAATACGGCCTGGTTCGTTTGCATCTGCAAGGGGGTTCAGATGGAGTGTCAATTATTATTTGGGAAGGCTGACCCTCAAGTCGACGACACGGTTGTTCAGACGTGTGTAGAGTAAAACATGCTTATACTGCACATCATCGCTCACCTCTATCTCAGCGTCGGGGCACGTAGCATCCTCAACGCGGAAATCATTGTGAAAGGCGCACTGGACTGGTCGAGGCGTTGAACGCGAACCGCGGGGCGGCGGCGGCGGTGCATGAAAGCCGGCAGGCAATGGCAGCGACGATGGGCGAGAGTTAGAGGGGGAGGGGACGCAGCGGCAGAGGACAGCGGGTGGTGAGGGATGCGCGAGCTCGAGAGCGAGCAGTTGGGGCAGGTCAAAGAAGTAGGAAGGCAATCGACGCGACTTGCCCAAATGGCTGCCACGTCACCCAAGGGAGTTCGTTTTCTGGAGCTCCAGAAAATGCATCCCTTGGTATTGCCGCCCGTGACACATTGAGCATCACTGTGACAGCGGTCAATCACCTCGTTGTCTCCTGGCCCACTGCGGTCGCCATCCTTGCTGGCTTCGTCTCTCATGATCGACCTACTCGACCTTCTCCTTCTACCTTGTCCTGTTACCTTCTGCTCTGAGTGAAGGTAAGTTGGTGGCACGGCACAGATCGAGGTCACCTTCGCTGCCTCAATGCACTGGGCCACTTGTCCTCCTAGTAAGTCTTTCATCGGCAATCCAAATCTCGATGTAATCTAATGCACGCGCAAAATTCGACAGCTCACTCGGTGCTACAGCAGCCAATTAATGCGCGACTCGACCTCGGGCACCTCCCTCCTCAAAATTGGCTGCCAGCGCGGCATCGTTACCGTCGGACGGAAACGCCGGCCTATGTCTTCTCCCACAACGACGTCTCTGCACGGTAGACACTGCCTCTTTTCGCAATGCCGTGAGCTAATTTATACATCCAGCCGCTCTCTCCACGGCCGATGCCATCGTGCGCCAGCTCCTCGCGTGCAGAATTGGCCGAAACGCGCACTGCAACGTGGTAGCAAACTGCTACCTTGCATGCTGTCACCCACCTCGACGTTTGAGCGTAACGCTGCCATTCCTCGCCACTCGACACCGTCCCCGCCGTGCTGATTCTACATTACGCGACGCACCCACTCGAAAGATACCGCCCGTCACCTTCTCCGACAGTGCGCGCGTCCTGGGTGTGCGGCTCGTGCAGCTACACAATGCTTACGACGTCCGCCGTGCACCAACCATCTCTGTACAAGAAGAGTCAGTGTGGACTCAAAACGGACGAGGACGCGATGTACGAAGGACACCGACTGGCAGCACAGGGTGCCACACGGAAGTTGCACATGACGACGGACGTCAGCATGCAAACTCACCGACGTCATCGACTCAAGTTCGGCTTCAGTGGTGGCGTCGTTGCTACCAGAGGTGGGGTCTGGCCACTTGCAGCGATACCAGTTAGGAGGAGATGACTGACAGACGTACAGGGCATGTGGAAGGTGCATTCTGCCTCCTCTCGTCGACGCTCGCTGACGGCGTGCTGTAGGTGTTGGCGGACAACGTCATCTTGATGGCGATGAACTTGACGAACCGGGGGCGCTCGAGCGTGGAGGTGACCAAGCGCGCTCGCACCCCAGGTGGACAAACTGGGCCAATTCGCAAAGGAGGTCACTCGCGTCAGTCAGGAAGTCGGTACGGAAGGGTGCGCGCATCTCTGTCCTGCATCGTGTTTGTTCCCATTGAGACTGATGTGCTTGCAGCAAACTGGGTGGTCAGGCACTCGTGCTCGACGCGGAAGGCACCTGGCGCGAGCTCATGGGCGTCATCAACAAGCTCGCAGCGAACTTGACAAACCAGGTACGGTCCATCGCCAAGGTCACCAAGGCAGTCGCGTTGGGCGACTTGTCCAAGCAGATCGACGTCGATGTGCACGGCAGTTGAGCGCGTTCGCATCCGAGGTCACACGCGTCGCGTTGGAGGTAGGTACGCAGGGTATGTTGGGGGGCCAGGCGCGCGTCGAGGGCGTGCAGGGTACGTGGGCGGATTTGACGAGGAACGACAACGTATATTGTTTGTTCTCCTGTTTGATGGGTTCCCTGGATTACTGGTCCCCTCCGCCTCCCCCGGTCCATCGGGACCGACGCTGAACTGTGCAACCGCGATTTGATTGTAGAAAATGGCGACTAATTTGACGGACCAGGTGCGCTCGATATCCGAGGTCACAAAGGCCGTCGCGAACGGCGACCTGAGCTGGTCGGTCAACGTCGATGTGCAGGGCGAGATGCTGGATTTGAAGATGACCGTGAACCAGATGGTTGCCCGCTTGTTGACGTTGGCGAGCGAGGTCACACACGTATCGCTCGAGGTCGGGACCGAGGGTATCATGGGTGTCCGGCACGGATGGCCAGGCATCCGTGCCGGACGTACAGGGCATGTGGAAGGTGCGTTCCCCCTCCTCTCGTCGACGCTCGCTGACGGCGTGCGGTAGGTGTTGGCGGACAACGTCAACTTGATGGCGATGAACTTGACGAACCAGGTGCGCTCGATCGCGGAGGTGACCAAGGCCATCGCCGGTGGAGACTTGATGAAGCGCATCACGGTCGACGTGCGTGGCGAAATGCTCGACTTGAAGGTGACTGTGAACGGCATGACGGAAAGCTTGAGCGTCTTTGCTGACGAGGTCACCCGAGTCGCGAAGGAGGTCGGCACGGAGGGTAAGTTGGGTGGCCAGGCGCAGGTCATGAATGTCGGCAGCACTTGGAGGGTATGTAGTTCTCCACCACCGGAATGGGCACCATGCTGAACGCCGTCATCCGGCAGGATTTCCGCGCGCAAGGGAAGGAGGAGGGGCGACACGCACGAGGCGGTTGACACTCCGGTCCTCGGCGAGGACCTGGTCGAAGCACGAGATTGGCGCGAGGAAGATGATCGCTGCCCGCTGTCGGTGGATCAGCAAGTGCACACACTGGGGCGGGCGGCTTACCGTCGACTGCGGGCACCGGAGCGGGGTCAGCAACCGCGGTTACAATGAGGACGTGAGAGCAGGCATGCACCGTCGTCGAAGAACGGGACCCAGGTCTCCGCGCTGGGGGAAGACTGCGCCGGGGGAATAACGCGTCAGGTGCGGTGCGGGGAGGGAAGGAGGAGGGGGAACACTCATGGCGCTGCACCGAAGGAAAAGGTGATGTGATGAACAGCATTGAACGGCGGCGCACGAACGGGGCCCACCGCGCACAGCAAGGGAATGCGGCGCACGTCGATCGGGTCCGCGGACACTACTCACCTGCGAACGCGAGCTGCCGACGTCGATGATCCGCCACTGCGTCCCGCTCTCCGAGCCGGCCTCCATCTCGAACTGGTACTCGAGGTCTTCAGCCGCGCGTTCAGCACGTCATCTGCACGGTCCGTCAGCATGCAGGGCATCGCAGGCGGACGAACATGCACCGTTCGAGGGCAGGTACTGTGGTGTGGTGATGCGCTCCAGGTCGTCCAGGAAGCTGCAGCCGTCAGCACGCAGCGTCCGCGATGGAAGAAGCACAGAGAGACTCACAACCCCGGGCCGTCGTCGACGCGGATCCACTTCCGTCTCAGAATCTCACTTAGGACAGGGTCTCGCCAGAGCGCGAGCAGCTCCCCCGCACAGGCATGCAGCGCCGCCTGGGCGGCGTCGGCCTCGCCGCCCGCCCCGCGCTCCCGCTCCTTCTGCTTGTAGTTACCTATGTAAAATGTGTCTGTTTATCTCAATTAATGTACTTGAGAATTTAGTCCTTGAAAAGAGGGAGCCAATATTGTGTGAAGTACTGACGGGTTACATGGGAATTGGATGTGCTCGCTCATGCTCGGTGGCCTCGTCACATTGTCTCCATTGTCAGATTCTGCGGCGAGAACCCTCTGAGCCTGGCAGCTCATCATGACTGCCTTCAATATTTCCGACTCTGACCTGCTTGCTATTCTAGACTATGTCCGCACTCGCAAGGATGTCCCTCCTCACATTATGGCTATTCTTGAAAATGTGGACAAGGCTTCACTCCCTCCTGATGGTGTATATCCCACTCCCTCATCTTCGCACATACAGTCACCGTTTCCGATGCATGCTAGACCATTGAACAGTCTCCCCTTACCAGTTGAGTACTCTGCTATTCATTTGACATTCTCTGACCTCTTCAGTAGGTACCGGCAGGCTCTTCAGCCCTCCCTTCTATCACGGAAGAGTCAAATGAGGGTGAAGTTGTCCTTGGTTTAATCACCATCCGGGGTGCACCCAGCCCAGGACGGGACTCACCTCCTGTTCAGCCAGGCCCCAGACTCTCACCACCTCCTCAGGCTGATGGACCTCCTGACGTTGAGAATGTCGCTCAGCAAGATCAAGTGGATCAGTCTGAACGCTCGGACAACTCAGATGGCTCGGACGACTCGATCGAGGAACCACTTGCTCAAGCTGTACGGCGTTTGGCTGGCGCCCTCCCACTTCCCAGAGATAATTGCCCACGTGGAGGGGTACGTCCTCGCAAGCCTAGTCAACGGCGCAACCACCGACAGGGCCAACATGGTGAGCAGGATATGTTCGAGGACCATGATCTATTCGCAGGGGAGGGTGCAGAGGAAAACGAGAATGATGACGATGAGGAGCCTGGGGACCCGGCAGGACATGACAATTTGCCTAAAGGCTCACCGGCAAAGTGGGGTATTTCAGACCTTCCAGCTGCATTGAATGGGTGGCCAGGGAAGACTGCCACCAAATTCCTCTGTGACCTCATCAGTGGTGCTCATGGTAATTTCCAAGCACCGTCGGTCTCTATGTACGTGTGCATGTTTCTGGACAAAGTAATTCACTTGAAATGATCTTACTCCTGAGTTCTAGATGGGTAGAATCAATGAAGGACCTTGTTGAAGGACGATCATGGGATGCTCACGATGGCGCTTTCCGTACCAATGCCCTGTGGGCTCTGGTGAGCCGGGTCAGTCGTGCAGAGAAGGTTTTGTCTGGTGCAGAGTTTGTATCGATGATGACGAAGATTCAGTTGGCGGCAAAGGTAGACAGGTATGTCATATAACCATGCTTTGGAACTTATTGCTGAGTGATTGCAGCATACAGAAAACTCGAAACACGCAGGTCGCGAAGGGCGGGAAGATGACAATGGCACAAGTGTACAGTCTCATTTCCGAAGAACCTGATGCTCCCAAAGAGAAGACGTTCTCAGAATGGGTCGCGTTCGGTCATCGGTTTGCCGCTCTGGCAGGTGCAGGTGAGCTAAATATATTCAGACTCTACATAGCCCCACACTTGTTAAATTTGTCTCACAGGGTCGGTCTATCTACTTATGATCATCGCCGCGCATGGCATGTACTCTCAGATTGGCAGGACCAAGCAGGCCACCATCTGGACCATGTGCAATTGCTTGCGATGGCCAAATCCTGGTAAGTAGTATCTTAATTGACACGACAATGCTAAAACTCCTGCAGACACTCTAATAGGCCAGCATATTCTTGGACGACTGATTCCTCTAGTAAGCTATGTGCGCGCTCAGATCCCTCTTCGCATCTCGACCATCTTTTCGTCTCATTGGCTTCAGGCCAGTGGGCTGTCATCCAACATTGATTGCCGGGATTTTGTATCCTCCGACAAGTTCTTTAGTATGTTCATAACCAAGTACGTCCTTCATCTATGTTGCACTGTTTTCTTTTCTACTGATATACTATTCGATCCACAGCACTTTTCGCTCCGTGGATCGTCATTCAGAATCATGGGCGCCTTGTATGACACCCTTGACTTCTCCCTTAACTGAGCTGGAGCAAGGCATGACTGGCGTAGACCTGATGGTGCAGAACATCCTAACGACAGCGTCCTCCACTTGTTCCACTCGACCACCGTCCACTCGAGCACCGTCACCTATGGATGATTCCGACGATGAACATCACGCAACCACAATAGGTGTCTGCGAGAACTCTGATAATAATGATGATCTTTTTATGGTGGACGCTCAATCCAAAAAGTTCTATACACCTGATTCCAGTTCACCTAACTACTTGGTATTTGACACTGATTTCCGTCCTCAAGCCAAAAAGAACAGAAAGGCTCCTTATCCCAAAACTGATCCCAAGGAGCGATTAGTTTGGACGGACGAGCAGCGACACTATGCAGGTGATGCATGGGTTGCCAAGACCTTAGAAAACTTTGAGGAGGGTGTATGTGATCTAGTACCATATGTTGCATCTCACGTTCGCTAATCTTGGCTCAGATTCAAGAGCATTACAACAAGGACGGTGTCAAATTCGCGAACTCCTATATTTATCTAAGTCGCTCTGCCTTTGAGGGGTAAGTCTGCACGACTCATCTTGGAATAGTGGCTGATCATCCACATAGTAAGGAGATTCGTCTCAATTCTAAGGAGGGTGAGCTATTGGCCTTCATAGCCAGTGATATGTCGCAAGACATGAAGGACACCCTGGAGCGTGGTTTGCGCTCGGTCATTTTTTCAGACGGTTCTCCAGAGTATGAACTTCAATCTATGGATTCCTCAGCTTCAACGGGGCAACACCAGTTTCCCTGTATTCATTTTTCAAGGTATGCTCGGCATATTACCCGCGTAAGTCATTTTGATATTTGTCCTTATTGTTCTTGATTTGATGATAGAAACACAGGGAGACGATGCACCTACCAATATTCATCCTTTGTTTCTATACAAGGTTGAGTGTGGACACACAAATCATCATCAATTCACGCCGTACTTCTCCAAAGAATTGTGGGAGCATGAGGAAGAGTACGATAGCCTGAGTAAAGTCTTTGAAGAGTTTTGTGAATGGATGCAAGCTAAAGTGAGCTTCATTCTTCTTTGTTATATCGGCTTCTCTGAATGTTTTTACTTTATGAGATTCGTCAGCGGCTGCCAGAAGTATACAAAAGCCTTGAAATATTTGCTGAGGTGCTTCCTGGCAGAGAGGTCTCACCCTGTCATCCATTCACTAGCATGGTTCTTAACGTGAACGTTGTTACGCATGTTCATCGTGATGTCAAGGACTTGAAGGCATGTTTAGTTTTGGTGCTTGGTGACCATACTGGTGGGGACCTGTGCTTGGTAGAGCCCGGTCTGGTCTTCCCACTTCGTGCTGGGGACCTGGTGGTATTTCATTCTGGAGATGTCACTCACTTTAATCTTCACTACCGAGGAGAAAGGGCCTCTCTTGTCCTCCATTCAGATGCTGAAGGAAAACATTGGCAGGAGGATCAGATGGGCTGGAAGGATAATGATTATATGGCTGTAGCATAGGACTCAAATGTCTGACTTGGTTGTTTGCAACTTGTTTAGCTGGTGATGCCATTAATATGATTGAATGCATGACATTTAACGCGATGGATGCTCAAGATAGGTAATGGTGAAGTCACAAATATCTATAATCCAATTTATTGAATCGCTCAGAGACAAACTGCTTCAATAGTAAGGTGCCCTAGATTATATTTTATTGAAACCATCTCCCGCCATTAGTGGCCCGTGCATCCATGCGTCAAAGTAGAGAGCATGATCAGGCCCATCAACCTCCTGAAGTAACAGGTTCTGCAAACCTACATCCATCGTGACCTTGCCCTGCATGAAGCACGCAGAATATAATATTGGTGTGATCTACGTAGTGGATTGTCAGGTAAACAGCCTGGACAAGACAACATTAATAATGCCAGCGCATACCTCCTCTGCATTATTCAGATGTGCCCCTCCATCTTGATATGACGAGGCATGGGTAAATGAGAACTGACAAAGAGAAACTGTAAGAAAATGTCATCTTGACTACGGAAGAGATAAGTACTAACCTTCAGCTTCCAGTGTTCCCCCAGGGGCAGCAGGTCTGACCCCGTCATAACTTGGAGCAATAGGCGCACACGATGAACCACATTCTCGTGCTCCTTCATATACATATCTTCTGGTACAACTTCTCCGCGTATCCACTCATGGTCAGGGTGCCCTTTTCCATGCAAATATCGTATTAGTAGCTCTGCAAACCTGAGCTCATGTTGTCGCTCCACCTCGGTCTGTTGATCTTCCTTGTCGTTGCTAAATACCAGGTGAGTAATTACATCATTCACATGGATCACCCGACGATTATACAGGGCCCCAAGCAAGGCTTTGGTACGCCCCTCCATTGTCTTCATCATAGACATTAGCATCAAGGCATGAGAGAGAACATTGGTAAGCATACCTTTCGTATGTCCTGACCGGGACGTAGTTGAAAGTTAAGACCCTCCCTAAATGCCAACAAATCTGGGTGATGCGTGGGATCGATGTGACCCAAGAGGACACGCGACACAAGGGTACGCTCCACCCCATTTCGCTCTGCTTCATCCATACCCTCAAGGCTCAGTGCTTCAATCTGACAGAATGTATGAGTAATATCCAAGCACACTTGTTCCGAGAGAGGAACTGGACGCACCACAATATCAGCCTCTATCAGAAGTGCACCCAAGTCTGTTTTTGGGTCGGTCGTCAAAGGGGAGGTACCATTCCAGTCATACCAAGGCTGAAGCACAGCAAATTGGCCAGGATCAAGAGAAAGTATGAATTCACGATCGATGAGAATGTTAGAGCGGCCATCAATGACTGCCTGAAGCAGAAAGGGAGAAACAGGTTCAGGCCCCTGACCTAGGTTGACAAGATGCATTAGACATAGGAACCCATATGCTTTGAGGATACAGTCGCGAGTCCTGAAATGGTCTGTGGAGCTGTGGAACACAAGAGACTTATATACTCCCTTCTCCACCCAAAAGCGCACTTCAGATGTCATTTGCGCGATGGCATCACGAAGTACTGCTTTCTCGGGAGCTGCACCCACACCAACATTGCTACCAGCATGGATCAGAGCCAATAATAAGGGGCATAGTGATAGACTTACACCTCAAACACTCGCTTGGACGACAGAAGAGCAGCAAGTGGAACAAAACTGCACACCACACCTGGCAGAGCCCTCTCCAGGGCCGCTTCGAATTGATGATAAGGAGCTGGTGGGCTCGCAAAGTGCCATAAGAGCAGGAACTGAAGTGCCCTGGCCGCCAGAGATGTTGTGGAGGCTTGGATGAATACTTCCGTAGACTCATCAATATTAATTGGCAAGTTTGCGTGCACAATATTCTGCCATTCCCCAATGTCTTCTGCTTCAGCAGGAATAAATGGAACAGAATCCCGAGAGATTGGCGGATAGACCTTGATAAACCGCAAACAGTCAATTCCTCTACCGCATATTCCATAGCACCTTGGAACGATTCCGATTAGATGCTGCTCACCTCAGTAGATGCACCTGTGCAAGCAGGTCCACGATGTTGGCCAATGTCAGATGCCTGTCCAACAGACTATTATGATGAGTGCTCTTACAATAAATGGACGGTGCCCCTTACCTCTGTTTCGATAACATCCATACCAGCATTGACATGTTCTAAGCGACGACGGGCACTTGGACGTGACTGCTGTGGTCCAACAATGAAAAAGCCTTGTGATTAACTGTACCCACTGTATTAATGGATTGCACGAACCTCTGACTCATGTGAGCGTGTGCGTCTCCGAAGCTGGTGCTGAGGTGTAACTTCCGCAATGACAGCAGATCCTCTCTGGTCTGCAGCTGTCCTACGGTGGTGATTCTAGTTGTCGCTGATCAACTTCTGTTACTCTGTGAAGGATCAAGCCTTACCCTCTGACCATATGCCATGATGCCATCAATGGTATCAGGAAGCTGCATGGGGATTGTGTCAATCATAATAGACCTTTGTGCGAGTTAAGGTGGTAGACGTACACTCTCGTCAGAAGAAGACATAGAGTTGTCATCAATATTATCCTGAACAGCCCTCCGCGAAACATGGCTGTCAGGAACTGAGGCCATAGACTGGGAGACCAAATCGTGTGCACAGTCCTCCCGGCACTGAACAGGATCACCACGACTTCCCGCCAGGGACATGACACGTGAGGGAAAACATCGATGTGGACGATTGCAAAATTGAATTGTAGTGTCAACTGGATGTTCAGCCAGTAGACGTTCCAGTGGACTACGGAGGTTCCCATATCTTGGTGCTATCGTACAAATCAATAAGTTCAATAAATTGCATGCAGTAATTGTGCTCTCTCACCGATAAATAAGATGAGTTCAGGGCCATATTCACAGTGGTTCGGTATCGTTTGGCCAAATGGAGCTGACTTCAGCTTCGCAAGTGTGAAGTTGGTTGGGGTCATGTCAAGATAAGGCAGATAGTTCTTTTGACCTCGTCGTCCACCTGGGGTGATAAGCTGCCATGCGAGTGTTGAAGGAGCACGAGGAGTTCCGGAAGAACGCTGGGCAAGCGTAATCTCAAACAGCTCACAATGCTCAATTATCTGCTGGTCAAAGGCATCCCAGACAGGACCATCGACCACTCTAAAGTCAATTTGGAAGAGCAAATTAGCTTGACCAAGAGTGCGCTGAACAGCGGCAACTTGATCTCCATCCCACTTGTATTCGGGAGATGCTTCATCCGGAGCAGAGTAAACAGATCCGCGGGGCTATTGCACAAATATTAGAATTATCCTGACAGGCAGGCAGTCAAAAAGCTCACCACAAATGGCAGAAACCCCACCATAAAGCTCGTATGCATTTCATCCTGCCCGGTGCTACAAGGAGCTCCTGCACTGGTGCTTTGAGTGGTCGCAGCAGCACGAAAGCGCTGAGTCACAGTGGTAGATGTGCCACGGCGTACAGTCGCAGCATTGAGTTCCCCAGAGGCTCGTGCAGCCCGAGAGGATGGACGCTGGTGTCGTTGATAACTTTCGACACGACAATCATTTGCCGTGCCAGGATGCATTGTACGGAGGCCTGCATATGCAGCAATTGGAGGTATCGTGGAAACAGGCAGGGTCACTGCAGGAACGGGAATGCGTGCAACGCGTGCCATACTATGTGCTAGAGTTGGAGAATGCTCTAATCGGTGTACAGCAGAATGGACGTGGTTCCGCCTGCTCCAAGATTTTAGCATTAACAGAGTGATAAGAAGAAGAGAAGACGTACCTTGCCTTGGGAGTACTTAGACTTTGATGCATATGCCACGCAATGCCACACTCACACACAGTGGTTACGGACCAGCTCTCTTGCAACTATTAATCAAGCATAAACCTTGGTAGACAAGTTGTAGACCAAAAGAACCACGCACCGAAAAGAAACCACCACAGCCTGTCTCCGATGAGCTGCCCTTTGCTAATTCCACTGCAGCACCATGACCAGAGGCCACAGCTCGAACAGTATGATAGATCCATCCGTGATCACATCCGGAGCACAGCTCCTGTGGATCCTTGGCTTCCTGGAATGACGTGATAAGAAGCATACACTAGAGCATGAGAGTACGTGAGCATACATATCGAGGGGGTTGTCCTGATATAAGGACCACAAAGACAACACAGCCTTGGCAGTTAGAGTGCACACAATCATCTCGCTTTGGTAGCTTAAGTCCATCAGCAGCGGTCGACATGTTAGACTCAACAGTAGTGGTAGAAATCAAAAGCGTCAACGTACTCTCTTCTCTGGCACACTATGGATGCAGCCTGTGCATTTGATGCATACAGTGCATACAGTGCATGATGTGAATGAGGATGCACACAGTGAACATGCCAATTGGCATGTCTACCAAGGTGCATCCTGATTACTCCATGCTTCCGGACCCGGCCCAGGAATGCATACCTGTGCATGCATGCACAATGCACAACTGTGAGCAGCAATGCACGCGTGATATATGATGCAGAGTTATGCGCACCTATGAACACCAATGAATGGCGATGAATGAGCGTGAATCTCGATGATGCACGGTGAATGCCGATGCAAACCCAAACATTTCATTTTTGTCCAATAACGGCCGCCATACAGAGATACTAAATTTTATTCTTCCGTAACGTCGGTTTGCCTCTGAGTTGGTATAGGGTCGGAGTTTTGAACCTCAGTCACGTGAATGTCACGCAGTTGCCACAGACGCGATGAATAAAACCAGCGCTAAACTGCGCCACCTCAACCTTACACTACATCCTCTCATAACAATGAACAGGAAGAGAGTCCGAATCAACTACGCACAGTTCGATGTCTCTGATGATGATGATGATGATGATGATGAAGAGGCAGCTCCCGTCGTGGCCAAACCGGCAGCTCGTGCGTTCAAGTTGAGGGGTAAGAAAGGAGGCCTCAAAGACATGCCTAATATGCCCATCGACATAGTCTTCGAAGTACATCCCCCGCTTTTCATTTTAAAAGACTCTCACTTTGCACCGTAGATATGCATTCTCCTACAGCCCCAGGATCTATTAAACCTAACGAGGACTAGTAAAGACTTCCGCGCCGTGCTGTTGAAGCGTTCTACAGCTTTTATCTGGAAGACCACCAGGAAGCAGATTGACGGCCTTCCGGACTGCCCCCCATTCATGAGCGAACCGGCGTATGCCAATCTTTGTTTTTCGACCCATTGCCATGTCAGTTTCATGTCTGTTGGTCTCGCTAATCTGACGAAATGATGTATTGTGACAGAGCTGTCTTAAGATTGGCGTCTCAGGTATCTTGTGGGAATTCGGGGCGCGCTATTGCAGTAAATGCAAGAATGAGTGGTGAGCTGACATGCGTTTGTCATCAGGGCACGCTGCTGATGAGCTACTCAGCACGACCGATCACCTGCCCGACAGCATACATGGGAGGGCATATAGAACACTGCTCAATTATATTCCCAGTACGGCCGATCATTCCGTCCTTCTATGCACCGTGGTTGACAACGCTGCTAGGATATCGTCGCGCGCCGTTGTTTCATAGGCCGCAAGTCACCGAATTGGCCGCTGCTCTCGAAAATCTGGAAGAGGATAGCGCTCAAGAGAAGACATTCCTCTCGAATCAGAGCGCCCGTGTTAAGGAGATCCAAGATGTTTGTTTTTTCATCTATTTAATCCTAGCCGTTGCTGAAGCATCAGCTCTCAGCATGCTTCGTTGTGCAACAAATATACCGAGGAGCAAGCGAAATCTCGGGCAGAAGTGCGGGACGATGTTCGAACAACCCGCCTCAAAGCGTACGTGATAATCTCGAAAAGTTATTGCTATATGATGACCAACCACTCCGCAACCCAGTATCATCGCCAAACTCCGAGAGCTTGGGTACGGAGAAGATCTGGAGGCAATCAGGGGAATCAGCTATCGTCCACTGACTGAGAACTCGCATGTCCGTGTACCCGCCAAACTCACGGAGAGAGGTACGCCCTATCACGACAATGCTCTTGATGTTGTTCACCTAATAGTGACTGCTTCACTTCTACTAGCATGGCAGATCATGAAGGGTGATGTAATTGCCATCATGGACACAGTCAAGAACGAACGGCTCCGTCAGCAGCGCAGGAAGTCCACGCGTCTCCGGCTCGAATGCATTCAGAAGATGGCCAATAAACATACGATGACTTTCCCCAGGTCCGCGAAGTCTCAGTGTGTCCCTCGTTTCGTGGACTTTGCGAACATGCCCGAGTTTCAAGAAATTGTGAAAGCTCCGGGTGAAGACAAGATTGCATTGAACAAGTTCCAGGCACTCGAGCCGGAGATGTCTACGATCATCAGACGCTGGCAGGACGAGGCGAAGGCGAAATTGTTGGACCTGATGAAAGAAGACCTCAAAGCTGAGGACGTCCCCGAGGACGTGGACCCGCTCCTGTTGGCAATCGTTCTCTTCAAATGCAGTGGATGCAACAATGTCTTGGAATACCCAACGGTTGTCGGGCATGACTGTCTGCATCACTGCCCCTCCTACTACGCGCAGGCCGCAAATGAATATGACCGAGCGGTACAAGAAGTTGTGCGCTCTGAACGCTGGGATCTGAGGAAACTCTCCTGCGGCGCATTGCCCAAGAGAGTGCGATTGCTTGTGGAAGCGTGCGGCAAGGATCCCCTGCGGACGACGAAGCAAGACATGGACGGCCTAGACGAGAGGTTCTGGTGCGAGGCCTTCAGCAGAGACGGGACTCGGCATATCATGAGCTGGCGTACAGCGGTATTTGCCATCACTCTTGACATTTTCCTGGGCTTACTGACTCGCTGGTCGTTTCTCAGGTTAGTTGGGTCCCAGAGATCACGAAGGCTGACACAGAGGAAATCTGGCAAGTTGCTGGCCCCGCTGAGAGGGATAAGGTAGACGAACTGGAATTCAACCGCCGGCATGCAGTGCTCGACAAGTATCACGAGCGTAGCCATTGGAGCTGTTGTTTGTGCGCAGGCTACAACGCGTCCAAGCGCAATATTACAGACATCAAAGCCCATTTGCTGAAAGAGTACGTCCTTGTTGCGGAGCTTCATCCGTTCAGGATCTCACTCCTTTCTACACGGCAGACATTCCATTGCGGATCCCAATATCGCGCACGGGGATCTATATATCGATGCAAGTAGTGAGGCACGCTCGCCCGTCCCGGAGTCCGTCTGCTTGTTGTCATGCACCCTAGCACTCGAGACTCTGACGCGACAGGAGAAACAATTGCTGGAGTTGGGTCGAGCGGCGTACTGCAAGTTCAACGTTCAGACTATTGAACACCACTCGAATTAGCCTTGATGATCTGTTTACTCGGGAGGGTCTTACACGGTCGATGGCATGTCATGAAGTTTATTTAGCAATAGCAATGGTTACGTCCCTGGAATCGTCTGATGACGCCTCTCGTGGGGAGTGTAACGAACTAAAACTACGAGAGCAGAACCTCAGCAGTTGAGTGGCCTGCATTTATGTGGATCTTCGTGTCGAAGAATGAACTATCTAGACACATTATACATTATCCTCTTTTCGTATCCTGAGTAAGCTAATGGTACATGAGAGATATATGCGGCGACAACGAGATGACGATAGCGTAGTACACTGCTTCTGACAAGAACATGCTGAGGTAGGGGAAGGGGAGGGGTGGGTACGGGAAGGGGAAGAGGAGAAATAAGGGGGAAAGGGTAGAGCTGAACTATAGTAAATATAATGCATGCTCGTCAAGCGGCAAGAGACGTGACAACCGGACCACGATAACGTCTATGTTACAACATAATTCACGCAGTCCATCAAATGTCTTCATCTTTGTCGTCTAGCTGTGAAGGCTTAAGCATGCCGGGGATACGCATGGCCGCCGCTCGCTCTTCCTGAGCCATACGTAGCGCCTCCGCCTCCTTTTCTTCGAGGTACAACTCCGCATTGTCGCCGGAGAACTCCTTGAGTTGTACGAGGAAGTCCCGAAGTGCAAGCTTGAAGCGGTTGATATCGCTGTGGAATTCTCCAAGAGAAATGACGAACGCTTGTATTTGAGCGCTGATAGATAGTCGACTTCAGTCTGACGTCATCGCATGTGGATCAAGGGAACATTACTTTTGGACATGGGGGAAAGCAGATTTGAGCAGGTTTGCGGTGTATTCCCGCAAAAAGAGAGCGTTGCTCATGTTTGGGTCCGGCACCGTCGATCGGTCAAACAACGGCACAAAAATCTGGTTAGTCTCCACCAACTGGAACATCCGTGCAAGTAGAACAGATTGCAGCTTGAAGCCGCTCTTGTGATCGGTATCCGTCAACACGAAAAATATATCTTGCATGATGCTCAAGAAATATTGCTGGAAGAAAACGTTCGCCACTGAAGGATCAGCACCTGCAAAGTTGTTCACAACCTCCAAGCATACTAGTTGCACATCAGAACATCAGAAACAATGTCGAGCAGAAGTTCACTATTCGCGTACGGTTTAAGCCAGTTTCTGCAATATCTCGCATGGTATGCTTGATGGCCCAAATGATACTGTCCATGAATAACTTAAATTGTGGTGGAGGAATGGTTAATAAAGCTACGTGGGGGAGTCAATCTCTGGCTGGTGAGAATAACAGACAGAAGACGTACCCGGGAAGCAATTCAAGTTGATAGCACGCAGCAACTTGAAGAACCCTACACGATGCTCGGGGTACTCCGAGAAGTCTTGGTTAATCATGCTGAGCGTAGGCTCGAACACCGCCTCGAGGATGGCAGGCACTTGGGGGGTGAGTAGCGGCTGAACAGTATTTACGGTTCAGGATTTGTCACTCAACAACACGAAAAAACGCACCCCAAGCCGACCAATGATGGTCGCCATCACATTCAATACCTCCGCGTCTCTGGCGGCGGGGACGTTACGGTTATAATCACCAAGGATGGCGTCCAAGAATGGTGGCATGAAGTTGCTGTTAACAGTCTCGAGATCTTCTGCTCTCTTGATGAAGGTCTCCATCAACTTCAGAATTTCCTTCTTGATCGTCCGCAAATGCCGAACTTTGGGCGTCTTCGTGGCGATGTGACCTGCGTACAAGAGGACATTCAACGCTTGCACCACAAGAACAACATGGAAGGCACCTGCCTTCACGAGCGACGGTCTCGCTAATGATCCCACTGACAGCCTTGTACAAACCCAACATATCCAAGAATACCCTGGCGATTTGAGGAAGATAAAAGCTACCGATGGATGTGCAAGCCGCAACGTTCGTCTTCAGTACATTGGCAAGTATCTTGATGTTGTCATCGCCGCTCAGAACATCCATGTTCTGGGAAGCTTGCCCCATGAGAGAGTCCCACTAAAGACGGGTCAGTCAAGCTTGATTGTTTGAATCGCCACTGAGCAGGACGCACAGCATTGTTTGGGAGCTCCATCAACTTAGCAATCAACTTTTCTTGCTGAGGCTTGTTCGGTTGCGCTGAGATCATGTATCCTACGGCTTCGTAGAATGTGTGGACCTGTGCGTAGTGCCGACAAACTCTGAGCATCGAGTGGATAAAATGATACAAGGTGCTGACCTGTTGGGGTGACAGGTCCACGGTGATCCTGTGCAACAACCGCAAGATCTCATCCACGAAAGGTTCCTGTTCGCCCGACTGGTGCATGACGAAATGCCGGCGACATTTCTGTGCGATCTTGATGAACGTATCGCAAGCCATGTCCTGTACACCTGCAGGCGGGCTCCACGTTAACTTCACCCTCGCGAGGAAAACCAGTGATTCGTAAAGGTGACTGGGAGAAAGTGGAAGATGCGGAGGTACAACAGTAACAACGGATGTAGATTAGCGTACCTTCGTGCGTTTCGTGCATAAACTCGAAAAGCTTGTTCACTACTGTCTTCAGGAATTTCCAGTGCGCCTTGAGGAACCGAGGATATTGCCCCACAATATACATAATATCAGATGCGACAACAGCTTTGTTGTCTTTGCCACGCTTGATCTCACAAAGACCGAGCAGATCTTTAATGACGGTGACGAGGAAGCGTTTCTCCGTCTCCTCATCTGGGAAATGAACACATCAGAATACGCGAGGCGATGACAAGAAAATACGACATACTCATGGCACCAGAAATAGATCCGATAGCCCAACAGAGTGTATTCAAATTCTGCCATGACCATTCCGAACCGTCCACTTGCTTCGCAAGTTTTTCAGTTAGAATATTCTCGGTGTCATTGACATCGAGGTGGGTCAGATACACGAGCAGTTCGCGCATCGACTTATAGAGAACAATCGTGTCGCTCTCCTTCATGAACTCCCGGACTATCTCGCCTTCTTCGTTCTCAACAATGAGAACCTAAAAGAAAGATAGTCAGAATAGATAGCTACCTGCAGTGTGCATATAGTTCATAAGCATACCTCTTCAGGCTTGACCATCTTCTCAATGACAACAAGGCGCAAATTGGAAAGCACGTCACTATATATGTTTTTCCGCAACGCCATCCCATTCAACATGCTTTGACTTGATCCTCCCAAGCTCAAGCCCATCAACAAGCCGCTTTCCCCAATCGGCAGACTCTGGATCTCTTCGTACAGCTCTGCGACAAGCTTCAACCAATATTCCAAGCAGATCTTGAAAATTTCGCGCTCATCCACCTGTGAAATCTTGACCATATAGAGATGTGCGTTAAGCAGGACATCGCGATTCTGTTCTGTTTCAACCGCACGAAGGTGGTTGGAGAGGAAGTTCGCAAGGAACAACGCTAGGTTGAGAACGAGCTCTTGGCCCGAGTCACCTGCATTGGCATAGGCCTGTGCAATGTTGGTGCTTGGAGGGATCATGCGATTGACCGACGTCATCACCATCGCGAAGAGGATTACAAATTTCGGGTCATATTCTGGACCAACGTTCAAAGCGGCAATCTCTGCCAGACATTTGAGTGTGACATTGCGGAACTCGGGCGCTTCAAGGAACTACGAAACAGATAAAAAGGCGCGTCAACGACCGCGAATGACGCGTCACCCAATATGCGAAACTCACCCGGTGCAAGAGCAGGTCGATGATAGTGGTCTCGAATATGTAGCCCAGCGGTATCCAGTTCAGGAACCGGAGGAGCGTTTCCAATGTTGCCCTAATCAACGACGTCTTCTGCGCCTCCTCCAAGATCTCTTGACACAACTTGAAAATCTCCGAAAACTCGCCGCACATTTGGTTCTTGAGATTCTTTACCTTCGCTTGTGTCATTTGCTCTGCCGAGAAATCGAAGATTTCCTCAGATAGAAGTTTCAAGATGATCATGTTGTTCTCGCAGAGAGAAAGATTCGTTTTGGAGGACTCGACAAGTTCCGTGATAAACATCGGCCAATTGTGGGGCCATTCTTGCTTCAAGATCTGCAACACCTCAATTCAATACACGGTCCTGAAGATCTAAAGAACTGACAACATACCTGAACGAGCGCGAGGTTCAACTTGTTCAGGTATGTCTTTTCTCTACGCATCGTGGCTTCATCCGACGCAACCTTGACGGTGAGGCCAACAACGAAATTGCGTATCCCTATATCGCAAATTAGATACGTACACTATATATGGCAGATATTATATAGCTAACCTTGCCGCTGCCCTTCCGGGAGGGACTTCCACCGAGTTGTTATAAGCTTCTCGAGAATTTGCAGGCCTATGTACTGGAATGACGCTTCAGTAGGAAAGAATAAGGACCACCTCTGATTAATGACGCACTTTGGTCTGAGGAAAGGAGGATCGTTCTAAGACGTCGGGTACTTTAGTCCAAGCTTCAGGATTCTCCTGGAACTGCGTCAAGACCTGCTGCGCCAATTGTTGCTAGATACGTATCAACGCCGCAGGCAAATGAGTGATCTGAGTGCGCTATATACGATCCGCACGCACCTCCTGTCCTGAGCCTGAGTAGAACGCCATGACCACCTTGTCCATTAGCGAAACGTCGAACTCTCCCGAGAAGTCGAGAACGCCCTGCATAATAGTGAGAACTGTGGATAGTACGACGATGGAGTACTCAAGTGCTGACCTCCATGGTGGTAATGCTATCGATGAACGCGTGCAGTCGTGGTGGTCGTGGTCGATGGCGAACCTGCTTAGTTAGAGGGCGGCCACCCTCTGCCCAGCCACCAGATCTGGGGTGTCAATCTCCGCAGGGTGATTTCCGAACTCCGACTTACGCGCCACACACAAGACGCGTCGCGCGTGACACTTCGAAGACTTGCAAGCAAATATCCACGATAATATACTTTTTGTGAAGGTATACGGTCTTAACACGTAGAATCAATCGGCGACATTTCGGAAGTGGAAAAGAAGTAAACGACATCGGTAGGCTCAGTTGTGTCTATCAAATGTACTTATTGGGAACACGGCCCGCTTGACCAGGACCCACAGTCAGGCACTCGCACTACCAGTGTCAGCGAAGGATTCTTCAATTGTGCTCAGCTACTTCGAGGATGAGAAGTAGAAGAGAGGCTACTGCAATTGATGCCATCGGCGAGGACACCTCTTATTTTGGTGGGGGCTGGATCACGTGACGCGTGACAGGTCAGCTCAGAGGTCATCGGAGCGGTTTCGGGTCAGGCAGGGCGGGAGCATAGAGTAGAGTGGAGGTAGTAGACAGAGACAACAACAAGAAGCACATTCTGAGTCGGATAAGCCAGACTGCTCCAACGTACCGCTATGAATGAGCTTACTCTGATGAAGATAATCCAAACCCAAGAGCACTTGCTTACTATATCCCTCCCCCACTCGCCCGGAGTCAACAGGGATGATTTTGTAGTCTGCCTGTGAGAGGCTACACTCACTGGCAGACGCGCCAGGATGCAAAGTTCAAACTGCACGTGGGAGGACAATGCTCTGAGTGATGAAGTAAAATTGTGGTTTAGGAGAAGTACAATTCAAGCTATAATAAGCTCAAAGTTGCAGTACGTTCTCTCCGAGCGTCATGTCATAACAGATGAACAACAGCGGTATTCGAGAAGACTACTTGATTATTGCTTGCAGCAAGAACGCGAAGACAAATCTATTTTACGAACCCCGAAACGATAGTCTGTCGTCACACGTGTCCATGTAAACGAGGAGGCAACGAGCAGAACACTCCAACTTGCCAATGCCGACAACGCGAGGATATAAGGTATTGAAGGTCCAAGGTATTAAAATGAACACCCCTAGCCAATTTATCACACTTTCAAACCGCAGCACACCCACCTTACGACAGGAACGCAACTGCAGCCACAACACCCGCTAGGGTGGCAACCAGAGATACGTGCATGGCAGAAGCGCCGTTAGTTCCACTCGCGCCAGTCGCTGCAGCAGCACCCGAAGAGCCTGAGCGGGAGGCAGAGCTCGAGCCGGATGAACCAGAATGGGAGGTTGGGGTACTTGTAGCAGAACCACCCGACGTGGTGGACTGCGAAGAGGCAGTGACGGAGGCGAGGTCGGTATAGAGATCGGTAGATTTGTAGGTAACACAGTTGGATGTTGCAGGGACGGTGGGGGTGTAGGGCATGCTGGTGATGACACCGCTAGCAGGCTGACTGTAGGTCATCGTGACACCGTTGGAAGTGTAGATGCCGACAGGCGACATAGGGTCGGCATCGCAGACCATGAAGGTGCCGTTGGTGACGGTACCCGGGCAGTTGTAGGCGATACCAATCTCGTCGTAGATGTTGTTGCACAGGCCAGTGTTCCATCCGCCAACATCAGCAGGGTTACATCCCTTGAAACAAACTTGATTGCCGCCAATGAAACTACAGAAAAGGGTGTTACTGATTTGTATGCTGTGCGCAACACGAAGACATACGAGGTCCACTCGGTCAATTGACCAAGTGTAGTATTGTCCGAGGCACCAGCGAAACTGTGCGTGGAGAACACCAGACCACCAATAGGGTTACCGTTCTGAGCATTCCAGTTAGCATTCAAGTCCAAAATCACGGAACAGCTGCACTGCTTACTCCATCAGCGCCATGGGGATCAAGTTCACCGCCATAATCACTGGCTTGCATATTGACATTCGCCTGGTTAAGTAAAGCGAGGATCATGACATATTGGGGGGTGTTCAAGACAGAGACACCCCAAAGGGTTCCCTGGGGTATCAGACGAGTACCACGTCCGTTCTTGGTGCAATAAGCCACCTCAATACCTTCCGTGTCAGCAATTGTCGAGTTAGGCTGGGGAGGAGCCCAGATGCAAAAATCTGCAGACGATATGTCAACACGAGATGTGAGAAGAATAGTTGTTGAGGTACCATCGATGCTGTTCAGGATGGCCGTTTGACACATGGACTCCTGGTTTTGCGTGGTGGAATTACAGATATTGTATCCGGCTTGGGGTCCACGAATGCCAGCGGTAGGTTGAGCTTGTTCAGGCTGGAGAACGACAGTGAGCAGGTGGTGACAACATGGTCTAAAAAACTCACAAGGTCGGTGTAGGTGAAGCTCTTGAAGGCCAAGGGGGAGGAGGCATACTGGGCAACTACGCTAGAGGTAGCGAGGGCGACAGTGAGGAGAAGGGAACGAGCGACTGGAGACATGGTGAGTGACGGGGACAGAATCCGAGGTGGGACAAGGCAGACGCAACGTCGAGAATTACCGCGTGGGCTATTTATTTATTTATTTTTAGAAGCATGAAGATTGTTCCCAGGGAGATAGAAAATCTAGGCACGGAATCTCCCGCGAGTCTCCTAAATGCGGGCATAGCTCCCGCGTGTTCCCTGCCAGCCATAGCCTATAGTACGTGGTATGTTTCTAGGACATTTCTAGGACAAGCACTGCAGGTCGGACTGACAACACGGCACATCCAGCTGACTGAACGCCCCGTGATTACTGATACGAGTGAGGTAGCCTGGTCGAGCTACCTCTGGACGCGTTGCATACGTCGAGCAAGACGCGTAAATACGAGCAGGCTTGCAAGTTTCCGTGCAAGCATCCTTGTCATGTCCGATATCCCCCACACGCAGAGTGCATGGCGTGTCATGCGTCAAGGGGAACCCTCCCAGGTTCTCCGCCTCGATGAGAACGTGCCGGTGCCGATCAAACTGGCAAAGGGCGAGGTCCTCATCAAGGTGCAAGCTGCCGCGCTCAATCCAATGTAATGTAGCAGCTTGACTTCACCGCATGATACTGATCTCAGTGCAATGTGATCTAGAGGGTATACGATGATGCAAAAAATTCCTTCGTTCATCGCTCGCGTGCCCTACATTCCGGAGCACGACTTCGCGGGAGTGGTCGTTGACGCCAATGGTACGGAGCTGAAGAATGGCGACGAAGTTTACGGCTTCCTGGACGTCCGTAAGTAAACTTATGCAACTCTGCCTGATTGGCGTCGCCTGATAGCACATGCACATCACAGTACTCCACTTCAGGACCCGTCAAGGGACGCTTGCGCAGTACACTCGCTTACCTGCGTCGTCTTTCGCTATCCGACCGCAGAACATTACACCTACACAAGCCGCAGGTTTTGGCGTTGTCGGCGTAACCGCATTCCAAGCCTTATTCCGCGTTGCAAAGCTTGAGCCAGAACAAAGCATCTTTGTGAATGGCGGAAGCACTGCGGTTGGAGCGGTGGCCATTCAGCTGGCTAAGGCGGCCGGTTGTAAGGTCACCGCGAGCGCTTCCGGAAAGAATGAAGAATATGTGCGCTCCCTCGGCGCAGACGAAGTGCGTTCCCCTTTCCTCTTTTCTCGAGGATTTGTTGTAAAGCTGCTTCGATTTAGTTTGTCGATTACACGAAGGGCGCCCTGCATGAGAGTCTAGCCACACTTGCTCCCGTCCCAAAATACCACTTATTCCTTGAGGCGGTCGGACTGGGCGACCCCTCGCTCTTCATACATAGCGAGGCCTACCTTGCACCCGGAGGAACGTTCATTTCCGTAGGTCCGCAACCTGGGAGCATCCAGGAGTTTTTCAGCGTTGTATGGAATATCTTCCTCAAGCCCAGGTGGTTAGGCGGGGTGAAGCGCAAATGGAAGTAAGTACATTGTGCAGTCCTTCGCCAGCCGAATACGAATCGTTGACGCTAATGATCATAACTCAGGATCGTCAGTGTCAAGAATAACCAGGCCGACCTTCAAAAGCTGACCCAGTATATCACGGAAGGTTGGTTCCGTCCTACCTGTCCGTCCCATACCTGTTATCTTACGTCTAACCGCAGGGAAGGTGAAACCAATCGTCGATTCAGTCTACGGCTTCCAGGATGTACCGAAGGCGTATGAACGGATGATGACCCACAGAGCGACCGGCAAGATTATTGTGAAAGTGGACCCGAACGTGAACTGAGGTTGTGTTTCAATGCCAGCCACCAACTCGTAGCAATTACTGTATATTATAATCAATGGAGACAAGGACGGTATGTAAACCAGGGCTATATCACTTGACATCGGAATATCGTAACTGCTACTGGATCTGCGTATCCATGCAACTATGTACACCGCTGCAGTGTAATACAAGAACATACAGCTCGGGCATTTGCGTGCAGCCTGTAAAGGAAATTTTAGTCGGCAGCAATCCATCCATATAAAGTATACCTTTGTCATCCGTCCAGTTGTTGACCGGTCAGTGACCGGTGAAAATGGAAAATTGAGAAATCGTCAATGACCCCGGTCATGACCGTGACTTGTCTTTGCGAACACTGAAAGGAATTGTCGCTGAAATTTACTCTCAGACAACAAGCGTTTCAATCCTACGTTAAACCTCAAGTGGCCCTGTGTCTTCACACCCAGTGGAAAACGCGTATTGTGAGATCGCAGCAAGTCGCACGAGGTCGTGGCTGTGACCAGCTGCGACCAGCCGCGAAAATTTGGACTATATGCGATCTTGCGCGAGCCCAATCAAACGTGGTCGCAGGCTAGCACAGTGCCAAGCGGGAGAATTGAGGCATTTCGCATCTAGTCGAATATTAAGCTGCTGTATAATAATTGTATTGTCGTGATTTAATACACTGTGACTACACTCGACGTCGTGTGAGCACCCTCGCCGTCGTGCGAGCTCCTGCGACATCGCGCGATCTACTTCGACCTGCTCCGCTCACACCCCCGCCCCCGCTCCCACCCCTGCCTGCGCCCCCGCCCCCGTTCCCGCCCCCGCCCCCGCTCCTGCCCGTACCCCCGCCCTCGCACCTACGCACCCCTGCACCTACGCACCCCTGCACGCACGCGCGCGCCCATCCCCCTGCCCGCGCACGCACCCGCGCACTGGCGCGCAACCGCACACATCCGCACTCCCTGTGTTCGCCGTCGTCCCCGTTTTCACACCTGGATGCTGCCCAACACCTGTAATATAAGTAGAGTTAGTGAATATGTGTCATAGCATAGATAAAGAATGAGATAAGGTAGAGAGGTCCGCTAAAAAGTCGGTGCAAGCACAGCTGTTCACGCTCAGGCTGACTGGATAGTCAAGGTCGTCCAGACGGCTTCTCGCGCTCGAAGTGTGCATAAAGGCCCGGCGAGCTCGTTAGTCGGGGTCGTCGGAAGAGAGATGTGTGACCGCGGAGCCTGCTACAGGGGGCGGGGGGTTTTGGACGCCGCAAACGAACCTCTCGCAGTGCGAGACGATCGCCTCGGTGCGCTCGGTCCTCGCTCGGTCCATGTGCCCCCCGCCCGCGCGCCCAAATATCGATCCTCTGACCCCGGATTTCCCGGTATATGCGCCAGAAGTCGACGTGCCGTGTCCGCATCCACATCCTTGTACTCACCTGGTCATCCTAACTTGCCCCATCCCCCCACTTCTCAACTTCTCGATGCGGGTCATGTCTATCGTGCGCGCCAGGGTCGCGAATCGGCGAATGCGGCGCGCGGACGGGACTGCTCGGATGTCTTCGTTTGGCTTTGGAGCCTGGAATGCGGCACGCGTACCGCACCCAGCCGCTTGAGATTGAGGGGCTAGTCAGTGCCCCCCAATTGAAGGCGCAGATGGAAAGATCATGGGGATCTCAACGAATGTGGATAGTATCGGATCGCCTTCTTATCGGAAGATTAGCATAACATGATCCACACTTGCACGTAGGCAGTACTTACTACCGTAATCAGCAGCAACGCTGCAAGTACACCAGAGGGGGTCTCTCGACCATCTGATAAGTAAATTTAAGGACATTTCAGGTGCGTGGATGCCTGACACAGAAACTGTCGCCGTACCTCGTCAATAGGGGCACATCAGAGGATTACAGTCAGGAAGACGAACACACATTCACATAGTCCGGATGTGTCGCAATGCGCACCACGCGTGCACCAGAAAGCAGTGCAAACTTGTTCTCCCGGAACTGCTGCGAGATTAGACAGGGAATGAGATGTAGAACAGTTCGCACTGTGCGGGGTGCGGGCAGCTGTGCGCACTCGAGCGTGGCATGACCGTCACATTGAGGCAGAGAAGGCTGTTGAGCCACTTCTCGACGGTGTCTTCGGCCGCATATAAAATCGGTGTCTCGAGCTTGCAGTGTGCACGCTTTCGGCGGTGCCTTGACGATGGGCTTCTTGAAGCTCGAGCTTACCGCTGCATCGTCTTCGCCCGCGGCGGTGTCTTTAGTATGCGAGGGGTGGGTGCTCTCATGGAGCTGTTGGATGAGCTTGAGTGAGAGTAATCGGCCGGTATAATAAGCATCGTGCTCTGGAGGTCAGAGCGACTGGATGCAGGAGGACAAGAGCGCAGACGTGGTGGCGACATGAGTACAGTGACGTGTCCATGTCTCTGTCACATGATGAGCTCGGCGTGGGTGCAAAGAGATGATATAAGTGCAAGTACACTGGGCACAAGTACAACATATAGTATATAGCTAATCGAGACACGCGTGCAGGCAAAATTCGACAGATGGCGGCCTTACGTCGAGCAAAGTGCAATTCAGACGGGACATGGTACAGGATCGACGCGTCAAATCACAGGATGTCTCGCACGTGTTCGACCAGGTGAGATCTGGTTCGACCGCTTGCGATAATCCAAGTCAAGCCGCGATCTGGTGCGTCTTGGTTCGTTCTTGGAATATGCGTTTTTCACTGGGCTTCACACCTCGGTCACTAGTTTACAAATATTGGATTCGGTCACGCTAGCGTGTCGAAGGCGAATTTCACTGAACAAATGCCCTCAATGCCCGGAGTGGAAGAATGTTCTTGTTCTGACAAGGATAAGACATCGTCAAGTCTGATGCTGAGAAACAGAACAATATTGAGATGATGCAGTTGTCGGTACGCATCAACGTTCCAAGCCTGCAATTGTGAATGCACTGGAGGGACAGTCCACAAGCCACAATTATACCCGGTGGCAATGATTCACATCCTATATTTAGTGTGTTTCTCCACATATGACACCATAGGGAAGCACACTGAGAAAGTGTATGGATGATTCTTTATAGGGTCGTCGATGTTGTATCCATTCGTGCGGATTACACGGTACTGCGTCGGTTGATTGCGTTGGTTGATTGCGTCAGTACCAGTACAGACGCTGTGGAGATATATAGATATTATCCCTTACAACATCATAGCGAATAGCTCCTTCTCCGACAGTCTATCCTCTTCGAAGGCTACGTTCAAATTGGCACGGTCAAGAGAGCGGATCTGCGAGAGCCTTGAGTTGAAACTTACGTACCCAGGTTGTTCATGGTGTCCTCGCCTTCTTCTATGCTCTGTGGTGTAGCATTGTCTCCCCGTTTCACAGCCGATGCACGGCAACCAAAACACCGTTCACGCATTGAGCCCGGAGCACGCTTATTTCCTTCATGCCCAGTGCGTACACTATGTGAGATACCGACAACGAAAGGTGGTGCATGGTCAGTCGTGAAGGATGTCGCAGATGCTAATATCACATACTCGGCTGCAGCATCTTCCTGTCAAGGAGACAAAAGAACACCCTAGTAGACCCTGTACAACGAATTGCACGGCGATGCACCCATTCCTCCGACCATGTCAAGGGTCTTGCGACCCGGCAGTCATCGTGACACGAGACAAAGTTGCGCAGCGAAACTAATATATTGCGAAAATTTTGTTCAGGACCATGCCCTCAGCATCGCAAACAAAAGAGGTGCCTAACCTGGTCCACTTTCTGAGAAGCTTGAATGTCTTTGGTGCATATGACTGATGGACAAGAAAAGATCTAGCAGTTTCCGATGTTTCCGACGTTAGCCGATCTGGAGGTGCGAGGCCGGAGACACCGCTCTCTCCTGGAACATCCAGCCGCGCCGATTAAAGAAAGAAAGCCTGAGATAACTCTTATCGTAGTGAGCAACATGGTCAGACCGGCATGACCGGTTGAATGGGAGCTGTTCAGAGAAAACGTAACCGTACACAGAGAGAGACAGAGGACCAGATAGTTTGTCAAGCGAAATTCTCGAAATGGTACGTCGATTTGCCGCAGTAGACCACTGATCCCGCGAGGTCAAGAGAATCTTGGAACGACGCTGCCAGTGTCATCTGCAGAGTCCGCGAGCCTCGTCAGATATCCAGACATAGTCGTAAGTGGATCTCAACGACGTCACTGAAAGAATGACAGAGTCAGTTTCTGGAGTATTAAGCACGATGTCAGATGGCTTTAACTTGCGAAGGACGAACACCAGTAACTAATATTTCGTGCCAATCCGCGGAAGGTCAAGAATTTATCTGGCAGACACAAGAAGGGGGATGAAGCGACGACTACCACTGGACTGCTGGGGTAGGCTTTAAGTCATGTATAATTGTGGATCACGCCTTCTGCCAATTGAACGCAAACAAAAGTTAAGTCCATCCTCATACTTCACCCGCATGAGCAAACTGGTAGACATAGAAGTATTAGATATGTATGGATTCCGGCATAGCGGCATATCGCTCACCATTATGCAGAAAAAGAGTGGTGAAACAGAAGAAACAGGACCGCACGACGAAGGCACTGCCTCCTCAGAGACAGGTGTCGCTGTCTGTGTTCAGATTCCGAGTAGACAGGCACGACCATGGCACGCGTATTTGTGTACCACAGGCAGTGGGCCACACGCCGTCAGTTTGGGTCATCCCAGTCGTATGATGATCTTCAATAAATAGTTAACCGCTCAAGTAGGCTCAGCCAAGACACAATCGATGAGCGAGAAGACTATAACGGGTCATCTGATCATGAAGTGGACACTACCCAAGACCATAAGTACCTGTTTCCCCATCAAAAAATCAGAATGATGAAAGGCATTTCAGGTTGCGACGGAAACAAATTACATACCGTCTTCTTGACATGCATAATTTTCTAGCACAACGCCGTCTCAGTTTGTGTATCATGCACCGACTGGGCCGATGTTATTGAGCGGAAAACGAGTACTACCTGTGAACAATTCCGAGAGGGATCCGCACCAGAACTACGGATACCAAAATGAAGACGATCGCTGGGTGAAAATTTTGGGGTGTGGCTATGCAAATCTGGGTCGGAAGGGGAGACCAACTTCGGGGCGGATGGACAACGCCTTGGCCCAACGTTGGCCCGTTGAGCGATGAGCGCTTATGAGCCCGATCTTGGATCGAGTCAAAGGAGCGATCTTGATGGCCTGCCTTATAAGGGGTGAAGTTGGAAGTCCGCGGGTGGGACGGAGTCCGGGGTGGCGAAGGGTGCAGGTCCCGAGGCTGCTCTCGTCGGGCCCGGTCCTCGTGCATTTAACTAAATTCTCCGTTTTCCCTGCATGGTTCGCCTTGCCGGCGTTCCAGGCGTACAATTTCCACGTTTTCGTCTGGGGCTTGACCGTTACAAGCCGTCTCCTCGTCAATTCCTTGAGGCCGAACCTTGTACGGTCGTCCAAGTCCAGATCACCACCGCCTCTAGGAACCGGAGCTTCCTCCCCATTTTGTCCCCTTCCCGTGCTTTTACTCCGGGTCAAATAAAGGGCGTCGGTGGAGTGGCATCGCCTTCCATCCAACTCTACAACCAACTGTTCGATTACTTCGATACCCTTCCTACACACCTAACACACTCTCTTGAATGATATCTCTCCTCGGGGCATTGTTGGCGACGTTGTTCCTCGCATCTCTCGGACTCACCTTTCCTACTGACGTCTACCACCATCATCGGGAGCTGCGAGCTCGCAATATTGTCTACTCCGGCCAGATAGCAGATGCATACGACTTCATCATCGTAGGCGGAGGCGTAGCTGGGCTCACACTCGCCTCAAGATTATCCGAGGACGCGAATACCACCGTTCTTGTCCTCGAAGCTGGTGACACCGGTGATGCCGTCTCCAACCAAATCAGTGAGTACCACTACCACCACCACCTCGTCACGTTCAATAACTCCATTCATTTCAGATACCCCTGGAAATACTTACTACAATGGCCTCGTTGGCTCTTCTTGCGATTGGGCATATCTGACCGTCCCTCAGCCCAATGTCGCCAACCGTCAACTTTCATGGCCCATGGGCAAAGTTATCGGTGGTTCGAGTGCCATCAATGGCATGTATCTCGTTCGCCCTTCGCAGATAGAAATAGATGCGTGGGCTGCGCTCGTTTCCCCTTCGGACAATGGCAGCAGTGCTGCTGCATACCAATGGGACAATTTCTTCGCCGCATTGAAGAAGACAGAGACTTTCACTCCTCCCAGTTCAGCCATTCAGCAGGACGCGGATATTCAGTTCAACACTGCCAGTCACGGAACGAGTGGTCCGCTGCATTACTCGTATCCTGGCTTGTGAGTTGTTTTCTGATACTGTCGTACACGTACAGTTTCTAATGAGCCTATAGCGAATTCTCGCAAGTGGGCAGCTGGACTCCGACTCTTGCAGCCGCTGGTGTCATTCCGAACCAAGATGCCTACGGTGGGGACGGTTGGGGAACGTTCGTCGCTACGTCTGCCATTAACCCGACGAATTGGACAAGGTCCTACGCCAAGTCCGCCTACATTGATCCACTTCCCCCTCGGTCGAATTTGGACATCCTCCCGAACGCGACTGTCACTCGGATTGTCTGGTCTTCCAGCTCTTCCTCGAACAATGTAACCGCGTCTGGAGTCGAGTATGCCACGTCCAGGGGTGCGCCGACGACTGTCGTCAGCGTGAAGAAAGAGGTGATTCTTACTGGCGGTGCCGTCGGTAGCCCACACGTCTTGTTGGTCAGCGGTGTAGGTCCCAGCGACGTGCTCTCTGCTGCAGGAGTTAACGTCACCGTGAACCTTCCTGGCGTCGGACAACATCTCCAAGACCATCTGGTGAGTTTGCTTTCTTCAATTTTCATCCCATATCGTCCATTCACATTGCACGTCTGTTCTAGAGTACTCAGATTATCTTCACTACCCATGACGATACTGCTGCGTCCTTGCTTCCAGCCAACGTAAGTCCCTTATTCATAGCGACCTCGTCCAACTGATCGCGATTGGTGCAGGCTGGCAATCCCGCTTTCATGTCTTTCATCAATTCTGCCGTCGGCTACGTCAACGCCAGTATACTCTTCGACAACGTGTCCGATTTCCAGGCTGGGGTGGTGAGCTCGATGAGCAACGCTCTCGTGCCCAGTACAGACCCCACCGTGCTGGCCGGATACAAGGCGATATACGAGACCACGACCAACTTGTTGACTACGCCTGTGGGCCAGGTGGAAGTTTTGCTGAACCTGGTGGGCTCTGCATCAGGGGGTACCAACACCATCGGCATTGAAGTGGGCATACAACATCCATACAGGTGTGTTTCGCGTTGAGAGTCCGCCGTGCCGAGGAGTAGCTGACGTTGACTCTAGTCATGGACGCTTGTACATCAACTCCTCCAGTATATTCGATGCTCCAGTTATTGACCCGAACTACCTGTCGAATCCCAATGGTAAGCACATCGATGTAGTTGAAGTCTATCGGCTGACGAACATCGTGCAGACATCGTTTTGTTGCGTCAAGGACTGAAGCTGGCTCGCCAGATCGGCGCGACGCCGCCACTCAGCACCGGGCTTCTGGCGGAAGTTTCCCCAGGCCCGTCCGTCAACACGGACGACGGGTGGCAGGGGTGGCTCGTGAACCAGATCGGAACGGAGTACCACCCGAGCAGCGCGTGTTCACAGCTTCCGCTGAACTTGGGTGGTGTGGTTGACAGCAACCTGAAGGTCTACGGCTTGGGTACGCTGCACTTGTGAACGTCCCTTTGAAGCTGCTACTGATCGTGTTCGTTGTAGGTAACGTCCGTGTCGCCGACTCTTCAATCTATCCGTTCGCGTTCTCTGCCCATGTACGTCTTCGATCCAGTTGGTCCATTGTCGTCATCTGACTTGTGTCTTCTTCACCTTAGCTGCAAGCCCCGACATACGCTCTTGGCGAGTTGGCCGCGGACATCATCCGCGCCTACTACAATGGAACACCAGCACCAGGAGCAAACGCCACTAGTACCAGCGCCGATCCCACTACCAGCAGCAACAGTACACCTTCACCGTCGGCCACCCAGAGGGTGAAAAGCGGCGCTACTACGCTGACCGCGAGCGTCTCTGCCGTGTGGATGAGCCTTGCGGCGTCGGCGTGGCTGTGGCTGTGATCCACCGACCGCTTTCCTTTGTCCTTCGCGCTCCTTCGAATGGACTGTGGACTCTTTTCATCCGTATCCTTTTCGTCCTCATCCTGACACTCATACTCATACTCATCCCCGCTCTCATCGTCATCCTCATCGTCACCCTCATCCCTCCTTAGCACGGACTATCCATTTCTGATTGAACGGACAGAATGCTCGCTCGCTCATACTGACAGTGTCGTAAATACTGACCTGGTCTCGTATTCCCACGTAGACGTGGACTCAATGACTTGTTTGCGCCTCCCGCTCTACATACATTACGACGTAGTGCCTCTGTCCATGGCGTACTAGGTTAGTCGGTATGTATCTTCACCCATCGCTGGCGGCTTCGTAGCGATCACTACTTATCCTCACACCGCGCTCGATTCACGTCGGGACCCGGGTCCACCATGTTCAGTACCAATGTAGTACTACTTTACTACTGTTGTACTGTACCATTCCGCCTTACGCCCCGCAGGGGACAGACGCTCCACACAGGACAACTTATTACTACACTATCCGCTCTGATGCGAAGACACTCTACGAATAAAATATTGCTTTCGTCTGACACGCCACCCGCGGTCAGACAACAGCCCAAGGGTGGCTCACCAACCGTTGCACGGAGATCAACGCTTGGTATCGTACGTCGGGATTGTCGTGCGACATGAGTTCCATCACGCGCGTCTTCCCGCCCAGGTCTGTGAGCATCCTGGGAAGGCGAGACATTAGGAATGCGTTTCAAATAAGGTGGAAAGGGTACTACTTACTTCTTGCCCCGTTCGTAGTGCTTGACGTATTGGCCGATATCGTGTGCTGCAACTGCAAGAACTACGGGATCGCGGGAATCTTTCAGCAGCGCTATCAACATCCTGCACATATGGCAGCAAGTGAGCTCTAGTCAGATGTTGTAGTCGGCACAAAGTAGACAACGTACTTGAGCTGCTCATGATCTTTGTTGTTCAGCTTTTCCGCATTCTCCTTCCAGAACAGATCAGATTCGTGGACAGGTGTCCACGATAGATGGCCCGAAATCAGCTCGGAGCTGTACTCGTCGTATGTTCTGATTGTGAGAAGAGCATCCGCCGGAAGTCAGCATCACCGTACCAATTCAAATTCGTGTCAGACATACGTTAGGCTTTCAAATCGGGCATTAAGTTCGTCGCGCAGATATTGCACGTCTTCAACAATGTCTTCGTCGGACCACTTCCGGGCACAGAGATTCTTCGCAAACGGAAGCAGTTGCGCCACTAGCATAGCAGGAAGGTTAGCTGCAGGCGCCTTGGACACCAGATTCTAGGTTCGATTCAGCCCTGTGTAGAGCGAGATGTCGCCGCGTTGAAATTACATACTCGGAAGGTGGCGACGATTACTCGTATGACCTTCTCCTTCACCGCAGCTTGTGCAACGTCCGTGAGCAAGGGTATAATGTCTAACCTCCTGCGCGACACAGTCCATCAATCTGCCTGAGGTTAGGGTTTACAGCCAGGCAACTGAAGACATACCTGTTAATCTGTTCTGCAATTTCCTGCTCAAAAGTAAGTAGCCAGATACAGAAACAGACTTGGTAGCTCGTTTGTGGACCCGGGCTTTGCATGAGGATCTCGATGAGGCTGTTCAGGGCATTCAGCCGGATAGGCCAGGGTAAGATACACTCATCCATACGCAACTACTACCATGTGGCCAGTCGAAGATTCTCTCTCACATCAATAAATTTGAAGACGTGTTTCCAACCGAGTTGCACATCCGGGAGATAGTAAACGATCTGCACATGCAGCGTTTTCTTCGACTCGTACAGGGGAAGAAAGCAACGCATCGCCGGTGGAAGTAATTGCATATGGATGAGGCATGCCTGAGTGTGTACGCACCCTGCTATGATTGGAGGATTCGCCCATACCGCCTTTCGGCATTCGGTGCGAGGAAGGATAGCCTCAAGGCATTGCACAGCAATGTCTCGTTTGTGAGGGGAGTCACTGGAGACAAATGAGGCCAAAGCGTTGAGGAAGGGTGATAATTGTTGTGGCGACAGGGGAGAGGATTCGGAGCTACGAAAGATGAGTCCACGCTGCCTCATTACAGAAGTAAATGGCACCGACCTCAGGAGAACCGTCAGAATTTGCGTTGATTTAAGCTGTACAAAGGAATCTTGCGATTCCAGTATTCTAATAAGGGGTTGAATATCTGCACTTTAAGTTCCGAGACCGAATGGACGTACTGTAGTAGAGGACCGTATGGGAGTTCAGGATCAGACTGTTTCGCCTTCGTGAAGAGAGGTATGCGCTCTTCATGATCTAGAACGAACGGTTGATCTCACAAGGTGCATCGGGCCAGCATATAAACGAACCTGCTATGGCATCTGCAATGAACACGAGAATCCATTGCTGAGTATCGACCCTTTGCAGCTTCTTGAGCAGGCGCAGATAGAGTGTCGCATAGGACTGGCCATCGACCTGCAGCAGCAACTCAACCTTTGTTCTTGGTTGCCGGTCTACTTTCTTGATCAGGGCGAGTTCCTCGGACGTGACCAGACCCGCGCGCTGGTATCCCTACGTTCGACCCGCGTAAGTCATGGTCTTATTGGTAGTGCACCACCCATACCTCCCAGGGCACTGGCTTAGCACGTATCTTTGTTGAGTTCTCATCCAGGAATGAATTTGATACCAGCGCTATGGACATCGTGGGGCCTTTGGCCGCGCTGTATGTTGCGGAGACTTTGAGTCGATTATGGGCGCTCGTTTGCTCAGCGCTCCTGCACGTGACGGCTGTATGTTTTCTAGCGGACTTCGCAGGCGCGTCGCTCGTCCAGCTGGAATGTTTCGCCAGAATGCGCTGTCTGCATGTAGACGGTCAACAAGAGGTTGGCCATCTCTACCCGGTTTCTGACTCGTCTGACTTAGTTTCGCAGCATGCATTTCTGCTCATGCACGTTCGCTGGCGACACTCACTGACACACCCAACCCATCCACCTCCTTCCCACCACCAAAGCCGCCGCAACCCGCGCAAAAGGCCATCCCTGTTATTAATGCCGCCGTCATCCTGAACCGCTCCCCGATCCTCACACGGACGCTCACGGTCTTCGAGCAGACCTACTACGACTACCAGTCGCGAATACAACGCGCGCTCTTCAACCCGTTTGCGGACGAGTTCTACTTCAAGCCGGGTGCACTCCTTGAAGGCAAGTTCGATGCGGAGGAGAAGGCTCGAGAGCGGGAGGCATTTGGGAGGGTGAGGCCTGGAGGGTCCACAGAATCTCGCGACGACAGTGCTACCCCCGATGCTGCGGCTATTCCACCAGAAGAGACCGCTGATTCAACACCTGCTCCTGTTACCGCCGCAGCTGCTGATGCCTCCGACACTATAAGTCTGAAGGAGCAGAAACCCATGCCTCGGATACACGAGGCTGACAAGACTGGGGACGTGCGGAGCTTGGACAGGCAGGGAGAGCGGAATCTCTACTTGCTGCTACAGGCCAAGGCTGACTCGGGCGCGGCAGTATGGAGATTCCCGCAGGGCGATGTTGAGAAGGATGAAGTACTACACACGGTATGCTCCTATATTCTCCCAGGGCATCGGGAACGCAAGCTGAACCTGGTCGGTTGCTCCTGTAGGCGGCGGAGAGAGACCTTCGTGCTGAGTGCGGGACTCAAATGGACACCTGGGTTGTGAGCCGGAAACCAGTAGGTGTCTATGAGCCGTCAACACCAAACGGCGCAAAGTCAGATCAGGTGGGTAGTTGCCTTTGCTCGCGGTGGTCCAAACTCACTCCGCCCAGACCTACGTGTTCTTCTACAAGGCGCACATTCTTGCCGGGCAGGTACAGCCAGACGGTAAAAAGATTCTTGACTTTGCATGGCTCACGAAGGAGGAGATTGAGCCTCGCGTGGATGCACAGTATTGGTCTGGGGTCAAGGATATGCTATCTGACTTCTAATACATCACGCATAGCTTGAATGCAGTCTAATTTCCTGCGACTAGCAACGATCATACCTAGGTGGTGTCACCCTCTAGATATATGCCTCTGTAGGTGAGCACAAACTGGCGCTACCGAGGCGCTGAGATTGATCTTCGCATCTCTGGCCGTTTCTGTGCATCGTCGAATCGGCGCACGATCACCTCACACTTGGTGGACTTGCAGATGTGTTTTGAGGACGACTTCACGGCGTCAGAGAACAGAGTGAGCCCCGAAGCTCGCTCTACCGCTTCGACTGCGGGCAACAGCAGTGTAAGACACTCGTCAACGAAGATGTGCAATAGCAGTAAGACGTACCGGGCATGACGAAGTTCTCGAGCTTCGCCTCGTCAGGGATCGGCGCGTTGGGCAGGACAAACGCACCGGTCGAAATTTCCATGATATTTGGGGTTGAAGGCGAGGATGGCTTCGCGGTCAGCACCACCTTCGCAAAGTGCGTCGGCACAGAGATATTTGGCGGTGTGCCGATGACTTCGTGTGTCTGAATTTACGGCAACCAGCATTTGAGTCACAGACGAGTTATGGGCGGTACTGGATGAGCTCACCACTCGCCATTTACCGTCGTTGTCGAGCTTAGGTAGGTAGAGAGGGATTGTGAAGACATACACGTCAGCGAAGGAAGACGTCAAGCGCCGGCACCAGTCCTCCAGGTAAGCCCAGTCTGTGTGATACACGTGTCAGTATGTGAGAACACGAGAGTGCGAGCAGCGAGTACAGTGCCGGTTGAACCCCACACCAACTTGCGGAGTGATGTTTGTGAGGAGGAACGTCTCATCCATCGCCGTCTGTTAAAGTCCGTAGTTGAATACTAGACGCAGCACTTCTGGAGGCGGGAAATTACCTGCGATATCTTAGCATCTGCGGCAGGTACCCTACGCAGACTTCCAGTCAGTACGTGTCGTAAATGGCGAAACACGGAACGCACGTACATATGCCCGCGGTCATAACCGCTCCTGAAGTAGTCTTGCAGCTTTGCGCGGAATAGCGCAGGTATGGACTGGTCCTCGGTAAATGCGGATTGCGACCTGTCCCCAGCCACTCCAGACGACGGCCCCGGTTCGGCAGCAGACTTCCCAAGTGACGCGAGTGTCAGATGTTCAGCTGTCTACGGATGCCAGAACATACCGCGTCAGATGAATCCGACCAGAGCAAGTAGAGAAACACCTCACCCAAGCCGGGTGCCGCAGACGACGGTCATAGCCAGCAACGTACGCCTTCCTGACCAATTGGTCCGTCACAGGCCCTTCCGAAATACAAGTCAGCGCCGCCGCCGCACGACCAGCGCGACGAACTGCACTCACCCGGGTCCCCGTACCTCAACACAGGCATATCAAGCATCACAAGGGCAGAAGGACTCGCAAAACGCGTCGCCCCGCCTGTCTGCACGTCGATTATTGGTTGTGACGGGGTGTGCGCCGGGGCAGGCGCGGGAACCGGGGGAAGGACAGTTTCGCGCTTCTTGAGACTCACCGCGGTGGCGACACCTCCACCGACGAGCGCACCCACCGCAAACACTGCGGCGTGGACGATAATTGCACTGGGCATGCCGACCGAAGCTGAACGGGATCACCACTGCAGTTGGGTGCTTGCTGGGTCGAAGCTCGCGGAAAAAATGCGTACCGTGACTTGTACGCGTCCAAGTCCCGTGACTTCTCGCACTATGCTAACTTTGCTAACTTTGCATAGACCACCGAAGTGCCCCCGTAGCATAAGTACGGCGCCTCACGATGGACGGAGATATTAAAAATCATCCGTCCGAAGTATGTAGATCGCTTTGCTTTACTCTAATTCTGTGATCATCATACAACCAAAAGAGTACGGTACTGCAAAAGTCGGCAGACGCAGACGCAAGCATACGGAATGATTATGCACGAGGGGGAGGCTGTAGCAAGAGCACGGACCACGACAGATGAGGCGTAACTGTAAATAGCTATAGCGGGAGACATGATGCGAGGTAATTCAAGGAGGATGCGGAGAAGTGGGGGAAAAAGAGGACTGGACAGCAGGAGCTTTCGTGCGCTGCAGGAAGAACGGATGCCATCGGGCTCGGGCGATTAATCATGAACTTGAATGGAAATTACTTGTCTGGCCGGGAAAGCTGAGCTGAGCTGAGCTGAGATCGGGTGACGTGAGAGAAACCGAGAGAGGAACGAGGGTGGCGGTGGCGCGAACGGAGCACTACGCAGAGAAGGAATAGTCACAATCCGTCCTGGGAACTACATTGTACTGAAGAGAAGGGAGTGGAACTTATGCTGCACTAACACTAGCACTTGTCATCATCGCCTGGCACCTAAATCTCCAACGGTTCATGGGAGCGCGCCTCGAAGCCGCTGCGAGACTGACTCTCGCGCCTCTCCCTCCTAGATTCGAATCCGCCAGCACCAGGTCCACGGGGCTGTCTTACAACGCCACTAATGGGGTTCTCTAGCCCGCCGTTCAAGTTCACAGCGCCAGTCACGCTAGAGGGGAGGCTGGGTACGGGCGGAATCCCGCTGTTACCAAATGCACCGCCGTTCCCGAAGAGCGCGGCGAAGCCGCCGGGAGAGCGACGGGAGGGTGAGGCGATCGTCGCGTAGCCTTCGCGGATGTTGCCATTAGAGGCACGCGTAGTTAGGCGGGGCGCCTGCGCCTGAAGGGTCTTCATGTCTGGCATGGACTTCTTGACTCGCAAGGAATTTGCGATTTGCGGGGACGGGTGAAGGTAGGAGGACGGCGCGCGGGTGAGCGTTTGGCGCGGACCTGCACTCTGTTGCTGAAATCACGCATATCAGTACTGCTAAAACCATGCGCATCGCACACATAACATACCCCAGAACGATCGATACGCGTGACGACGGCGTATCTCTCGTCACCCTCACCGACTGAGTAGTGGTAGACTCCAAGCTTCTGTGCCACGAGATGCACGACCCTCCTCTGCTTAGGCGACAGTGTCCTAGAGAAGGCGAGCTCATCCCGCATGCGATCGTCCTTGAACAGCAGGATACGTGAATAAATCTCAAGGGTGGACGGGTCGTTGAGGTCAAGCTCAGCTGAGGCCGACTTCAGAGCACTAGGAGGAAGAGACGGCACGGGCGGCGTCGAGACATTATAAGACGCCGTCTGTGGTGTCGGCATCGGGGGCAACTGGGACGGCGAGAACGGCTGCTGGATGGGGAATGCACTCGATCCCGAGAATGAGCGCTGAGGCGGTGAGAACGGCGGGGACATGATAGGGCCGAACTCATCGTACGGAGTAGACTGCTGGGAGATCGCCTGCTCGCGCTCGAGCTGCATGGAGCGCATGCGGCGGATAGCCTTTTCTCTTTCGATGCGCTCCTTCTCGCCGGCCTGCAAAACCTTTTTGTATTCCACGCGCAGCTTACGGCCCTGGACATCGAAGCCATTAAGAGCAGCCACTACGGCGTCTGCGTCCTGGGACTGGCGAAAGTTGGCAAATGCAAGGCCGCGGAACTGGCCTGATTGATCAAGATGATAATTGAACGCGTACGGCGTGGGGATGGACAGCGACGCCTAGATGGGGGAACGCGATCTGTTGGCTTGCTATGCAGAAGCGAAGAAGTGGCGTGAACGTACGATGATATCCAGAAGCGTCTCGCGCTTGACGTTGAATGGTATGTTCTTAATCACGATGGCTGTGGGTATGATCTCATCATCCACGCCGGGGTTGGGGGTACCGGGGGTAATGGGAGGGGCGAGCATGTGTCCCATTGGGGGAGATCCTCCTGACGAAGACAGGTCGGAGGTATTGGGTGGGGAAAGAGAACGATTATCCGCTACCGGGCCAGAATTATCGAGCCATTGCTAGTGGATTGGCACGAGATCAGTGCGTGGAAGAGCGAAACTGGGGAGGAGCGTACCGTGGGCAGGCCAGCGCGGACGGGCTTGGTCTTGAGGGGCGACTGGCCTGTGATGCTCAGGGGACTGTACTGGGACTGGACGGGGACGGAAGGAGAGGTGGAATAGTGGTATGGAGTCCTGCCGTTTCCGCTTATGTTGTCTCCGTAGTCGTAAGTATCATGCAGACGTTGCTGGGAGGGCTGGGCGGAAATGGTAAGAGAAGAGATGTCTGGGGTAGAAGAGGAGCTGGTCATGATGGTGCAGTGCTTGCAGAAAGGTGGTCGATAAGTACAGAACCGGTCGTGAAAACGCTCGTGAGGTGAAAGAAGATTGCTGAAGATGGAGCAGTTGAAGACAAGTCCTCAGCGACCAACTATCCCGCACTTAGGCGCCCCTCAACTCCGATACAGCCTCCTGCCGATGTGCTCTTTCTCTCTCTCCCGCACCGTGTCGTCGTCCTGTACAATTTTATCTTCATTGCAACTGATCATCTGGACCTTGCAAAATTGCCAGCCCGGCTATACGCCTTGCGTCCACGAAACACCACTGGTACAATTATTTATTTCCAGCACGTCTCTGCTTCTGCAGGCAGTGGATAAAATTTGACCATAAATTGTTTGTATTTGTGAGGAAATGCACGTATGTAGACAGCGCAAAGTCAGTCGGCGAAAGTGATTTCAAAACATGAGGGGAAAACATATCGGTGTTCCGCACACATCGAGCCGTTGTCGGGCTGTGCTCGCAGCAGAATGCTAATAATATAATCAATCTGCCATGCATACGCTTGGGCTGCTGCGCACTAACGTTCCTCCCCGACCGTGTCTTGATATGACCTCTGCTCGAGGGCCAAAGTCCCTCGCGTGAGCCTTTCAGGCAAGCCTCCAGGTCCAAACCCTTCGCTGAGGCCATACCACCGCCAGACGGATGACGAAGCTATCCAATGCTCTCAGGAGTGCCCCATACAACTATGGCTACCGTGAGTCTGCAGCCATCTGTCACCAGTTGCACTGGAGATCAGTGGACTCAGAGTCAGTAACATCATCTTTCCTCCAGAGGATGGACGACCGCAAACGCTCCGGCAGCCGTCATCTCAGCGTCCAAGTCCTTTCGGACGACCACCGTATGCACAGCCGCCAAATGGTGCACCGTATTTCCCGGCTCCCCTCCCCACCTACGTGCACGGGCAATCCAGTGGAAGCAGCAATGCACCTTCATCAAGTCAGACCCGCGTAATCTCAGCGGAGGATGACATGCGTCGACTGCTCAGCGCATGCAAGACCGCGCGGGGGAACGCAGAGATGCTGCACGAAGCACTTGTCTACGCGACGCCCAAGGACCTGAAGGGCGAGCTGACCAAGGTACGGCTACTCCTGTGTCTCACTATTAATAGGACTGACTCGAATCAATTGTACAGGAATTTCGAGCGAAATGTCGCACATCGCAGGAGCTCATCCTCTCCGAGATACCCAGGGCATCCGCCGAGGCAGAGCGATCCCGCAATGCCGCGCGTGTTTCCGCCTTGACCGCCGAGGAGCTGCTGCTGCAGGAACTGCTAGGCGCGAACGAGCAGATCGTGGACGCGTTCAAAATCTATGATGATCTTGAGCACGTCGGCATCGTGGCGGAGGAGCAGGAACGCCTCAGGTTTGAGCGGGTGGTACGTATTCGGCCGCTGCATACCCCTTGATAAACCTGAAAACAGGCTGATTTTGCCTTCGTGATTTCACAGGTGCAAGTAGTGACCGCGATCTCTGCATTTACGCCTACACGCGACGAGACGGTACTTATTGACCAGGTCTTTTCCCTTGGCGACCCTCCGTGTAACGGGACGCTTGACGCTCACACAGCAGCCCAGCTCCTGAGCGGTTCAAACCTAACATCAAGCGTACTCGCCAAGATTTGGGAGCTCGCAAATGTAGAGGGGTCGGACCAGCTCAGTCGACAGAACGTCGGTGCCGCTTTGCGTTTGGTAGGTCATGCTCAGGCGGGCACGCCTGTCATGGACACTCTATTAGGGAAACGTGAGCTTGGTTGATGCAGTTGTATCAGTTTTGGTCCCTAAATTTGCCTTCCCGGCAGCTGGTCCTACTGCATGGATCGAGGGCCTTTCACAGCCGGTAGCTCAGCTTCAGGCGGTCGAAGGCTTTCCGCCCGTCACTCCGAGGGACAAGGCCAAATTCGCGCGTATATTTGCCTCAAGCAATCCTGTGAACGGTGTCTTAAGCTGTACGGATTGCCTATTGCATAGATGCATGCAATGTGTCTAAATGGTGCTTTCAGCCGTGCAAGCAGGAGAGCTGTTCCTGAAATCGAAGTTGCCGCAGGAAACGTTGCGTAGAATTTGGTGCGTCCTGTCTCTGTCGAGTGTGTATATCGCAAAGACTATATCTCCAGTATAGGGATCTGGCAGACACCAGACGACGCGGGGTGCTCGGTGCTTCGGACTTCGCTGTCGGGATGTACTTGATCCAAGCGACTATGTCGGGTCAACTGGCAACTATGCCTCCAACACTTCCTCGTGTTCTCTACGAGCAGCTCGGCGCTACGCCTCCCAACCCTATTCCTGAATTTCCTCTGCTGTCGTTTAACACGGCACCGGAATCTCCTGCACACATCTCCACTGCGTCACCCTCTTCGTCGCAGGGTTGGAACATCACACCTGCCGCTAGAGCAGAGGCCGATCAGATATTTAACACGCTTGACGTGCAGAATACAGGGCACGTGCAAGGAGACGCGGTGGTGTCTTTCATGTTCGACTCTGATTTGCCTATGGACGTCTTGGAACGGATTTGGTGCGTCATCCTTGCCGTCTTTCTTGCACATGCCATATTTCTTTTATTGTGAGCGGTATGCTCACGTTGCGTCAAATCTGTGCAGGGACCTCGCAGATACCTATAAACATGGCTACCTAACGCGAGACGAATTTGCGGTCGCGATGCATTTGATATCAAAGCAGAAGGCAGGGAAGGTACTCCCGAGTCTGCCGTCGTCCTCGTCACTAGTCCCCCCGTCTATGCAGGCTAGCACGAGTAGTGCTCCACTGCAGAATGAAACTGAGGCACTGGTAAGCGCATTTCGGTATGATCAATTCTCTCCAGTGACAAGACGCGTCTGTTCTAGCTGATGGACCTCAACGAAGCTTTCTTAGCACCCCCTCCGAAGCCAACGAGCACGTCTTCTAGATCCAGTGGGAGTCCAAGGGTGTCCCCGAACATTTCGAGCACCTCACCAGCGAGCCACTCGGTGCACACGCCTCGGTCAGGGCCGGCTACACCCAGCTCCGCAGCCTTTCACACACCGCCCGCGTCTCCACCCAAGGCGAGCTTTTCACCGACAAGCGCCGCGTTCCGCACGCCACCCGCCTCACCGTCGTTGTCATATGCAGCGCCTTCGACGAGCAGGCCCTCGTCGGCTTCAGGACAGCGGGCAGAGCAGCCGGCTGTAAGCGCGCAGCATCGCGGGATCGGCGCAAGAGAACGCGCGAGATCTGATAGGTTCTTCGATACGCTGGACCCGTGGAGGCGCGGGTGGATCGACGGCGACGTTGCGGTGCCGTTCTTTGCGAAGTCGAAGCTGCCTGACAGCGTCATGGGGGATATCTGGTGCGCAGCTTTCTCCTCCCCGCGCGGCACTGGTGCTGATGAGGCACGCTGCTCACTTCCGTTTGCGCAGGGATATGGCGGACATGGACCACAATGGCAGGCTGGACCGCGACGAGTTTGCAATGGCTATGCATCTTATTCGCGGGAGGCTGAAAGGGCGAGACACACCAGATTCTCTGCCCCCGTTACCGCCACGTCCGACGCCCGTGGTGGTAACGCAAGCTGCACCTTCGCCACATCATATACCTGAGCCTGAGCCTGAGCCTGAGCTAGCGGCTGCACCTCCCGTCACCGTGCCAGAGATTGATTTCGACGAGGAGGAAGTACGGAGCGACACCCCTCCACCGCCGTACGAGGAGATTCCTGTTGCCGACGTAGGATGATCATCATGGACAATGTAAGCGTATGTACGATTATAGTTTCGGATCATAGGTGGTTGCGGTGTACAATAGGACTGTGGCACACTTGTCAGGCACGCGTCCAGCTGGCGGTCCGTGTACTTGGCGCCGGAGACGTCCACTGTCGCAGCATTTGGAGGCTGGGATCAGCGAGAACGACTGGCGAGAGGTAGGCAGGCAGGCAGACTTCGGTGCAGCATGAGCCTGAGGGAAGGACCAGTGGTTGAGGAGGACGAGGTCGTGTACCAGGATGTTTTACGTAAATTGGCTGTGGAACGAGGCGGTGATGAAATATGAGAGTTCGACTCTAATTTGCAGGCTTGGCGAACGGATTCCCGGTGCGCAAACTGTGCCAGACACTCTCGACGACGACATCGACAGCGACCACGGCGACGACGACGACGTGCTGGAGGAGGAGAGGACGTTGACTGTACGAAAGAGGCGACAGCATGATCAACGCGACTTCACGCATCAACAACCCAAAGCCTCCTCCGCCCAACCACAACCTTCAGTCCATCATCCAGCTCCCCATGTTGGGCAGTCTCACCGTTCCCCCACCCAAACCTCTCCAACAACAGCAGCAGCAACAACAACAGCAGCAGCAGCAGCAGCAACAGCAACACCAGCTTCCACAGCAGCAGCAAGGCCCTCAGCAGTCCGATATCCCACCACCACCCCAGAGTGGCCAGGACTTCACCCTCTCCAGCGTCCTACACTTCTTGCAGACAGAATGGCGCAGATACGAACGCGACCGCAATGAATGGGAGATTGAGCGCGCCGAGATGCGGGTGAGAGTTCACTTTCTGTCGTGTTATTATTGCATGCTCATTCATGAGCTGCCTCAGGCTCGGATAGCCCTCCTCGAGGGTGAGCGCCGCTCCTTCGACAATGTGAAGCTCGACCTCATGCGTCGAATCAAAATGCTCGAGTACGCTCTTCGGGTGGAGCGGTGCGTCCTGGTGTCCTTCGCCGTTGCACGACTTGACGTGTCTATGCAGGTCGAAGCAGCTGACACAGCCGGCATCGCAGGCAGTCCCGCCCGCCAAGCTAGCGACCCTGCAGTCTCAAATGGGTCAGACTTCACAAAAAGACGATGCCTTCAGCCACAAAGAAGGCAGCAGTGGCAGCTCGCCCCGGAGTGAAGGTGTGCACTCTCAATAACAGAGCTGATCAACCGTTCGTCATTGTCGCATTTAGATTCTCCCTTACCGCCCGAACGAATACCTACGGACCGGATGTCCACGGGCTCCGCGCCAAACGGCGCGGCGGCGAGCAACCCTTCGAGCAGACAGCAGACCTGGCTGGGTGGTCCGACGTGGTCCACTGCAAATGGGCCTTCAATGGGTACACTTGGCGCAATGGGGAAACCGCCTGCAGGGCGCGATCCCAAGAGCAGAGCGCGCAGTAGAGACTACCTCAAACAGTGCGTAACTGCAGACTCATTTGTCTACTCACGTTTAGCCCGCCCGCCACGCAGGTGTCTACAGGAGATATCGTATCTTACTTCTCCGCAAGCAATGAACCCGCTCCCTAATCGCCCGTTGCTGAACAACACCACACTCCCACTACAACTTCCCAACGTGCCCTCGTTCGACCAGATGGCTTTTAACGGCCGTCCCCGAAAAGTAATGCCGGAGGTCGGGAAAGACTACTCACTTCTGAACGGCATTGGCATGATGGGCGGTCCCTCGTCTGCTCCTGCAACGAGTGGATCGCAAATCAATCCAATGGAGCGAAGCGCTCTTGGTAGTGCCAGTATCATCCCGTCGCAGCAACCCCCGCAAGGACCTTCGAGTTCACTCGGTCAATCATTACAGCCACAACAGCAACCATCGCTGCAAATCGGCCAGGTCCCGCAGCCGTTGCAGCTGTTCTCACAGCCAGCAGATGGCAAGGAGAAAGAGGGTGAACCTGAGCAACCACTGACGGCGATCTTCCGTCCAGATGAGGCACCACGAATGCCGCATGAGACGGTGGCAGAGCAGGCAAGGATGGACAGGCCTGGACAGCCGGACATCTCGCTCAGCGGTGCTGCGTCGTGGGAGCGGCGGACACGGGAAGAGGAAGACGAGAACAAGGAAGAGGAGGCGGAGGTCGAGGAGGATGAGTCGAGCGTTATGGGGGAGGGCGACGATGCGAAGCATTGGAAGGCGAAAAGAACATTGCGGAAGTTAGTTTATAACTAGTCTTGGAAGGCCGCTTGTGCGACAGAGCTAACGTTTCCTTCAGTCATCTCGACGCTGTTCGAGCCCTCGCGTTCCACCCGACGGAGCTGTGCCTCGCCACCGGCGGGGATGACGCCACGGTGAAGATCTGGCGGGTTGATGTCGCAGGCCTTGCCTCATCCGCGTGCGTCCCCTAGAGTCAGGATGATGTGAGGATGCTGATGCCATCATCTGGTTACAGCTCGCGCCCCACCACGGAGGTTGAGCCACAGCTGACGCTGCGAGGACACTCTGCGGCGATCACCCGGCTGGTACACGCACCGTCAAAGCAGCTGCTGTACTCGGCCTCGCTGGACTCGTCAATTCGGATATGGGCACTCCCGCCCACCTCCCATACGACGTATGCACCATATGATGCGACACGTGCGCGTGGAGAGCTCATAGGCCATACGGACGCTGTGTGGGACCTGGCACTAGTCCGGGATGAGAGTACCCTGATTAGCTGTGGTGCCGAGGGCTCAGTCAAAGTGTGGGATGTCAGTGGCCCTTCTGGTGGAGGGTCTCTCAAGTTGACGTGGTCGTACGACGGCTTGGACCCAGACATACATGAAGAGGGCGACACACCAGGCGCGACCGCAGTTGAAGCGATTAAGACTGACCTCAAGAAGGTTGCTGTGGCATATCAGAATGCAGTGATCAAGATATTCGACATCGAGAGTGGTAAGGAGTTGTCGCGGTTGCACATTGACAGTGAAGGTAAATTGTACCAGAGGGAGCATCCTGGAGGCTTTATCTGAGCCGTGTATGTTGCAGATGATGCTGTATCGTCACAAGCAAACAGCATTGTGTCGCATCCGACCATGCCCTTACTTTTCTCCGCGCACGAGGACAAACACATTCGTATCTTTGATATCGTGACAGGTACATTCTGCAATTTGTGACATTATTCCACTCATCCATTCATTTCCACGTCTGTAGGACAATGCACGCACTCAATGCTGGCACATCTTGATGCGGTGACCTCGCTGTCGGTGGACGCAGCAGGCTTCGTACTTGTGTCAGGCAGTCACGACTGCTCCGTGCGCTTCTGGGACATCCTCGGTTCGCGAGCATGTATTCAGGAGATCACCAGTCATCGAGAAAAGGCTCGCGAGGGGGTGCTCGATGTCGAGTTCCATCCATCGCTCCCAATCTTGGCCAGCGCAGGCGCAGACGGTGTGGTCAAGTTGTATGCGTCGTCATGACTGTATCTTCGTCGTGCATTTCGCATCCAGTCCTCATGGTTGTCTTCTGGTAATCTCACCATCATGGACTTTCGGCGATTTCCCTCACGATAGACCCTGTATATAGTTCAGGATTATGCGTCGCCTGCTGCCTCTGTAGGTCATATATACCACGTTACGACCGTTACGACCCGAAATAATAAAGTGCAAGTGTGCAACGGAATATCTAACTTTGGATTGGGAGCACGTACAATGTGAGGGAATCTCTAATGCTACATCTTATACGATACAGTGATGAGAGAGTATCGAGCTGCAATTGCGTAAATCATGGTCATGCAGTCATGAGGAGCGTGCACGTAGACGAAGAAATGGTGCTATATAGCTGGGGCGAAGAGTCAGAATCGCGAGTTCACAAGGTTACAATATTAGCACGCACATATCTGCATGCCCTGGTCAACGGCAATAATTTCCACCCCGAGCTTCCGTGGGTCCACGCGAGCCCTTACTTGCTCAGCGATGACATGATTGATAGCTCGGCCGGGATATGAGCCGTTGAGGTCGTCCTTGCAATGTATGATGTAGACCCTGACCCCCTTGAGCGCACCGTCCAAGGAGGGAGTATCTTGGGGACCCCGCTGTCTCTTCCGCGCACCGGTAGATGGCGCTGTCTCCTCCGAGTCTGCTTTCCTTGTCCGCTTTTGGACGGCAACAACTTCAGCGGCCAGCGCGGCGAGTTCAGCTTCCAAGTGCTCGGGGCTCAAGTGTCCGTATAACGTCTCGCTTGCCCTGCCCAACGGCCACGAACACTCGATGAAAATTGTCGAGAGGATCCTCTTGACTATCTTGGGTGCTGCCACGTACCAGATCTCGATATTCCTGGGCTTCTGTGCTATTTCATCCGGCTCGACGTCACCAAAGAAAAGAAATTCGCGCATCGTTGGATCATGCCTGACGAAGAACGCCGAAGCATCGTAAGTGCCTGAGGTGTCGTTCTGCCCGTGGTTGATGGGCATGACGCGAACCGATACACCACGGAATATCTCCTGGTATTCGTCATTTGGGGTTAGGCTGAATCCATGCATTTCAGCTAAGCCGAGTGCAAAACAGTAAGTCAAAACGTACGGGCGCAGAACCAACGGAGACCCATCGTTATTCCGGGATGCCAGCCTGGGCCAGATTCTACCCGAAAAAATTGCCTCGATATCCTCCAAAGTGTGACTCGATCCATACACTGATTTAGAGCCTCCATACGAAGACCCTGCTGTCAGTACTAGACCGTTGATATGATCCAAGTGAGCATGCGTGATGAGGAAACACCTAGTAGGCAGTATCAAAACGTCAGAAGCGATGTAAAGTACAACTGATTGGGCCCTACGTTATCCACGAGTACACCTTCGCTGCAGTATTACTGTTTTCTTCTGTCCCAAAAATCCCAGGTTGTGAATGTAGGAGCCGCTGGAATGCACCAATGGCTGAGCCTTATTCGCCTTGTCAGTTGAACGATCATGAACCCATTGACAGTAATATGACACACCTCCTTCCAAGGCAATAATGCCGTCATTCCAACGAGCGTCATGGGGTTTGAATAAATAGCTAAACCGAGTAGACTGGATTTCTATCCCATGACATTTAAATGAAGGATAGTCATGACATACCAAGATAAATTATCTTCGCTTGGTCCCCCTCCTATAAAAGTTGGTCAATGAAACAAAGGATGCTGCGTCCAATATCATGACTCTTACCACAGCCTACGGCAATCATATCGAAAATGGGCATTGCGGGCGCACAGAGCCAATGGGCAAGTCGCGAGATCACTGCCAGTGCCTCAGGTGCAAGGTTATGGAAAGAGGGACGTCCTTCTCCTCAGACTTTATAGGTCGGGGCGGATATCGGGGTGTTCCTGCAGTATGCATACCAAGGAGTGATGGGACCGTACTGATTAGACATGTTCGTTCCGAGTCCGGGACACATACCCACAGTGCTCGGTTGTCTTCCGTCAACTCATTGCCGCAAGTGGCAATCTCTTTCAGAGTTTGAATGGCGGGACACGACCAGAGAAAGTAAGTGCAAAGGGACAATGATTCGGCCCATGGTCACCGTACAATGAACTTTGACTACTAGTAGGTCTTTGTTAGTTGGTGAGCGGCGTTCTATTGTTCTGCTCTTCGGATGCCGAAGGACCAAGGAGCACTAACGCCGTCTAAGGGGCCCGAGTGCATCACAAGGCTCGCAGGCTATGGATAACTAATGCGTTGGGCGCAGAAGTTGCACCGCGATACATACACGTGAAGTACAGACAGACAAAGGCATAACCGCCAGGTTCATTTCCATTATGACAGCATTAGAGTTAGGACAGCGCGAAAAATTTGTAAGGAACGTTCATAAGAGTATCCAAACGAGGGTGGTCGCAAGAGAAAACAGGGAGAAGCAATAGCATGAGGAAGACCTTGTAATATAGTTGCCGCGTGGGCCATTATTGCGCACCTAGATCAGCGCGTCAACCCCAGTAGCTCGGGTGCGGGAGCTCAAGACTGACCAAGTAGACTATTGAGTGCCCTTTGGACATCGTATGCATTGTTCTCCAACGCCATTACCGCTTGCGTCCTGCTGAAGCCCATACCGCAGAGCTGTTTGACCGCTTCAACGTCGTCGTCAACCGCTGGAGTAGGCTCCTCCACCAGCGCCTGATGACTCAATGGTACAGGAGGAGCAGTATCATGTTTATGCTTCTTTCGTCCGAAGGGCAAGCGAATCTGGCAAACAAACAATGATTAATCCGAAGCAGTGCCCCATGACAGGATCACATACACTCAATTTAGACGTTCTGGTGCTCGGTGTCTTCTTCTCCTCCGAAGAACCCGAATGACGAGGTTTGGGCGAGAAGTGATGCGGAGGTGGGGTCGTGTTACGTGCTGGAGAGATAGATCGCCGAGCGTGCATCTCAGGCGACATGGATCTGGGAATAGGCGACAACGGTGGTGAGGCTGATGAGAACGGCACATCGGTTCTGCCTTGCGAGGGTAATCCGCCATTCGACTGGTGGGATTCAGCCCCGAACGAAGTATCCAAAGCCAAGGCTTCAGACAAATGTCCTCCGAACGCGTCGTCAAACGAGATGACATGAGAAGCATTACTGGGACCAGATTGACTCGACGTAACCTGACTGTCCGTTGTTCCGGCTGCCGCACCAAAAGCATCATCGAAAGACAATGGTCTCGTCTCCGGTGCTTTGTGAGTCGGCGCTTGAGGGAAAGGCAACGGCTCCACAGACGGAGGCGCTGGTGCTGGTGCCGACACATTACTGCTGGGTTGCGACATGAAGATGCTATCGAAAGCACCCTTTTGGGGAGTAGCGACAGTGGGGAGAGTAGATCCGTTGGCAGCATGTGGAGGACTCGATGCAGCGGTCGCCGCGGCGAAATCAAAATTGTCGTCGAAGGCAGAGTCGAAGGTGAACTGTGAAAATCGAGACGGCACACCCGTGCTTACACTACCGGATAAATTCCCCATGGCCTCGTCAAAATCGCTGACTCCAGCTGCTGCCTCCGTCGCTGTGGCTGCACCATTTGATTTCGGCTTCTCTACCGCTGGCACAGCTTGAGCAACTGGAGATTCATGGGCTGTGAGCTGGGAAGCGAACGGAGCACCAAAGGCGTCGTGAACTGACGAAGGGGATGCTGCAGCTGCAGCATGAGTTGATGGGGATGGGGAAACGGGCGCCGAAGTTTCGACTGTCATCGCCCCGAATGGGTCCTCAACAACTGAAGATATAGGAGGGGCAGTCGGCCGTGACGACCCGCTTGTCTCACGCCCCGTCGACAATTTGGCCTTAACAGCTGAAAGAGGTTGATTATCTTCAGCTTCACTTTCACTATCCGACTCGTCGACCTCCAACTCCTTTAGCTGGTGGTCCAGATCGGTATGCTCCTCGTGGTGGGTTGCTGTAGGTGGAGGTTGATCGGCAGGTTGAGGTGCTGGAGGGTATGGCGCAGTTGCAACGTCCACCAAAGGCGAGTGCACGGTCGCAGCATCTGTGGACTCTCCAGGTACGAAACCAATGGCACCAGAAGCTGTGGTCGGTGGTGTCGCAAACATGTCAGTGTCGGTGGGAGATATCAAGTCCAATTCACCATTAGACGTGGGGGCAGCATGTTCAACCTCGGCGGGGGTGACCTCTGTCTCGACGGGCGGTGGCATCGGAGGCGCAACGCTCGCCTCCGCCGTCCCGAAAGCTTGGTCGAAGTGGAAAGGGTTGGCCACCGGAGGAGATGCAACTGCTTCTAGCGCGTTAACAACTGTAGAGGGAGTAGGCAGCAGGGCAGCGTTAGCAAACGGAAGGAACGGAGATTGTGACTGCGATCCGGAAGCCATGGAGACCCTCTCGAAAGGGTTGGTACTTTTGTTGCCAGTGCTCATGGGCGATATAGGTGCAGAGAGGTCTGGGGTGACCGGAAGAGGATGCGCAGCCGCAATAGCCACAATGTCGGGACTTGGGGAGGTTGCTCCTTCATGACCATTGGTCATGGTTGCTGGCACTTCCTTGGCAAGTTCCGCTTCGGCCTCCTCTCGCTCCGTCGTAGCTTCGCGCACGTCGTTTTGCGCCTCTGCCATCTCTCTCTCCACCTTGAGTCTTTCCGCCTCCCTGGTGGCCAACTGCTTCTTGGCAATTGCGAGTAAACCTTTCTGCTGCTTGGCGTCCTTTTTAGCCTTCTCAACCTCAGACTTCAGGGTCTCCACTTGCGTTCCCACTTCCGTCATCTTACGCTGAAGCTCCCGAACTTCTTCTTTGTCACGTAAGAATGCACCTTCAATTTCTACCTTCTCCACCCGCACTGCACTCAAGTCACTCTCAGAGTGAATGATATCTTCTCTGGCCTTCTGGATTTCGGATGCCTGGGTCGTGAACCTCTCCCGAAGGGTATTCAGCAAGCGGGTCTCCGTCTCGTACGCCGCCTTTGCGGACGATAACTGCGTCTGCAAAGAGGAGAGCTGCGCAGCTTGTTCTGCAAGTGTGCGCTCCACATTTTCGCGTTCGCTCTTGGCAATGTCCACGAATCTGTTAGTGGATGCGAGCTGGTTCGTGAGATTGCCAATCTCAGCCGACTGATCATGGAGAGCAGGCGAGCTAGTCGTATGCTCGTCATCGTCTCCTAATAAATCCTTGTGCACTGCCACTACACAGCAAATATTAGATGATTAATTCAAACAGACATTGGTGTGAATCGAACGCTCACGGGTAGGGCCTGCGAAGGTTGAGCTGGTGAAAGGATCGGAAACTCCGATGGTGTAGGCCCGCTGCGGGGAAGAAGCCATGGTAGAGCGAGGCGACATTGTCCCAGTCGCTTGCGGCTGCAGTGTGGGGTGAGGATGTTGAGGCGCCGTGGCAGAAGGTGGAGGAGAATCGTCCCAGAGCAGGTCCCGAATTGACTCCGAAACAAGGAGTTGAGAAGGAGCAGCTGATCCTGTAGCCTGAGCGCGCATCGATGGTGGGACAAGAGTTGTTGGAATCGATGAAGGGATTTCCTTTCCGCTGAGTTTACTTTGAATCAAATGCATCGCAACAGCGAACCCATCTCGCGTGAGTCGACCGTCATTATTGAGATCAGCCAAGTCCCTACGGCATAGGGTTCAATGATGGATGTGTGCGCAGAGTCTTATGCGAAATGGAACGTACCAAACTTGTGCAAGAACATCTTCAGGCAGTTTCGACTGCAACATAAAAGGCACAGCAACATCGCCTTCAATATATCCCCTCTTCTGCGTATCAAGACCATCGAACAACTTGTCTGCACTTGCTTTCTCCGAGGGTGTCACGTCCCAATGTTGAGCCAAGCCGGTACCCTGACGCTGTACAAACGGGAACGCAGGAGTGGTGTTAGACAAGACCGACCGAACAGGTAGCGATGGGGCTGTGGGGGTCGACCGCATCTGACCAGTCATCTGCGGTTGAATTGCAGAACTGGATCCAGTGAATTGCGGGATGATCGTACTCATAGGACGACCAGAGAAGCTACTCAACCCTGCAGAACCAAGTGATCCACTCTCACCAGTAGCGTGAGAAGTGACAGCACCACCCGCCTGCTCGTACAGTACTGGGGGTAACACGGGCGGTATAGTCTGAAGCTGCCCCGACATAGAAGCCTGGATCAGGTACATTGCGACGGTGAAATCCGCCGCATCAAGACAACCACGATTCTTCGTATCAGCGAGATTCCTAAGCGGAAAGGGGAGTCAAAAAATGCTTAGGCCGAGAGACATAGCGTACCAAATCTGCGAGAGCTTATCCACGGGTAACTTGGACCTGACGAACACATCTCGCGCCTTTTCGCCTGGATCGAGAGACAGTCAGATTAATAAAAACGAAGCAAAATCGACATACCACTCAGCAGGCCGGAGATCGGACCACAGCCTAGAAAGAGTCTCATGAACTTAGCCTTGTCTTGCGGGGTGAGGGGTGGCAGTCCCGGGGGTGGTGACTTGCTCGACGGGATACCTGTGCTCTGTTGAACAACAGGCGGTGTAAGGCCCTCAATAGTAGGAACAGGACCAGCTGTAACGACGCGTTTCGTGACAGAGCATCATGCGAAATGGTTTGGACACACGTCTGTTGACCATTGCCTCCGTGACTTTCTCGCCCCTCTGTGCATGTCCGAGTAAACGAACAGCAATCGCAACGCCCTTTCGGGTGAGAACGCCATTATTATCTTCATCGGCAATACTCCAGACCTCTGCAAGGACGGTGGGGAGGAGCTTGGAACCGCTGAATATCTTGACCGCAGCATCACCAGTAACGACACCAAGCTTCTGGGTGTCGGCCTGAGCAAATATCTGGTTGACGAGGGCAACCTCCTGGGGAGAAGGACTGAACTTGGACATGCCGTGTCTGCTGCGACCGACGTCGAGGAAGTGCGACGAAAGTGAGATGTATTCCGGCTCTGACCGCGAGTCGCTGACGGCTGCGCCCCGCAGGGTCCGTCATCATGCTTATGTCAGCTTGTTTTCCTGTTATGGCCGTCATTGTAAGCGATGACGCACGTGACTTTTCTCTGAACGCGCTCCAAGGTTGAGCGCCGACCAGCCAACCGTCCACTTCAACGACCACCATCGCGGTGTCGGCTCATCTTCCGTGTTCTAGCCCGATCTTTTCGTATTCTCTATAATATTTGCCATGATGGATCAAGTCAGTGTGTCTCTCGCGCCTTCGCGTAATACCCAAAAGGCAGCCATGCCAGGGTCCTCTGGCGAGAGTGCTGGGAGTGTCACGAAACGGTGAGGTTGCTAATCCCCCAAGGGTTACCGTACTACGTAGCTGACACGGACGCAGGCTAAGTAACGAACTCATGACCTTGATGGTGAGTGGATTCTAGAGTCAATCTTGAATTATCGTCTGAGCTGTCCTAGATGTCTTCCTCACCCGGGATTGTAAGTCTGGCTCCATCCTTGTGATCTCGATACATGTATTCACAACGAGTTATGAGACTGCATTTCCCAAATCCGACGCCAATCTGTTTGAATGGGCAGGCAGGATAGAAGGCCCAGCGGGCACTGTACGTTATATGTCCTCTCCTCATGCTTAATATTTTACTTCTATGATGTGAGTCAGATATACGCTGGCCTCACGTTTAAGATTTCCATCTACTTCCCTCCGAATTACCCATACGCTGCTCCCACAATCAAATTCGATACACCTTGCTTTCACCCGAACGTCGATCTCGTTGGCGGAGCAATATGTCTAGACATCCTGCAGGCAAATTGCGTCTCATGCAGATTGACTTCTTCACCGCTAACTTTGATACAGGATAAATGGTCGGCTGTGTACAGCGTGCAGACCATCCTTCTGTCTCTGCAGTCTCTCCTAGGCGGTGCGCCACACATTCAGATTCATCAAATTACGTCCTAAATTTCAACTTCTAATTCATAGAGCCAAATAACGCTTCACCCCTTAACCCTGATGCTGCAAATTTGTGGGACTCACCAGAAGGCATGTTGTCGAAGATCGGCGCGCTGTGTCATTGCTGACAACTTCCATTAGAGTTCAGAACACAGCTCATGAAGCATTACCGTCCGGTGAATGAAGAACCTACTGCGTAGTTGGTCTCTTGTACCCATGAGTATGCATTGATATTCCTTTGTCGAGTTCCTCCATGCCATTTTTCGTGATGACCTTAGTATATGGGACATTAAACCACCACTGGATTTTTTGCATATTATGTTGTACGTAGAACTTTCAAACCTCAGGTCTATAGGCGATCAGTGAGTGAAGTTTGAGTGCCAGCGTATGGTCGCTGAGTAGGTACAGTACATACTTGTTGAGAAGAGTGAGCCGTTTAATTTGATAGCCGCAGTGTTTACGTTCTAAGGAAAGCTGTGTCGGTTACGTAACAGTTGCGACTTGACAGCGCTCGTTTCAGCGACAGCACCTTGACCTGGTCGATTTACACCTCGTCCCGTCGCTGCTTTTCTTGTATACTATTCGTTCACTGCAGGTTTGCTGTCGGTTGATCCGATTGCTTCGTTGTCGCTTTCTTTTCCAGCTCGAGCCTCCACAAGCCATTCACATCCCTTTGGCAGAAGTGCCGATCGCTCGAGACAATCCACTTTACGATTCAAGCCGGTGGGTTATCATGAAGTCTGCCGTTAACAATCAAGTATCTGACCGAATCTGTGGTATTAGCCCTTGATTAGACCTTGTGTTCACGCCTCGCAATACTTCGCCGCCGTTGTTATGCCTCGCCGTCTCCCTCCCACACCTCTTCGACTCGTGTCTGGACCCCTGCCGTCCAGGGGAAGGCCAAAGCACACGCTCCCTTCTCTTCCCCGCCCCATATTCCATCCCTCAGCGCAAATTACACGGGGTCCGACTCCGCGCGCGCGCGCACTTCCATCTGAAATCGACGAAATTCGCCCTCGCGTGACGCATGGCCAATTCCCGCCTCTTATTCTCCCCATCGAGCGAGCGTCTAGAAGCGGGGAGAGTTCACCAACGTCGGCAGGGTCGTGGTCCAGCGGGAAGCGGTCACGATCATCATCCAGATCGCGCTCAACCTCGCCGGAGCGGGTTTTGCGTGGCCCTTGGGACCATTCATCCTCCATTCATGTGCCATTCGACGTCGAAGCTGTTTTGGCTCCTCCGAGGCCGGTTGCTATCAATCCCACACCGGTGTGGTGAGCGATACCGGATTTATTTCGCATGACGGGTGTTCACTCATCGGTCAAAGGTTGTAGAGTGGCCGTGGTAGTGTATGGAACTCAATTGTCGAGTGCTTGCGTTGACCGCTAGTACTCCTTGTTATATCTTTTACTTTAATTGAAAGCAGCGATGACCTAAACATAAGAGACTGAGTTACTCCCATGAATGTTGCTTCTCAAGGTGAACGCAGTAGGATCCGTTGGTATATCCAATGACTGCATCGACGAGTGTAGAACCCTCTCTCAGGCAGTCCGTAGTCGTTCTGCTTAGTAGCTGACGCGGAAAAGTAGTACACACCCATGAAGGAATATTGGTACATATCTCGACCGTTCGCCAGCTGGAATACGGCATATAATAGATGGCAACCAGTGTCGGATACGTCGGATCTGCTTATACGGGTGATCAGGGTGATCACAGACTCGTAGGGTTGCCCACTTCTTGCTACTTCTTGCCCGACCTTAACAGAACTGTCAGTAAATAATGACGACAGGATTGAGAGAATAACGAACTTCTTAATACCTCCTCCTGGCGCCCCTCCTGTACCACGGGAACATGAGTCTTTTCGACAGCCTGTATTAACTACGAGCCAGCTTACCCTTAGAGGCTGCGGCACCATCATCAGACATCAAACTCCCATCAAATCAGATATATTCCACATACCCTTCTCACGCGCAGCCTTCAATGCAGCCTCCTCTTGTTTCTTCCTCTCTTTGAACGCAACATCTTCTTCACCGAGCTCCTTCTTATCCTTCTTTGGAGCCTGAAGGTGTCACAGCGATTATGAAATGTATGTCTGAGCTTTGACCAGAATCTCACCTTAAGAGGCTTTGCCTTTCCACCCTGCCTGCCGGACATCCTGAAGGCTGATAGTGAAGGATGCAAACCGAATGGACTAAGTACTATGACAGATCACTCCGATGATCTAGTCAGTAGCTTCAAACTAAAGCTCTAGTCACGTGAGACATGACGATCAGTGCGGCCGAATCGTCGGTAACTTCAATGAGGCGGTATGCATAAGTTGTGGAAGAAACAGAGAAACAGATGAGATTAGCTGACTACGCCAACTACGCGGCTCAGGTACAGAAAGGCACCTCGTCAGCTACGGCTAGAGTACATATGTACTATCATTACCATCAGCAAAACCGGGAATTTTCTCCAAAGAGATTATAAAGGTGTAATCCCACGTAACTTGTGCAATTTTTTCACCAAGCAATACATTGCATTGTAATCCTGAGTCAGATTGCAGAGTTGCCAACTGGCATAATCAGTTATAAACTCTGGAAACATTTTACAGGTTATGAAGCTCATATAACTTCCTGCAAAATTTATTATGCACTTGTAGCACGTAGGCACAGACCGTCCTAAACAGACCGAAACCGATTCATTCGGATCGGTTTCATAACTCTCAAAGTATTCCAAATTATGTCAACATATTATATTGCAGCGGTACAAGACGTACAAAGTGCTCTACATTAGAACTACTTGGGCCTACTCACTGCACCAAAACCCGCGTGCCGTCGAAACGCCCACTTACCGCGTAACAACACCCGCGTGCCGCCATAACAAACAAGTATTTAGGTCTACTTACCGCACCAACCCCCACGTACCGCCGTAACAACCAACACTAGGAATCAACACACTTACATTTCCGCCCACAGGCATAAAACAATAGAGATTGAAATAGAACGCACCGCGTGTCGCTCCAACCACGGGAGCCCAACCAAGCTGCGCGCAACAACAGCCCGGTATCACCTGTGCGATACAGTTAGCCGCGTGTAACGGCACTCACCTGGCAGGCACATTGCAGTGGCAGATGCTGCGAATTTATACGCGAGTGAGGGTGGCGAGAATTGTCGGCGGACGGTAGTCGCGATGCATCGAGACTTGCCTCAGAATTGCCTCAGATTGCTTCAGAATTGCCTCGAAACAACTTCGGATCTTTTCACTGTGGCCTGGACAAGAGCCTTGCCTTAATGCTTGCATTTGGTGCGGTATCCGGGGGCCTGAATATGAACGATGCAAGAGCAACTCGGAGCGAGTTCTGCGGAGAGCACTAGGCGTCTAGAAGTTCTTCCGACTGTGTAACCTGGTGAGCAACGTTTGACTTGGGTTACATCGCTCGACAACTCTTTGTCGACATGTATTTTTGTTCTAACTTGTGTATCAATTTCTGTTCTATGTTATCTTCTTTATAGACCTCTACTACCTTTACTTTGATTACAAATCAGTTTAAATATTACTAGTCCTGTGTAACTTACACAACCCTTGCTACCCCGATGTAACTGGTGTAACCTTACATAAAAATTTCCCGCTTTTGCTGATGACCCCAGTTCTGCAATTGCGATTGCAACTCTGTCACCACTCCTTCAGACCAAGCCCGATTTGCTTGAATTAAAAAAAAAATGAAAGTGCAACATATAGACTACCCCCTCCGCAACCCTCAAAATTTTCTGTGATGTTGTGTAATCCTGAGAGCGAACGCGGGGAGAGGTGTTGTTTGCCCGCCAGATTGCATTATCAGTCACACATTGTCACACCTTGCCAGGGTGCCGTTTCCTTTTTCGTTCAAACACCGCTCAGTCTCACCGGTTCTGCAATTGCAGCTCATGTTTATGCTTCTGATGGAAAATAACAAAGGTGTTTGATTTAAAATTCTCTCTGAGCATAGGGAAGACAATAAGTAGGGTACAGGTTGCAGAAAAGTATGTGCTGCATGCAGGTTTAAGGTTACAGACTCAAACACGGACGCAAAGTGCAATTGCCACTGATGTCACACCAGTCTTGCAATCGGCATTTGGTGGGTTCTAGGACATAGAACATCATGTCTCCTACCTATTTTTTGTGCCGGTTGAGGAGATTTAGTGACCTTCTACCACTGTGCGAATTATTTCTTCAAATTTTGTGCAGGAAATCAGCCAGGAAAGCAGACTAGCTCTGCAAAGCAGTAATTCTCACTTTTGTGGCACATTCTCTTCATATACGGTACGTCAAAATTGCATCCAAGGCATACAGGATGATGTGAGTTCAGTACATTTTTTTCATGATTTGTGCTACAGCGGAATGAGGTGGAATCGCGAAATTGACCCGATTGCACAACCGGGGTAACGACATCAGCAAAAACGGGAAAATATTATATAAGGTTACACCGGTTACATCGGGGTATAGTGGGCGTCGTGTAAGTTACAACGGGCTAGTAACATTAACGCCGATTTCTAGTCAAAATAAAAGTAGCAGAGGTCTATAAAGAGGATTACATAGTACAGAAATTGATACACAAGTTACAATTAAAATACACATTGTGGGAGAGTTGTCGTGCAATGTAACCCACGGAAATGGTTGCTCACCGAGTTGTGAAGTCGGAAGAATTTCTAGACACCTACATAAGCCTACATAGGATGTTGTAAGGGGCGCCTGTTGGGCGCCTACTCGCGCTTTGCGAACGCGCTCCGAGTTTGCTCTTCCGTCGTTTCAGGCCCCCGAATACCGCACCAAATGCATGCATTAACGCAAAGCTTTCGTCCAGGCCCTCACAGCGAAAAGATCCGAAGCCGTTTCGAGACAATGTCTGAGGCAAGTCTGAGGCTAATCTCGACACACCGCGACTACCGTCCGCCGACAATTCTCGCCACCCTCACTTGCATATAAATTTGCAGCCTCTCCTGGTTCAGCACCTCTCAGGTGAGTGCCTTTACATGCGGCTAACTTGGTATCTATATTGCACAGATCTACCGGGTGTGTCGTTCCAAGCGGTTTGATTGGGCACTCGTCGCTGCTGCTGCGGCGACATGCAGTCCGTTCTATGTCAAGCTCTATTGTTATATGTCCACGTCTGAAGCAAGTTGATTTTTAGTGTTGTTCATTATCGCGCCTTGATGGGCATACGGGTTTTGGTGCGGTGAGTCGGCCTAACTAGGTCTGATGTAGAGCACTCTGTATGCCTTGTACCGTAGCAGTAACAATAATATATTGTGACATAATTTAAAATACTCCCGCTATTGAGAATTATGAGACCGATCTGAACGAATCAGTTTCGGTCTGTTTAGGATGGTCTGTGCCTACGTGGTACACTAAATTTTGTACGAAATTACATGAGCTTCATAACCTGAAAAATTCTTCAAGAGTTTATAACTAATTATACCAGTTGGCAACTCTGCAATTTGGCTCAGGTTTACGATGCAATGTATTCCTTGGTGAAAAAATTCCGCAAGTTACATGGAATTACGCCTTTATAATCTCTTTGGAGAAAATTCCCGTTTTTGCTGATGGATAGTATCGTGATCAGATGACGATCAGGCGACTTCCATTTGAGGTTGGTTTCTCCCTCTTATGGTAAATGTGAAGCTTTGAAGGATGGACCATGTGAAGGGTGAGTTGGTTGGCGTTCCGATCGTATGGTTGGCATGTTAGCCTCTCGTCGTTCCTGTCTCGATTCAGCTTTCAAGATACCCTTCGTCCCAACCACGGGATATTGACTGCCTGCCAAGACGCAACCACATTCTCTATACCTGGTCCTCTCCTTACATTCGTCATTCTTTTGAGCACAATAGATCACTCGTCGTATTCGCCCGACTCGAGTGATGTATATCCTTCGTACTATGCTGTTATTATTTGCCCATCTCCTCTGTGTCTTGGCAGCAACAGCAGAGCAGTGGAGAGGCCGTTCCATTTACCAGTATGTTTTTCGAATCTCACTTAGACGTTCTGCGCCAACGCTGTGCTATAGAATCATCACAGACCGTTACGCTCTGCCTGCCGGAGCCGATTTGAACGCATGCGACCCTGGCAAACAGACCTGGTGTGGCGGTACTTGGAACACTACCCGTGAGAACCTCGACTACATTCAGAATGCGGGCTTTACTGCTAGTAAGTTTGCTTTGGGAAAGTTATTCTTTCGAGGAGGGCTGACATTTTTACCATGAGTCTGGACTAGCCCAGTCTCGCAGAATTACGAAGGGCCGCGTACCGTGTACGGCGATGCTTACCATGGATATTGGATCGCCGATGCCTCCAAACTGAACAACCGTTTTGGGACCGCAGATGATCTGAAGGCACTGTCTGATGAGCTTCACCGCCGGGGAATGTGCGTTGTTGATTAGCACAAGCTGACATTGCTTAACTACCACCTAGGTATCTCATGGTGGATGTGGTTGTGAACAACGTCATGTCGACATCCTTGACTCCAGATTTATCTACATACATGTTCAAGGAGCAGGTTTGTTGTTCTCACTGTTTTGAAAGCTGTCAGCACATGCTAACATCTCAACCCCATACAGTCACAATATCATCCGTACTGTGTCATCGACTGGGGCAACACTACCAGCGAGCAGAACTGTTGGTTGGGTGATACAAATGTTCCCCTTCCTGACGTGAACACGCAGGACCCAACCGTAGTCTCTGCATATAGTGCCTGGATACAAGAGTTGATCCAAGAGTTTGGGATCGATGGACTACGTATCGATGGTATGTGATTTCGGAGGTCTGGGCAGGAATAAGTGAATAATTTTATCGTATAGCTGCAAAGTAAAGGATTTGCTGTGATTCTCTGACCCTCATACATTTACGTTGTTCATACAGACATGTCAATATGAACTTCTGGCCTGCCTTCTGTGGTGCAGCTGGAGTTTTCTGCATTGGTGAGGTATTCGATGACGATCCCAGGTGCGTTTTTATTTGTCCGTTTTTGCAATGAAACCTTTTAAGATATAGTTTACAGTCAGGCCGCACAATGGCAAGGATCAGATGCTCTCGATTCCATCCTCAACTATCCAGTATATGGTGCCCTAGTGGACGCATTCACCATCCCCGGACCGCAGAATATGAGCGCACTTTCAGACATGATCGCGGAGTCCAAGGTCCTCTTCAAGGTTAGAGGGCTGGTTGACTCCTGAGAACTGCTCTGATTGACGCTGCTCCACAGGACCCTGGACTACTAGGTAATTTCCTCGAAGACCAAGATTTACCCCGTTGGGGGAATTTGTCCGCAGATCCTGAGAGTCTCTACAACGCTATGGTATTCAACTTCATGTCGGATGGGTAAGTCTAATAATGTAACCATCCGCGATAATACTTACACCGTTGTAGGATTCCGATAGTATATTATGGTCAAGAGCAAGGGTTCTCAGGAAGTGCCGATCCGGTATGCTAGAGTTTCGTTTCAATGCTTGCGCGAATGGGTCATCACTCATCACAATTTCTTAGTGGAATCGCGAACCTTTGTGGTCTTCGGGCTATGCGAACACCACAACCTATCAGCTCATGTCCACTCTCAACCAGGTGCCGACCGTCCATCATTTGAAGTGATACATCTCTTAACCAATATGACCACATTGACAGTTACGCAACTTCCTCGTCAATGGAACAACCGGCTGGCTGCAGTCCTCAATGGAAGTGCTTGCGACCACTAACTACGGCATTGCTTTCATGAAGGGCGATGTCGTAACCATTTTGACCAACATCGGTTCTCCAGTAAGTACACTTTTCAATGATGCCGTACGCTGACTCCTACTTGGACTTCACAGCCTCAGAACCTCAGCATGGCAGCCTATACGCCTTTTGGCGAAAGCATTGCCACCACAGAGTGAGTCGAAAGTGTTGTGACAGGGGATGCACATTCTGATACCCTTGGATCGAAGAATTCTCTCATGCCGACAGCACGTCACTGGCAGCAATGGGACCGTGCTCGTCGACTACAACACGTATTCCGGCGCTCCTGCTGTGCTGGTACCCGATACCCTCCTCAGCAACTCAGGTCTCTGCGGACACAACTCGGAGAGCACTCAAGGGAAACAGGTTGCCGCGGCATCCTCTTCTGCAAGTTTCGAACCACGGAAACTTTCTGCGTCGGTAAATTTGACTCTGTTGATCGTTCTATGTCTTGGCCTTTTGGGAATGTAGCTGGATGCAACGTCATTAGCATCGGTGGGTTTCAAATGTTGTTTTTTTGATTTTCTGGGGCTACTGTACGTAACATGTGCAGCCGGACGACAATGGGGTATTGCAAACAACAGTAGCAGAATACTGTAGTAATAAGGGTTTCAATCTTGGTGTACATGATATGATGGAAGACCAATTCGATACACACAAGGTAATTTGGAGCATGTTGGTTTCCCCACCAGTGACGAGCTCACCCCTGACAGCTATGAGGACAAGAGTAACCTCTGGAACTGGTTCTCGAGGCTCTTCAGCCCGTCTCGGAGAGCTCACTGATAATATTGACAATTGAACTTGAAGCCGTCGAACGGTAGACTCGTGCCGCGCCACCAGTCTGACACAACTTGAAGCGGAGCTTTGATTTGTCAGAGCTGATGCTCGTCCCCCAGCAAGCCGTCCGCGTACAACGTTCAAGGCGGTTTAGGTGCTCACTGCACCTGGATTCTCCTCTATTTCCTCCCATCTTCAAAACGGCTTCTGCTAGTGGAGGCGTCGGTCGACGAACGACCGACGCTTTGGCCCGCGTCCGAACTCCTGCGATGGACAACCCTGCAAATCCAAATATACACACCATCGTAAAAGCACAGATCGTGTTTCTGCTGTCAACTCTGACGGAGGAAAACTTTGAGAGGAATCAGATAGAGATACGTTCTGTGCGTTTTCCCTGCATTCTCTCAGGCGTATTGATTGTTTAACTGATGAATGTTGGTGCATTCTGTGTCTCAGCTCTCCGAGCAACATGGGATTGACACCTACCTACACTTCATCCGCCGGCTCATCGTGCACTCCCAGAGCAGATTATCGTCATCGGCTCCCCCATCTGCTTACGATCCCTCCACTATCCTAACGTTCCGTTTACTCGTACAAGAGACGCAACGCCTTGCACGCGACCCTTTCCTCGCCGACCGTTTCCGAGATGGAATTGATAAGGGGGAAGGTGACGTCTTCCGCCACTTCGATCTAGTAAGATTTGCAGACCGAGTGGGCTTGCGACCGTTGGAACGGTTGGTTCTCGCGTCGTCAATCGCGGTAGGTTCTACGCGAAAGGAGCTAGCGTCTCAAGCGGCCAACATGATCCACACGGAATTTGAGAATGCGGTTCTTGCGTTATGTCAACACCCATCGTTTGATCATGCGGATCTGTCTCCCAACCAGGTCACGAAATTGCTATCGAACCTTCTCTCCGAGCCTCCACATGATGCTCCCATCCTTGATTCCACGCAACGACAGGCTCTCATTGCTGCAGCGCAGGCGAAATATGGGTCAGAGATTGTCTCGCCGATCTTGCAACGTATCTTGCCTAATTTAAGGTACGCTCTGGTCAGATAGTTTTTCTACATACTGCTGACGTACGTGACCATAAGCTTACCACCCGGCACAACTCTTGTGCAGGCTTTGGTTCAGCTAGGTGGAGACATTACCAGCGATCCTGACGTGGTCCGCGCACTGTTAACGCGGTTTGGTATATCGGAAGCCAGTCCACCCAGTGATGCGCAAGTTGTTGAGATTGTGTCATCTCTTGCTCGACTGGCTTCAGAGGGTTCAGTTATCTGCGATGTAGGATCCCTTGTCAGAGCATTAAGCAGCCTCGTGAGTAAAGTCTGGCCATATTCTATCCCCAATATACTGATCTATGGACAGAATGTCAACATTAACTGGGCGAGCGCTATCAAAGCATTCGATTGGCCTGATCGCCAGGGCGTTGATACTGCCACATTGAAGCTGCTCATTGCGATTCTGTTGAATTGTCCGCGTGACGCGGAGGTACATGCAGTGACGGGCTTCTGGCAGACATGGTCAAATCCGCTGTACCAACTTCGACTACTAGATGCGTTACTCTCGTTACCAGCAGACACGTTCAACTTTGTCTCGCTCCCTGGACACAGGATCGTGACGGTTGATGATGTTGCAGCAGCTAGTCCCACCATCAAGTCACTTGCAGCAAACGTTCAAGGACACACCTGGAATTCTCTCGATTTGTTCGAGGTCCTAGTATCGTTATCGGATTCTGATTCCCCGGAGGTCAGAAATTTCGTGCGAGAAATGCTCGACAAGGCGGTCAAGATCAGCGCAGAGCTAGTGCACATGGGGCTCCTTCAAGTACCGGTAAGTACGCGGTAGATGAACCCACTAAGTCCTACTGATGTATTACCAGCAAACGACTTGGGGAGAAATCCGCCTGGAGTACTCACAGAGGCTGCTGGCAATGTTCCTAGCGGGGCATCCAAATCATCAATTAGTCTTCATGCGTATCTGGCAGATCGAACCCACTTATCTCACAAACGCTTTCCGAGACTTCTATGAAGAGAGTCCGTTGAACATTACGAGAATCTTGGACGTTGCTCAAGATCTCAAGGTCAGTTTTCATCCTCATTTAGACACGTTGTCTGCTCATGGGCGTCAAGATCTTGGACTCACTTCTTGAAGTGCGCCCCTTCACATTCGCGCTGGACGTCGCGGCTTTGGCGTCACGCAGAGAGTACCTGAATCTGGACAAGTGGCTAGCAGACAATGTCACCAATCACGGCGCTGACTTCCTCCATGCTGTCATTGCATTCTTGGACTTGAAAATGGAGAGCGAGAAGGCCACTCGGATTTCGGATCCGGCCGTTGAACATCGCACTATGCCGCTTAATCCTCAAACCATCACGATATTCCTTCGTGTCCTGCGTAATAGGTGACGTGCATTCGCGCTGTGAAAGCCTTCGCATTGCTGACTTTGCATTCTCTATAGCTCGAATATTATGCATGAAAGCGATGTGGATTACTGCCTCGAGGTCCGAAATGCCTGTCTGCAGATCCATCCCCGCTTGATGAATCTTGTACCCGGCTCTGACGCTGAACCGGGGTTCACGGTGGTGAATTACACAACCGAGATCGAGGCCGAGGTCGACAGCATCTACAAGCAGATGTATGACGAGCAGATTACCATTGACGACGTCATTGCCCTTCTTCAGCGCAACAAGGCTTCATCAAATCCCCGAGACCACGAGATCTTCTCGTGTATGCTGCACTTCCTCTTTGACGAATACAAATTTTTCCAATCCTTCTATCCTCCGCGCGAGTTGGCGATGACTGGTTATCTGTTTGGATCTTTGATTCAATACCAGCTGGTCGACTATATACCCCTAGGCATCGCAATCCGTTATGTCCTGGACGCACTGAATTGTCCTCCCGACACGAACCTATTCAAGTTCGGAATCCAGGCTCTTTCGCGTTTCGAGTCCCGCCTCTCGGAATGGCAGCCCTTGTGTCAGGCTTTGCTCAGAATTCCGCACCTATTGGAAGCGCAACCCGAACTGGCAGCGAGCATCCAGCGTGCTATCGCTAATGCCGGGGAGGATGTCAACAACACCGTCGATCTTCGTACCTTGACGGCTACGAATGTTCCGGAGCCTCTGGCCATCTTCACAGCTATTCAGCCTGATCCTGTTGAAGGAGAGCCAGAGAGTCCTCCAGAAGAGATTTCAGACAAGATCCTGTTCATTGTGAACAATTTGGCGCCGTCCAACTTTGAAACGAAGCTGGTAGACATGCAAGAGCAGTTTCAGGACGAATATTCATGGTGGTTTGCGCATTATTTAGTGGATCAACGTGTCACCACGGAGCCCAATAATCAGCAGCTGTACTTGCGTTTGTTGGATGCCTTGGGCGTCCAGAAACTATTCCGCTTGGTGCTTCAGGAGACCCTCATCAAGTCCGCCTCCTTGTTGAACTCGGAGAAGACTATGCTGTCCAGCGCAGAGCGGGCAATTCTGAAGAATATGGCCTCATGGCTTGGCACGATCACTCTCGCGCGAGATCATCCTATCAAGCATCGGCATTTGTCCTTCAAGGATCTGCTCATCGAGGGATACGATAACGGAAGGCTCATAGTGGCGATACCATTTGTTTGCGAGACACTGAAGCCGTGCGCGCGCTCGAAGGTCTTTAAGCCCCCAAATCCCTGGTTGATGGCCGTCATCAGTTTGCTGGCCGAGCTGTATCATTTCGCCGAGCTTAAGCTGAACCAGAAATTCGAGATCGAGATGTTGTGCAAAGGTCTGGATATTGACCTTGACACGGTGCAGGCCACGACTGTCCTCCGGAATCGTCCCCTGACAGAAGGGCCTCCCCTTCCTGATTACGTCGTTGCCGATATCAACTCCATTCCTATCGGAGGTTATAATTCTTCCGCTCAGACGCAAGGGGACTCTCAGGTACTGCCGCCCTTAACACCTGGAAGTCCGTCCGAAACACACCGAGTGTTGGGTGCCCACATCGAGAATATTTTGTGTAATATTCTTCCATCGGTGATCATCGACCCACAGTTGGCGCCGTTACATACGAATCAGTTGTTCAAGCGTGCTGTCCAGATGGCTATTGATCGAGCTGTGCGGGAGGTAAACGTTGATAGCTTTTCGTTTTAGTGCTCTATGATTGACGGATCATTTAACAGATTATTCTTCCAGTTGTTGAGCGTTCCGTCACAATTGCAGGAATCTCCACACGAGAGCTGGTCGCGAAAGACTTTGTGACAGAAGTCAACGAGGACAAGCTTCGCAAAGCTGGTCATCTGATGGCCCAAAAGCTTGCAGGAAGTCTCGCTTTAGTGACCTGTAAGGAGCCGCTGAAGAGCAATCTTGGTGGTCACATCCGCCATTTCCTAGCCGATTTTGGATTTAGCGATGTACGTATCATTTCTCTTTCACTCTAGAGCTGCCGACTTATTCGTCGTCCTAGCAAATGATCTCGGAGCAAGTTATCTTTCTGATCGTCCAAGACAACCTTGATCTGGCATGTCAAGCGATAGAAAAGGCTGCTATGGACAGCGCTATCATTGACGTCGATGACGGATTTGCTGCTGCCTATGAGTCTCGCCGCCGTCACCGCGAGGTGAGTGTTGTGCACCGACAATCATAGTGTTGTTCTGCTCACGAAGTTCGGATTCAGCAACGTCCTGGCCAGCCGTTCTGGGATCGTTCCATACCGCAGACGTCCTTCGTGGGAACTCTTCCGGAACCACTGCGCATCAGACCAAGTGGTGTTCAGCCTGTCCAAGCTGTTGTATATGAAGATTTCGGCAACCTTGATGGGCTGATTTCTCAAAGCGTCGTGCAAGAGTCTTCGTTGTTGGATGTCAGGCGTCGTGGATTCATAAGCCGTCCGAGTTCAACCGTATCGTTTCCTCCCAATGACCATATGGGTTCATCTGTGTATGCTTCTTCGCCAGTGCTGGACCAGCATGCTCCCGGTCAGGCATTCCTACGTCATCAAGAAGCCATGGACCGTTTCAACGTAAGCGTGCAGCTGCTGAGAGGATCGGACAAGGTGCTAACGGTTACACAGGCTATGGTCAAAGACTTAGAAGCATTATTGCTCCAACTTCCCATCCAATCGCTGGCAGCACTCCCCTCCGGCCACGATGTTCGCCACCTTGTTCGGCAGATCCTCCTCCTTGCTGCTGATTCCATTGAACGCCACCGCACACCTCTCCTCATGTCGCAAAAGATCGTACAGTTACTGTACAAAACCCCGTCCCAGCTTGGTCGAGAGATCTACGTCGCTCTACTGCATCAACTCTGTCATTCGTTCGAAGATGTGGCCAAAGAAGCGGTAACTTGGCTGATATATGCTGAAGATGAGGTGAGTTATTCGATGCAATGAAGCTGCAATTCTTACTTACTACCTGCGCCAAAAGCGTAAATTCAATGTACCCGTGACGGTCACGTTGTTGAAGAGCGGGCTCATCAATCTCCCTCAGGAAGACCAGCAGCTCGCCAAGTTCCTATACACTGATCCTCGACCCAGCCTTCTCACTTTCGCTGCGGACTTGATACGAGAATGCCTGTCAAGTGACCCACCGATAGCATCGCAAAGTCAATTTGTCTACACACTGGAAATACTCGGTCAGTTGGCTCAATCTGGGAAAGTCAATGAGGAGTAAGTCGCAAATCATCGATATTGATTCTTCATCTTGACGCTGTCCCGTGCGAATAGGGTGCATCGACTATTGGACGATCTCCGCGGTGTACGGCGACCTTCCGTTACTGAAGGTCAAGTTGTGCGCCAGGCGTCTGTGAAACCAGAGACCGAGCAGCTGAGGGAAAAGCTGTTCATCTGGTTTCAGCAATGGGTCAATATCTTCCAAAGGTCGCATTCCCCAGAGAAGTCATTCGTACCCTTCATCACTCAGTTGACGAAGCAAGGCATCTTGAAAGTCGAAGATGTGTCGTCGTTCTTTTTCCGTGTATGCGCGGAGTCTAGTGTCAACAGCTACATCAAGTGCATGAATTCCGGGGAATTCGCGTACTCTTTCCAAGCATTGGATGCCATGTCCAGACTGATCGTCTACATTATCAAATACCACGGCGATGCATCTGGTGTAAACAATGATCAAGCCAAGGTTCACTACCTGACGAAGATACTTTCTATCTTCGTCCTTGTTTTGTCCAATATGCACGAGGAGCAAGGAGCTCTGTTTCAGCAGAAGCCTTTCTTCCGGTTTTTCTGTAGCTTGCTGAATGATTTGCATTCTCTCGAAGCTAGTCTGGGTTCAGCCTATTTCCAGCTATTGTTGGCTATTAGGTATGTGTTTTGTATGACTTGGCCCTACTGCCACTAATCAGAATCTCAGTGATACGTTCAGCTCCCTTCAGCCAACGTACTTCCCTGGATTCGCTTTCTCCTGGATGAGTCTGATCTCCCATCGCCTGTTTATGCCGAAACTGCTACTATCAGAGAATCGGGAGGCAGGTGACTTCTTAACACATTCACGAGCTGCCACTGACAATCAGAACACAGGGCTGGTCTGCGTTCCACAAGCTTTTGCTTTCATTGTTCAAGTTCTTATCTCCGTTCCTGAAAGCAGCAGATCTTGAACCGGCTTCACGGGATCTGTATCGCGGATCCCTTCGTCTCCTTCTCGTTCTCCTTCACGACTTCCCTGAATTTCTTAGCGAATATTACTTTACCCTCTGCGATGTGATACCTCCTCGTTGCATTCAGCTCCGCAATGTCATCCTTAGCGCATTTCCCCCGTCGATCATCCTTCCAGACCCACACCTTCGGAATATGGACTTCGACTCTATTCCCGAGATGGGACCGATCCCACCTATTCTCTCCGACTTCGCTTCTAGCTTGAAGACGGATGACCTTCGAGGATACTTGGACCAATATTTGCTCAATCGTGGCTCTCCCACCTTCCTCCCTTCGTTGAAGGATCGCCTACGTTTGACAGGTGTCTCAGAAGGCTCCCCTGAAACCTACAATCTATCCTTGATGAATTCTCTGGTCATGTACATCGGAGTTTCCTCCGTTGCACAGGCGAAGGCGAGGAGCGGAAGCTCCCTGTTTGTCTCCAGTGATCCGGGTGTAGTTGCACTGCATTACCTCGCTACAAATCTGGATGTCGAAGGTCTGTTCGTCGAGAAAGCTGCTTTGCTCGACACTGACAATCTATTACAGGCCAACATCATCTCCTGAGCGCTATGGTATTGCATTTACGCTATCCAAATGCACATACACACTGGTTTAGCTCTTTGATACTCCATCTCTTTACGGAAATCAAAGTTGACCAGTTCAGGGAGGTGATGACGAAAGTTCTTTTGGAGCGATTTCTCGTGCATCGGCCTCATCCTTGGGGTGCCTTAGTCACATTCATTGAGCTGCTTCGCAACCCGAAGTACGACTTTGGAAGTCAGGATTTCATCCGTGTTGTACCAGAGGTCACTCTTCTTCTCGAAACGGTATGTCCTTCGCATTCGTAAGCATATGGTTTCTCATTCGTTGTTGGCTAGGTTGCACGATCCATCTTCCAGTCGTAGATTGTCTTGTCCGCCGCTATCGTCCTCGCTATCTGTGATATATATTAATCCTCTCCTCTTTTCTTTGGGTTCTGTTCACACCGCACACTGTATTGTAACCAGAATTTCCCTCGCTGCACTGTTACAAAAGGTATACGTGACGACTCGAACTTTGCTTACGGTCGGGCCTTGCGGATCCACTACTGCTTACCATAAATGTGTTCTGTATATTCTATCGATGTATAACACGTACAACATACCGGGTCGTAATTTAGAACGAAGACATGGCACTGTTCCAGTCCCAGCCATCTCCCCACACGCTACATTATAGGCGTGGTGGTTGAGTGAATGTAGAGAATTCGACTTGGCTAGAACTCACCCAGTAGCCTCAACTGCACCTGCCCCAATGGTATCTGCCTGAGGTCCAATTACCAAGAAATCTGGTAAGGTGACGCCTGTGCGTGTAGGGAAAAGGCGTATCCCCCTCTCCAATCCACTTTCGTCAAGGGCGTAAATGAATAGCATTAGTCCCGTCGATAAAACAGGGTGCGAGTGAAGGAACAAGGCCGTAGAAGAGATCGAAAGTAAGCGTCCATGCAAGCACAGCGACCCATTCTGAAGTGAGAAGGCAGTTTGGTTCTGGAGGAGAATAGCCCGCGAAAACTCGCCGTTGGCTCCGCCGATCACAACGATATTACCCTGTCCCAAAGAATTATCTCCAAGTCGGCGCATTGCTTCGGCATCAACAATGATCTCTGCATCCAGCTTGTGGTAGACGTCGAGAATGTGAGCAATACGTAATGCTGAAGATAACGTTCGACACGAGGGTTCGTTGGGAATGATGATCGTCAACGGAGCGGCGCTCGACAGGACTCTAGCCATGCGTCCATGGGCTTGCAATGCGATTTCAGCGGAGTTGGGCAACACCTAGTATGTGACGGTTTGAGAAACCTGAAATAAGCTGGATGGCTTGCAATACACACTGTCCACATTCCGCCGTCCCGTAAGAAGTAAACCACGCCAACATCATTATCGGCAAAGTTGATAGGAACAAGGATCCCGTCCACGGTGACGCGCACTAATTGATCATAAAATTGCCTATGAGTGGAGAAGACTCGGACATTCGTTGTTTTGGCAATAAATGCTCCATTGTTCACTTCTACAGTCAATTTTGCCAACCTGAGATATATGATACTTGAGCACCACGAGTCTCTCATCGGAGAAGTGACAACGAACCGGCCAGGAGTGTCCAAGCGGTGGATTTGCCACCCATGGAGAGAACCGCTCTCAGAGGGGATGGACACAGTCAGGGTGAAAGACTGGCTGGGATGCGAGGACGAAGCTTGCAGACTCTGCTTGTTCTCCAGGATGGAGCGGATGAATTCTTGGACACCTTCGTTGGAAAACACCGAGGGGTACCAATGCGGTTCGTGTAGATCTTCACGGTAACTACAGATAGCAGTGAGCCAGAGGGAAATTCCAGATTCGAGTCCACTCACGTCACATTTGCTTGTGGGTTCCATGTCTTGAGCACACTCACCGCCTCACGCGTGTGCCACACAGGGACGTTTTCGTCGTCACCTCTATGGAATTTGCGAGTCCAGATGACAAGTACGGGATAGTTGATGGTGCTTACCCGTGGATGGCGAGTATGGGAGTATCCACCAGATTAGAAAGGAAGAGGTCGTTATCATCTGGGGTAAGCGAAGACTCCAGGATCGCGCGAACGGAAGGGTCGATGAAATGAGCATATCTGGGCTGTGTCTGAGTGTCATATAAAATCGTGTCGAGATACACGCCTACCTCGATTGAGTAAGCGGAACGTATGACTGAGACTTGATATAAGCAGCGGCAGGGATGGCTAAAGGTCGAGTCTCAGTTCATTTACGCATGACGATACTTGCTCGCAAACCTGCGGCAACTCTGTCTGGGTATCTGGAGGCCATGTACCATGTCCCTTGTCCACCGTTCGAGTGTCCCAGTACGAGAACGCGACTTTTCTCCGCGAGCATCCACGGGTGCCAGCACTCGCGAGCATTCAAAATGGTGTGTAAAGCGTCAACAGTGCCCCAGGCATCCTGCGAGCTCGGACCGTGCCAGTCCAGACCCTTCGTAGCAATTATTCAGGCAGCTGAAGACCATGTAAATACGTACGCGTACCCACGCCGTGCGACCAGTGGGCGCAATTACCCAGCTATGTTCCTGGCGAGGAAGAGCTTCAATCCAGAAGGACCCTGAGAATATGTCGACACCAGCGCCGTCTGTGAAGTGATTCATGAGCGCGGGGTCCATCAACGGAGATGTACACTTCTGCAACATACGCAGCGCTAAGAGGGGAAGCTGCAGCTTTATTGGGTTTTCCTGCTTTGGGGGTATAACGAGGAATGCGGTGGCCATGGAAATCCCGAAGAAGTACGATGCTTGGATGCCCGTTGGTAGAAAGACGGATGCTGTCCATAACGGGTGCTGTATGATGGGTATAGTGATCTGGATTGGGGTTGATAACGTCCCCGTAGTGAGAATGAGTTCAAGGCAAAGGTCAGATCCATAGAAGGGAGCCCGCTGACTGAGGCGGATGGGGACAATGCGTGTTTGAGTTGGCGCGATACGCATTTCATTGACCAAGCTGACTTCAATCTGCTCATCCTGCCGAAGAGCTGGTATCACACATCATGTCATGCAGCAGTAAATATCTACTTACCGGTTCAAGTTCGTTCGTTAGTCTGACACTCTTTATGGTCCACCAGCCGGACACGCTACGCACGCCGACGCCGAGAGCCTCGCCGAAAGCCCAGCCGTTGACGAAATCGCAAGCGACATCATGGGAAGGCTCTCGAATAAATTGGCTCACTGGCGTCTCTGCTTCTATATCTACAAATACCATTACCGAGAGAACAGGGACGCGACTGGTGCTGCCGTCATAACCTGGGTCGCCAAAAAGTCTGATCTGTGACAGTTTGAAAATATGAAGAGGGGGGCAATTTTCAGGAGCCTATAACATACCTCGTAATCCCCACTTATAAGGAGATCATAGGATGTGGGAGATGTGATAGACGGGGGTACAGGGAGCGCGACAGCCTGCGGTGGGGCACTGCCCAGCGCGTAGACGTTGCCTGCATACCACACCGGTACTACGGGATCGGAAGACTCATTCAACCTAGAAGGGAGAACCGTGAAGAATGACCCCCGCAATACTTCTACCAGTAGATGGGGGGTTGCGCTCGAAGATACATGGGCTGATGGAGGATATACAGTGATGGAAGCATGCAGAACTGTGTGATGTTGCAGCGCAGCCCACCCTTCCGTTGCCCGAAGGGAAGTCCATCTTGTGAACAGTGTCAAGAGAGACAAGTGAGGCTGAAGCGGGGGACAGACCGTATGTCGGGAAACGATACCTCCAAAGTTCCGGTCTCACTGTAATTAGCCGCTGACCATCCTACGTCCCCACCATCAGCATATGAGGACGGGAACCGTGCATCTAAATCTAATGGTTCTGCAACTGAGCAGATATAATCAGTTCAGCTAAACGATGGAATTTGACAGCTCATCTATTCACGATTTAGAGGAAACGACGGAGAGAGGAAATGCTGCTCTCTGGCATGGATAGGAAACGGTCCAAGAACCTCCAATCCAGTCAGGACTCGTAAGAAGGCTCTTGTCAAAGGACGACTCACATTCCAGTGTCTCGAAACATTAACGCGCCATGGATCCTGCTCAATCGTGAAGGTACTCTGATCATTTCCGTTGTTCTTCTCCATGGCAGAGGTGAGTGCTAGACACATCGGGACTACTGATAACAACATGCTCAGAATTCCATGCCCGTACTATGCATTCAAGTCTGAGTCAAAAGCTTTCAGTTGAAAGTACTCACTAGCTACCGAAGATATACAATTCAGACTCCGCGGCGTTCACACCCGCGACTTGCATGAAACGCAGGAGACTCTCTGACGCAGCTGCCCTCCGCCATCCCGGTTTGTCCCCTTCGGGGTGACATACGAAAAAATTGGAACGATACAGAGAAGATTAGCATGGCCCCTGCACAAGGATGACACGCTTTCCCGGAGTGGTAGACCTACGGGTCTCAATATTTATTTTCTTCCCTTTTTCCGCTAATAGGTTTAATTCTTCTGGCACAAGGAAAACCTTCGATAGACCTTGTGACTTTTCTTACAACATCTGAACCATGTAAGACGCGCACCTTCTTCCGGGTAGTACTCATTTTGTTGCCAGATATCCATCAGATAAAACCATGGCAGAGAGTCCTCCTCAAAGTGATACCCTCATCTTACACTTCCCCCACCCCTCCTAGCGACGCAGCGTTCATCCTGGGAGCAAGGCACTGCTGCCCAGGCACTCCTCGGGTGCCCTCAACACTTCAACGACGGGCAGATACAGGAGGGACTCCTTTCTTACAATCTCCTGCAGTACATCTATCGTAGCGGCGCGAGCGCCATTCCCCGACTCCGATGGGGTGCTCACGGTTTTTGTAAGAGTGAGGGTGTATGATTGGTGATTATGTAGTACAAGTACAGGCATTTATACGGTAGTTACAGCAATGGAAAACTACACGAGCGAGGCATCGTCATCATCGCTGTCATCCGAGTGGTGTTGGTCAGGCTTGGAATTCGGTCGGAAGACTCCGAGGAGGGGCATGGGCTGAACAACACTTGAATTCACTGACAGTAATGGACAAGACAGATGATGTAGATCAGGTAATGAAGCCAGTGGGATAGTTGCAGTACTGTTACATATAGTCATATGATATAAGATACTGATGGTATGGCTGTCTTTTAAAAATCCAAATGGAAGAACCATCTGAGCATCAAGATGGTGTTGATCGGGTAATGAAATCAGTAAAATAGGTATAGTGTCGTGGTGGCGATAATACAATATTTTGTTGATTCAATTGAATGGACCATTTGATGTATACACGAGGATGTGTGCCCAGCGTCCGTCAAGCGTAAGGAGTGCTGTAAGGTCATTGGTATGCATTCTGTTTTCATATTGTGGGACACCGTATT